TTTTTATTTTTTGTTGCACACATGGGACTTTATTTATATTTTTATTAAAAAAAAATGTTTGGGTCACCAGCCCGAGTTGGCCTAGTCCCTCTCGTCAATGAAAAAAGAGATTTTTTTATAAATTACCCGACGTTACGTATAGGTTAAATTTTCAGTGGAAAATTTGTGTGTGTTTGTGTTATTCACTAATTTTTTTATTTTATAATATTCCCCTTTTCATGTATTAAGACCCAAAAACTGTATTGTGTTACAATATCCATAGTATATTTATTACTTAATTTTTATTTATATATATTTGCACTACACGCCTATGGTCATAAAAATATTTATTGGCAACAAATTTTAAAACTTACTTTTCTTTAAATTAAAAAGTCAAACGTAATATAAACGTAATTTGCATTTGAATACTTCTCACCTAACACCAATGTCGGACAAGGTCGTTAATTAATTAATTTTTCTTTTATTTAACCCGAGTGTAGGTATTAATTTCGTAAAGTGGGACAAATTGTCATTAATTTTGTTGTTTAACGTTATTCTAGGAGACGATCATTATTTAAAAAAATTAAACCACTCTCACCTCTCCCACTGTATATTAGGAAAACGGATAATTAATAAATGCTGATGTCTCCATGGGTAGTACAAATAAACATATTATTAACTTATTTAACATAAAAGATTTTTTCCTCTGATGTGACTTCGGCGGAGGTACTCTATAGCTTGAAAAAACTGAAAAGTATTGAATTTGATGCAATACATGGCTACATGCAGCTTAATTTAAATAGAAGGCATTGTATATCGTCTTGCTTTTAAATAAAATAAAGTAGTTTGTTTAGATTTTCCCGCCTCCTATATTTGAATTACAAATTTCTAGACATTGTTGACAGTTCAGAGGTTGGAATAAATCTTCTGGGAATAAATCTTCTTCTTAAATTTAACAGAACATTGAAATTTGGAGGAGGTTCGTGGAAGAGTTTCGATATTCTTTCCTAGAAATACAGGTAAGATAAAGCAAAGATGTTTAAAAAATATGTTTGATAGTAAATTCATCTTTGGAGCTGGTTGAGAATAATTCAGTTAACAAGCCCGATATACAAACTAATATTTTCATTTGCTTGACAAGTTGACATTTTGATCAAAAGAAGTTATATAATATATATAAGTGTTGTATAAGTTTTCGTAGTCGTATTCGCTCAAAAATAATTAATATCTCGAATAAGAGCTAGAGATAGATATAGCCTAATATCAGTGATATATATAAAGTGATAGCGTAGAGGAGAAAAGGGACAACATACAGGCCGTCTAATTAAACAACATCAAAGTTGCCCCAACACTTTCCCAAAACGTCTAAAGTGCCAGTAATCGTGAGACACCCTGTATGTAAGTACATGAGCAGCAAAACATAGAACGGATGTCACATAATTTACCAATTTATCAAGAGCATCATCGCACTTGATCTAACTCCTACTATATTTTAAAGATGTCATATGAAACGCCTCCAAGTTATTATTGTAGATATATTATCAAACTTTGTTAGCGACACGTTTTGTTTATGTGATTATATAAAGCTGTTATTGGTAATCAATAGCTATAAGATATTTCTTAAACAACTTAGCTTAGCAAAATTTCACAACCGAGCTGTCCCAATCATACAGAGTTTCCTCTGCTCTTCATTATGCATCAAACATTATAATTACTTCTTCTTGATTAACCTAAAATGTATACTTACGTCGCAGATCAATTATTAATTAATTAATTAATTAATTTGTAATTGTTGTTCCCCAGTAGCTAGCTTAATATAGGCTTAAAAACTCAATTATGCACTGATCTAGAGTAAGCAATTTAGTAGATCAGATTCGTAACCCACTGTCGCAAGCCACTTCGTACATTTCCAATGCTTTAGTCACGGGCTTGAAAGAGCTTGGATGTTTTCAATATATTTTAGTTATGATGTTTTGATGATCGTGAGTTTTTACGTCATTCAATAAATGAATTCCTATCATTTTGCAAAAATGTATAGTCTATCTCAATCTGCATTGTGTTGACTTTCGACGGATCCTCCCCAATAAAACTTTAACGATGTTATTACTACCTATTTTTAGTGGGTATTGCCATTAACAAAAAAAATATTCTTTGACTTTCTGATATATTTCTTGAGTGTTGGATATTTACGGCAGTTTTGATTAATTTTTACGGCGGTTTCGAACAAGTTAATTTACGAGAATATAACAATGTGGCGTCGAAATATTTGTCGCTTGCTGTAGAACAGATTGTGAAAAATGTATATGAAATTTTAATCAGTGGGGGACTTCAACAAGAAGCTTTAAAAGAAATCAGTTTACTTACAAAAACGCCAATATCGTCGATATCATTATTAATAGTAGAGAATTGAAGAAAAGGAATAAAAGTATGGATTTTAAAATTCACCTTATAGACAATAGTGATCAAGACATAATAAGAAGGAAAATATATTGTCTTTATCAAAGCGATGTTGTTGTTACCTGCGATAAACTGAAAAAGAAACTAGAAGAAGATGAAACCAATATAAATGTAAGCCGTGCCACCATCTATAGAGTTGTTTATAAAATGGAATCACAAAGAATACGCATTTGGAGCTTTAATTACCTTCAAGAAATAAAAATATATAGATTAGAAAACATCCATAATTTACGAAGTCCTTAATTCCTAGGCAATTAAAAAACAGCATGTATGCGATTATTTGGCTAACCAGGCTGGGTATACTGTTTTACATCTTCCTCCATATCATTGCATGTTTAATCCCATACAGCAAAAATAAACAAAAAAAATATTATCGAAATATTTGAGAGCCCGTCCCTAATGTGATGTTCATTTGTATGTTTATTAGCTACCGAACCCGAGTTTTATTGCTATCAGCGGGTAACTTCCATAATTGCTGACAAAAGCCAACCCGATGAAGATTGAGGCAGACTATACCCAAAAATGAATAGTAGTAGAAAGAATGTAAAGTGCAACAAGTTGATACACTTGTCACTAGCCTATCACTATCAGGCTTGATACATAATATATTATAATCTACACAATTTAGGCATTTTTGAAAATTTGTCTGATAGATGCGACCAAATGGGTATACTGCCCCCCAAAATTTATTGATGGTTAACATACATCCTCATTTTTCTAAATTATGCTTATGTTTTGTGTAATCCTGTTATATTAGCCCGCGCCCATGCAAATTGAATCACATAAATCATTCGCACAAGACCACAATAGCTAATACCTTATGGGTAATTGGATAATTAATGCAATTGGGGACACTCATTCAGCGGGATAAGTTTATATAATCAAGCTGCTATACACTGCCCCACATCATGCCCGTAGGGCAGGTTATTCACAAGTTGGAGTAAGTTTTATAAAAAATGGTTGTCTATCGACTGTTACAGCTCAAAATCCTGACCTATTTCTTGTAGTTTTTTGCCAGGAGTCTGAAGATGAGCCAAGTATGCACTTTTTGGATCTATATTGCTACATTAGTTACATAAAAACTAATAATAATTTGATCAGAACACTTAAGGAATTGTCAATATTTTATTATTTTAGACATGGCCGATAAACATAAGTCTACCAAATTGATGTTAAAATGAAAAGTTGAAATGTTAAAAGGGGCGGTATGCATTTGCTTAATGCAACAGCTCAAACTACAAAACTACTTAATTCAATTAAATTAAATATGGTCGTTAATTTATTACTTTTTGCCTATAGCCTCATAAGTGACCCTCCATCCTTTCGGAGCTAATATACGAAATGTTATGTAACTTAAACAGTTTTATAAATAATAAAAAAACAAATTTTAGGACATCTATGTTTATTAACCAAACTTACCTTATTTCTTAATGCAATTTACTATACAAAACTACATTTGTTAGCAATTTCACCAATTCCTATGAAATAACCAAAATTTTTTTGTCATACAAACATATAACTAGTGAGAGAAACAAAATAAGTTGGAATACAGTGAACCACTCACGATACAAAATACAAGTAGATCCATGCATTCAAAATGCATTCTGTGGTAAACGGGAGTTTATTCAACGCTAGCGGAGCGCAATAAACAAGTACTTTAAAAAGTTTGTAAAATGTGTTGCATACTATACTTTTTCTACGATCATTCGTTTTTGGGTAAATATAATATCTCATAATATCTCCGAAAACATACGATTGCCCAAACCCGTGCGGAAAATATCCGAAGTGGCTCGGATGCGTGGGAAACGAAATTGATGTAGTAAAACACTTTCCACACGTTAGATAGCTAGGTATTTTACAGAACGAAGTTGTTTAAATGGTAAGTTTTTGAGAGTTGGCGAAAGAAGCATTATTTAACTTTACATTAATCTTATTAGAGTCATTGGTGTCATCTTGCCTGGTATCGCAAGCGTGTCTATTGGTTAATTTTATACATATCAATATATGAAACAGATCCGTATAATCTTAATCATAGTTATGACTATGATTATGATAGGTATTCCTTTTCTGCCACCAGAAATTTTTTCCTGAATATTATTCCATGAAACAGCCCAAAGTAGCTTACTCTCAGGGCCGCCGACGTCAGATAATTCCAAAATACCTAATGTAGTGGAAAGATACTCATCAATTGACAACACAGCAGCGTCATCCTCCATCAAGGTGACACTAGCGCTAGGCATAGAGACCGGCAGATTATTGATATAAATGATGAAGAGCAGCGGTCCAAAAACCGAGCTCCATGGGACACCCCATTTCACAGCTCACTCGACACACATCCGCACTCAACGTACAGAAACGTGTTACTGATGTAAAGATTATGTTATAATACAGTTATTTTTAAAGAAATTCTTCTGATGGCATAAAATTCTAATCCATTTAAAAGTACGTCTTGGTCCATGCAGTCGAAAGCTTTCCGAATCCAGGAAAAGCTCGCAAAAAGCATAATCAGAAATGCAACTAGGAAACCTGTATCAGTGGCAAACACGTATTTTCTCTTTCAAAATGCCTCGATCACAGTTGGTCAGTGTATATTAAGTAAATTTGAGCGGGAGTACCTCAAACGCAATTTGTTCATTTGATTCGCTCCACACGGTCAGCTCCGAAGATCCGTACGTTTTATTACGATCGAATTAAATGTAATTTCTTTAAAGAAAATGCCGAAATTGGTAAAATACTTTTGTTTGTTGGTGACATGTTTTACCGCGAGTTGTTACTACCACCAAGAAAATATACCCCGCTATTTAACCGCCGCGTTAGGGGATCATATCGTCTTCGATTGTGAGATTGATTTTCCCCAGGGTTACGCTATTCCCTACAAGTTATATTGGAAAAAAGGGGTGAGTAAATTATCTCACAAAGCAAGTTATTGGCAACAAATTCTCGTTTCTCGATAAAAAATCTGTAGAAGTCAGTTACTTACTAATAGAGACACAATTTAAAATAACCATACTAACCAAAATTATGTATTTTATTAAAATTGTAAAAGTTATTTTGACAAAAGCAAAAGATCGAAAATATTTTATTATCTCAATTTGATTACAATAAAATTTTTCTTTTACATAAATTTTCAAATTTTAAAATAACAAAAATTATAAAATAATACTAATACATATTGATACTCAAATAAAGCACGCGATTTTATTCTCGAAAAAAAATTATATTTAAATTTAACCAAATGTAGAAAATGATGCAAATATGAAAAACATTGAATAGAAGAAGGAAGAGAACGAAGGAAGTTGGACAGGGTGGACAATCTTTAAACTCCCCTTTCTAAAAGAGATAAACGAAAACTGATGCCGGTGCCTTGAGTTCAATTTTTATAAAAAATATAATGGGACATCTGTTACTGCTATGGGTTATAAATTCTTTACCGAAAATATTAATTTTTAAAACTCTCAGAGACTTGTTTGCTAAGAAAAATCTTGTGTTTCCAAACATTTCCAAAGCAACTCCTCACGTAGAATTCATTGGAATTGGTTTAAATGTAATTTACAAAAGAAGTGAACTAAAACAACGAACTACCAGCTAAAATCACAATTTGACAATTGAAGAGTGGAAATGCCATTTTTTGATAAACTAACATTTTGCGTTAGAATTGTCGTACGTATCGTAATAATGGAGTAAATTATAACCATTGTTGTAAATTTAAATAGTTTTTAATGATTATCTCAAAAATGTAATTTTGGCAGATATCTCCTTTGGCATTTCCAGGCTCCAATTGTTTTTGTTGGATATATCTTGCAGAAATGTACTAAAACTTTGTTTCACCATAAAGTCATGTCCTACCGCGACTATTTAATAAAAGAGAAAGAAGATAGGAAAAAAATTAAAAACTTTGGACATTGTCATTTTTTATTTGAAACATTGAAAAATTTTCAACACAAATAATATACAGGAGTAGTGCTTAGGAGATATTTCTATTCAAGCTTTATGAAAACAGTATAGTACATCAAAAAATAGTCCGAATTGGCTATGACTTCAGGCTGTTACAATAACCAACATAAGGTTTTAATGGGTTTTGAGAGATCTATACAAAAAACAAAAAATTTCAAAATCAAACTGTAATCAAAGATTTTTATAGGATGTATACCTTCAGTACACATGATATTTTACCCTATATTTAAACAGCACAGAAATTGGTATAGTAGAGTTCTAAGTATTCCTGCCAATTTATTGTTTAAAATATCTATAGTACTTCCCACTTCTCTCTCTTTTGTTAAATATTTCCAGTTTGCAAGGACTTCAGATTGGAGCAATAAGCAACATAAGGTTTTAGTGCATTTAAGTGAGATCAATCCACCAAAAAAAAATCAAACTGGAACCATAAATAAAGATTTTACAACGGTGTACAGTTTTGAAGTGGGCCATATTGTAAATGAATTGAAATTCAATGACAAGAGATATTGGGTTTCCAAAACTTTGGAAATGAGATGCATAAACTAATTATCTTTTATATAAAACCTTATAAATAAATAAAATAAATAAATAAATATTGAATAGACATTATCGAATTAGGTATAATAATATGTCTAACTTTCTTGATTGCGAATTTTTCTTTGAGCAAAAAATAAACCAATAAATTTAGTAGTACAATTCTGTCTGGTATTTATAATAATAAAAGCATGATTTCAATGGTGGTTTAGGTTGTTTGCGACGACCATTTAAAGTGCGATTGCAGACAATGTAGGATTTACTGATTTTACCGAAGGTTGCAGGCTTTCAGAAACAATCTTTCAGTTTAGCAGTATTCGTGCATTCATTGTTTTGATACTGATTTAATATTTGAACTGAAGTGGCTTTTACTTGATGAAAATTCATTTATCAAAATAAATAAGAACTAAAAGTTCAGATTTTCACGAAATTTTATATTATGACATGGCAATTGTTTCGACAACACCGTGTCTTTATCAAATGTGATAAAGACACGGTGTTGTCGAACCAATTGTCATGTCAAAATATATAATTTCGTGAAAATCTGAACTTTTAATTCTTATATATTTTGATTTAATATTTGACGTAGAAAACGACTATCAAATAATACCTGCCAATTTTAATGAAAATCATGGACCGTTACTAAGGAAAATAATGTTTTCAATTCTTAAAATCTTTATTTATTTTACATTATTAATAAGGAAATATTTGGTATAACTAAAACTTACCATAAAGTATAGAAAAAAAGAAACATTGTAATTAGATTTAACAAAATCATCCCTTAAACGATGCTGCTAATAAAACATTTATAGCTTTGCAAGATCAAATTAGTTATGAACATTTTATTTGATAGACCTTATCTTTTATTATTATTCCCGCATTATAATTCTTCTGTGTCTGTTTCTCTATTCTCAAATCACTCCCAAATCCAGACAAATCAAGCTCAATCTCAATCTAGCACTAAATATAATTTCTCAGTATTTATTTGTATAAGTGCAGAAACACCAATTCCAAATTTTAATGCAGTGAAATGATTAAGAAATATCCTAGAAAAAGTTTTTTGGTAAATAAGAACAAATAATCACGTGTGAATTTAAATACGTTCATGAGAGTTTGGAGTTGTTATATTGGTAAAAATTAATGATATTTTAGCGACAAGATTTAAACCCGGAAGAAACAGATTTTCGGCGATGCGACCGTATTGCAGAGAATTGTTAACTGTAAGAACGCTAAGTTTTGGTTAGTTTTGTTTGGTATTTATGTTGGTTTTAAGCTTTGTCTATTATTAGTTCTTCTCAGTCGTCTTGACTGAGGATTATTTTGAATGATTTTTAAAACCACTATTTCTTGTAACTCGCTAGCCGTAAAAAATTGTTGTCTCTTAAAACTATCATATTCCATTTATTAAAAAAAGTTAACCCGAGCTCAACGGATGTCCAGCTAAAAGTTGAAAACGGTCAATATGCATTTGTTTTGTTTATTACGACCAAAGGCTACTTATTGAAAGTGGTAAAAATTCTATACTTCCAATATGACTCGAGCGATTAGTACTTTAGCTATTGATAACTGTTTTTGCAAAAATGTTTCCAAAAACTAATAATCGTAGAAAAAAGGATACTGCTCAACACGTTGGAAAACTTCTTCAATTATCATACGTGTAGCATAACATGCTATTAATGGAATAAATAGCGTGCCCAAATAGTTTTATTGTTTATTATTTGTTTTAAAATGCTAATTACAAAAGTTATTTCTAAATATACAGTAGCAAACTCATGTTTTTTAAATAGAATATCCTGTATATTATGGCATTAATAGATGCTCCCCTTACAATACTGAGTGTTTTCGGATTCATAACGATTTTTTCGTCAAAAATGCACTGTGTTTAATACCCCATATTTTTTCCTACAGCTGCAATTTTATTATTCCAAGAATTTTATAAAGTGGTCGTTTATTCTATACATGTCTTGAAATTAATTCGAATCGTTTGTACATAGTGCGTTAAAATGAAAAATATTAATATTCGTGAAAAAATAAAATGGACCATGGAAAAGAATAAAATAAATATTACCTGAATGTGAAAAGAGTCCATAAAAAATAGAATTAATTATTAACTGCACAACTTTGGAAAAAAAATGTGTAAACAGTATTTTACGCTAGGGATGATATTGAAAATACAATATTAATATTGCTAATAGTTCCAGAAAAAACACCTGAAAGCTAAGAACAAAACTGCAAAACCAAAAAGAACTGTTTACTTAAGCTTCACTTTATTTATTGCTCGACCACCGACTTCGATACACGCCCTAACACGGTCTTTAAACGATTATTGGTCAATATAATAATAATAACAATATTAATAATAATAAGGATTTGCATGGCAAACTTACATTTGCACTAAAAGAGGGGATCTAAAAACGATTTTTATAGCTCAATAATATTTTGCAATTTAAGAAAAGCAGAAGAAAGGAAATATTTTTATAAAAAATAAAAAAGTTACCTATATTTTCTAATAATTTGACAAGTTTTTGGCGAATGCTTAATAAAATTGAAAGAGCATTAATATTAAAATAATATTTTTTATTAAAATTCACCCTATATAGAAGATTTCAACTAACTTTAAGATAAACATAGGAGAATTCACTGCACTACTTTATAAAATTGTTTTCATAATAAAATTACAGCTGCCGGAAACAGCGTCAAAATTATGGTGTATTAAACACACTAAAAAATGGCCATAAATTCGAAAACACTCAGTACAGACCATAACAACCCAAAATTGGGTGATTGAGTATAAAATGGAGTATTTACTAATTGCACTTGCGGATTCGCATTGGTTCAAAATCCAGGAGATATTTAAAATTAATTTCTGTCGTTCATTATACAAAATTTTCAGATGTCACAAAAGGCAAATCAGGCATTGCAAGCTACTCAGAGTTCCTAAACATCGCACAACCTGTTTTCAACTGAAGTCAGAAATGTTCCAACCATTTCTGCTTTCAATAAAATATTAATTAACCATTCATTTTTCTAAAAGGGCTTAATATAACTGATTTACTTTACATATACCTACATGGACATATTTTTGTTCGGTTGTTGATTTTAATTGTTCTTGTAACTCTTCTCTTAAAGAAGTAATAATAATTATTATTATTTTTATTATATACAGTGTGTTCGTTTAAAAAAATAATAATTTGATTTCCCACATATTAATGAATCATCCTCTATTTTTGGAAATAATTTTAAATTATTTCTTTTTTCTTTCAATTGGCAGTCAATTGACCACTTTTTAATATCGACTTAATAGTATCGACTCCATTTGGTTTCCAAAACGACGCGACGGCGATGTAACGCACGATGTAAATAAATATAAATTCCCTAGTATTTTAAAATTGCTTCCGTAAATTAAAATTTTTTTCTAGAACAATTAATAAATGAGATATTTTACCTTGATACACTACTTGCACACCCTGTAGAGGAAATCATCAGCAGCAGCATTTAATTATTTCCACTTCTTATACCAATATCATGTCCTGAGTCGATGTTGACAAACTTTACGGTGATAACTGACTGGTTGACTGAATCATGTAATACTCACAAACAAACAAAATTTCGTTTTCTTTACATAGACTACATAGGGACACATTTTACAAAGAATTTAAGACCCCCCGAATATTGCCGATTTCTTAAAACTGTAGGAATATTTAAGGATGAAGAGATATGTACATGGTATGACGGCCTGATGACGAAATCCGATTCGTATTATGGCAGAATAACACTTCTAGACAAGGAACAACTGCGACAGTCCGGACATGCCAACCGACACTACGGCAGAGCATCCATAAATCTAACTTCCATCAGAGAAAGCGATGCCGGATGGTACGAATGTAAAGTCATGTTTCCCACCAGGACTCCACCATACAGAAACAATGGGACATGGTTTCACCTCACCGTAAGTGGTTAGTATGGCCTGCCAAAAATTTCCAGGTTCGCCTAGACCGATTACAAAAATTTCCAGGTGGAAACCTACTCGCTATCCCTCCGATCAACCACACGGTTCTGGAGGGGGAGGAAGTGAAATTTCGATGCGTTACCAAAGATTACGCAGTTAAAGTCAGATGGTTAAGGGACGGTATACCTCTGACCGCTTACCAGGACTTATCGCAAAGATCGACCGTGGAGAAGGATGGTACTCTGACCATACACCCGACGGATATGGGCGACTATGGTGAATATGAATGCGAAGGCAGCAATATTGAAGGTGAAACCCAAACAGCGCGGGCTTTTTTAAATGTTCAGTGTAAGTATGACAAAAAAATCGATTTCATAAATAAAAATTAAAACTAATGAAAGCCGAGCAACAAAATATTTTTAAAAAGTCTAAATAAAATTTGACAGGCATGTAACTATTTTAAAGTTCCCGGAATTTATTCATAAAATTAAAAATTCAAGTTTATTCATCTAAATCTTCAAACTAAACCCCATTGACTGCAACACACTTACATTACTTTACATTACCATTACTTCTGGTCGGTTGATGAAACGGGTTCCCCCGTAGTGGTTTTTAGACTCGACTGAATAGAAAGAAGTCACAGGAAGGCAAATCAGATGAATTCAGTGGCTGTGGGGTAGTATTTGTTGCAATTTTTGTCAAAAAATTACGAATAATGATGACATTGCTCGACGGTGCATTATCATGGTGCAAAATCCACGGGTCTCGTCCGAATAATATACAGGGTAACCCACGACAAGACTGCCATAGCCTGGAAGTGTGCTGCTGGAGTGATTTCAAGTGAAAAATGTCAAATGAACATATACCCGGAACGCTATTTCAACTGAGCTAAAGGCGTTTGAAATTTGAAATATCACTTAAAAGAAACCTTTATTTCTAGTTTATTATTTTTCATTTATTTATATTTTATTGAATTAGTTGTTCAAAATGTGCACGTAGTTGTTGTACACATAATCCAGCTCTCTTAGAATTGAAGTGGTAGCTCTGCTAACAGTCTCTGGATCAGCCCGAATAGTTTTGGTTAGTTGTTCTCTGTTTTCAATACTTTTTTGCATAAACTGAAGTGTTCAGTCTTGCTGGCCAGGGAAATACTGAACCATCGGTTTGTATAATTTTGGTTAAGAAATTCTGTTACTTGTACGCCATCGTGCTGAATCCACCATCGTTGTCTTATATTAATGCCACACCAAATATGCACCGAAAATCTATCTTGACAATGGGATTCCCGAGTTTTTAGTCGATTTTGAAGTGCCCAACCAGATGAATTCCTGGTGTTATTGATACCGTTTCTGGTGGAGGCTTCATCACTAGATAATACGATCCGATAAAACCTTTGATTTCTCAATATCCAGTCACTAATTTCAAATCAAGATTTGAGATTCTAAATTCAGATAGTTAGTAGATGGCTTATCTGTCACTGCGACCCAAACGATTAATAGTGACTCTTTGGTTACCGCCAACAGCTGAAAACGGACTATAAATTCTTGGCAGAATCTGCATTCAGTTCTCGTCTTTTCATGATACATAATTAGGATTGGAATAGAATATTCAATGTCATTGTTTTTCTTCATCTTTATTTTATGAACAAACTTTTGGGTCCGGCCCTTACCTTCTTTCCTTTAATACATACCGGTACCGTTCCGCAGTTTTATTGTCGTCGGCCACTAACATACAGGCAAACATCAACACGATATACTTTGAGACAAACTTTACTTATTTATTTTCAGATAAAGCTAAAGTGATTTACGCCCCACCAGAAATCCACTTGCCTTACGGTAAACCGGCGATCATCGACTGTCACTTCAGGGCAAACCCTCCGCTAACCAATCTCAGATGGGAGAAAGACGGTTTCCTTTTCGATCCGTACAACATCCAGGGCGTTTTTTACAGAAGAAATGGCAGTTTGTATTTTAACAAAGTGGACGACACGCATAGCGGCAGTTACACGTGTACCCCTTACAATGATTTGGGTAACGATAATTAGCGCGTAAATGTCCTAATAACCTGGTTCCACTTTTAATTCAGGAACCCAAGGGTCGTCACCACCGATGCACGTTTTCGTACAAAAGGCTCCCGTTTTTACACGTATTCCGCACAATTTGTACCTGAAAAAACTAGGCGAAACCGTAGAGCTTCCGTGTGACGCCAAAGACGGGGATAATGGCCACAAGCCGATGATTGTTTGGTACAAGGTAAACTATCACTATAGTCTATTTCACAAAGATGTAGAGTAATAAATACTAAAGGACCACTGAGTGATCAAATACTTAAGCCACTTGCATTGTGTGGTTAAGATTGAAAAATTTGTTTTATCATATTATAATACATTGCAAAGAAATTAAATTACAAAAATCATAATATTGTTCGTCATTTGAAGAGTAGTCAAGATCTGATATTTTCTCCTCTTCTTTGATGATATGCTGGACTGCTTTTCAGTCACTGCTGCTGTAGCTTAAAGTCTTTCGTTTGGCTGTCCTGTTGTGGCTTGGTACAAATCCTTTGGCAAGTAAATTCTATAGGATTTAGCTCACAATAATGTTTATTTATCTCAAATTCAATACTCTAGTCGATTGGACGATTATTAACCTTATTCCTTGATTATTTCCCATTTCCTGAATGCAACTTAATACGCATTGTCGGACCTTCCCAAAGCTTGGCCAGCAGTGGCAACATTTTTGTATTTATTGTCACATAACATCCGTCATTAATTCACGACTCATCAAGATCAAAGATTTTCTTCCACTCCTTTTTCAAGAATTTTTCTCGCCAGAAAATAATTTTATCGCTTTCCAATAAGAGTGCTTTACCTAGGTGTTTTACGGTTATGCAAAATCCATATTTTTTACGTGGTCCTTAAAAGTTTTCTACATAACAACAGAATGAACTCTAAACCCGGCTAAGCTCGATTGAAATCTTTTTTAAAATAAGTAGAGTGGATTTTTTTCGAATTATAGTCTTGATGTCTTCGTCAAAGACATTTTTCTACTCCCGTCTGTAAAATAACTAATTACGCACCGATCTAGCGATCTATCACGTCAGTTTCATTTCCCACGTATCCGAACCTCTTCGGGCATCTCCGGGATTTTACCGCACGGGTTTGGGAGCAATCGGATACTTTCGGAGAAATTTCCCACACCTTGAATTTTGACGTTTGTCAATTCTGACGGTCGTGCCATTAAATGTATTTGTGTTGTTTTGCGAAAATGCACCCAAAAACTAAGGGACGTAGAAAAAGTATATGCGCAACACTTTCAGTAAATTTTTTAAATCACTCGTTTATTAAACGCTCGCTCTGCTGCACTCCGCTCGTGTCTATTAAACTCCTATGTCAAATTCCGTTTACCGCACTTGTTTCATAATATACTATTACCGGTTTGTAGTATTCTGGAGAGGTTCACTTGACCTACGCTCCTGCAATAATTTAGAAACGTAGAACTTTCCAACTCCAGTTGTGTATTTAAAATGGTAACTTTTTCACTCACTGATGGTGAAGAATTGCTGGAACATATTTTCGGTAGTGTGCCATATTATTACTAATCTAATAACACAAATATACCAATAACAGCACTACCGTAAGTACGTATTAATTAGCATTGCATTAAAGTGTCAATTATTTCCTTGTACTTCGTCCTATATGGAACCAATTATTTTAAAAATCAAGTATAATTGGCCTTTTTTGCACTAAACAGAAAATATACAGGGTGGGTAAAAAAGTATATATTTTTTAAGTTCCTTTTTTAGAGTCCATTTTCGAAATCTGCATCCAATTGCATAATTATATTTACATTAACTATCTCTTATAAGCAAAACAAATAAGTATCTAAATACCACTAAAGTTCTTAAATTGTAACATTTACTTGAACTGAGGCGGCTTTTACTTGCTGAAAATCCATTTAACAAAATAAATTAGAACTAAAAATTCAGATTTTCACGAAATCATATATATCAACAATTGTTTCGACAACACCGTGTCTTTATTAAACATTTGATAAACACGCGAAGCATGTGATTTGTTTAATTCAAGATATTCAGAAAGACCTATCACAAGATCCACAATAAATTAAATTGGGAGAGAATGTATAGAAATGTATTCGAGCATGTTTCTTGAAATCCAATAACCGATCTTAAAATGAATTTGTTGCATATTTTAGCAGTTCACTGTATTTATATTGTCACAGTAAATATGTTTTTTCCAATTTTCCCACTTAGTAGTTGGATTTTCTACTGAATGGTGTACATAAAACTTTAAAAAGTAAGTAAAATAAATTGACGGCTGCCTAAGTAACTGGAAATTTGTCAATAGAAAGAATCTTCACTGCCGGTGGGACGATACACGATTAAAGATGGAAACCTGACGATAACCGACGTGGAGCAAGAAGATAGAGGCATCTACCAATGTTCTGCTACAAACAAGGCCGCCACCGTTACCACCGAGACCGAACTCCTTGTAGAGAATATACCGTCCAGCGCGCCTTACAATTTGACAGCTATCTCTTCTCCTACCTCCGTGCATCTAACATGGCTTTCGCGGCGACATAGAAATGTCGAATTCAGTATTTGGTATAAGAAGATCGAAACCACTGAGTGGCGTACCCATCAGGTGCCATCTTCCAGATCTTTGGAGGCTACCATCACCAATCTAGAACCGGGTGAGATTACCTTCATTTTATACAAGGTGGCGCAAAATACAATAGGTTCGTAGAACAGTCAGAAACTATCCGCAACATAAATAAAAGTGTTCGTAGAAACGATTTGAATACTGGCGCTGTAAAGAACAGTCGTTAGTAGACGTAAAATTACAATCTCGGATCGATTAACAACGATCAATTTATGCTTATTAATGGTTAGGTGTTTTTAAATTTCATAAATTTCTATATGGATTAAATATAAATAGAATTATAATGGTTTTTTTCTATTATGTTTGTGATGAAAAACAAGCCAGATAAGTTTCTGGGTGCCCATAAAACAAGAAATTTCTTGCAAGATTGCTTTTATCAACACAACATGAACTTCTTCAAATGATTTTTTTTATTTATTCTCTTGAACGATCTTGGCAAAAAAAAGGAAAATTATCTGCAATTGATAGTTCCAAATTAGTACAAATAATTATTATTAATTAAAAATAAGGTTCAGATATTCACAACCGACATTTGTTGTAATAACGATAAGGTTAGTTGTTTGCACAGGACGTTCCCAAACAGTCTGACAATTTTTTTTATATGGAACCTCTTTAATATGTGTGCATATTTTGATAACCCCCCGAAATGCTTATATGAAATTATAATTACTTTTAAATTTTATGTATTTATATATATTGAATATTTTACAAACACTGCAAGCAATAAAGTAACATACAAAGAGTAAGAAACTCTAATTTATGATTTGAAACTCGCGTAGAATATCGTTTGTCAAAGTCATCATTTTATTAAAAGCAGTTTTTGACACGCTCAAGTAGGTATATAAAATTACTTAAATTATATTCTTTGTATTTAATATTATTTTAAGTATAATACAAATATACCTCAACCTGTTGTTCACTTTGTAAAAGTGATTTGAATTTAAAACAATCAAGCATAGATTTTTATGAAACCTTATAGGGTTCCGTATTATTTTTTAAGCATATAGGTACCGCAAAGATTTGAATTTTGACGTTTCTTAATTCTGACGGTTATGTCAGTAAATGTATTAGTGTTGTTTTGCGAAAATGTACCCAAATACTAACGGTCGTACAAAAAGTATAGTATGCCACACTTTCGGTAAATTTTTTAAGTCACTCGTTTATTAAACACTAGCTCAGCTCGTGTCAAATAAACTCGTGAGTCAAATGCCGTTTACCGCACTTGTTGCATAATATACTATTTCTGGACATTTTCAACATCAAAATGTAAAAATCTTTGCCAACTCATTTGAGAAAAAGTTGAAATATTTCAGTAAACATGCAATTCTTTTACCCCTTATATCGATCCATCCGCACACATTGCCATTTTAAGTCTTTTTGAAAAAAAAACTGAAAAATTATATGTTACTATTTTACAACGAATTATTTTTTTTATTTATTTTTTAAAACGGTAAAAGAGCTTAAATATGTTTATTTTCTCGTATATTTGTGAGTTGTTTTAGAAAGCTTTTTAGTAGATTACTATAAATGTTATTTTATGCAGATATAAAAAAATGTATAATCGCTAAATAATTATTTCGGTAAAAATATATTGGAAAATAAACTAACCAAACAATGAGAATCCCTACCCATTGGTACAAATAAGCAAAAAAAAAAGACAAATTTTTGACTCGCTTTTCTATCACGATATTGCCAGTCCAGTTCAACTTAACTTTTACTTTACTGTATCAGTGCTGCTAGGTCTTTGTTTTCGGATGCAGGAAAGGAGTACGAATTCATGGTTCTGTGTAAAGATGACACCGGAGATGGCCCCTTCAGCAAATCGATAAGAGTATGGACGAAGAATATAGAGCAGGAGACCAACTTGTATAAAGGTACAGCTCCGATCGGTTATCCTACCAATATACAGAGCAAACCAACCGACGACGGTCTATTTGTTATGTGGGATCCGCCCATATTCGGCTTGGAAGTACTTAAGACCTACATCGTTAGGTGGAGCCAAGGATCTGACGACTACATATTCGGTGCTGCTGAAACACCCGACACATCTTATCTAAGTAAGGAAAACAAAATAGTAAAATTTGTTCACATAATATTCACGCAAATAGTTGACATATAAATGGTTGTTTAACAGGTAAAGCCTAAGCTAAACTTGTCGTTTATAACCTCGCTCTTTGGTATTACTCTATTAGCAAACAGATTATTATAATTTCTGGGTTTGTCCATGGACGAGGATTTGAAGTTTTATTATTAAATTTAATTTATAAATTAAGCAAAAAAATAGTCACAGGCTGCTTCTGCGTGCCTATCACATTTTACGAAGTAAGAAGACTTTGCTGTTGTCGGTTTCGAAATAATTTGAAGACTAGATTTATTCTGCAAAAAAGGGCCTTCAGGTATTTATTCAACGCACTTCCATGAACCTATTGTAAGCACTTTTTATTGAACATAAGATTTTAACTTTACGGTCTTTGTTTATTCTAGAAACTACCCATTTAATTAACAAAAAGAGACACTACTTTCCAATTCCTCATAGCAGTTTCATTAGAATTTCATTTATGTACCGTGGAATCAAAATTTATAATCATGTTGGCCCACAGCTGACGAATGTTGGAGAAATAAAATACTTTAGAAAAGAACTAGAAAATATCGACTACTAAGGGCATTTTATTCTGTAGACGAATTTTATAACAATTGTGTTTATATATCTATCTACAAATCTTTTTGTTCTAATTTTGTGCTCGGTTTGTCTTTCTAATTTGTCCTGTTTGCTTTATTTGCATTTGTGTTTGCAAATCAGGAATATTGTTTTTTTAAACAATATCATATTTAAATACTACTAACATTTAGAAATACCATAAACATAATGTACCCGGTTGATACAAGATGGAGTTACCCCACTGCCCTTTCCTACAGCTTTCAACATGTTGATTTTTTAATACAAGACTGCATAAAACCCAACACATTTTTTGTATTTTTAGGTCACTTATGTTTGATAAATGTTGATGTTTTAGTAATTATTTTAAATTCAAAGCACCCTGTGGTATATTTTTTTAAGGATTTTCCATAGGCAACTATTTACAAAACTTCTGGACTCCTCCTGCGTCGGTTGTTGTTGAGTCGAACTTGCTAACGTTTCGCCAATCATCCTGTTGGCTTCTTCAGAGCTTAACTGAAACTGTTTATTTGTGTCATTTCAAGAAACTTCTTTTTTGTGAAGAAAATTATCCAATAAAATTCGTCCTGGAACGAATTTATGTTACTTAAACCGCAGAAAGTGTCGTTACGTCCAAAAACGCGACTATATATTACTTTGTTGCAGTAAGGAATTTGGAAGAAGGTTCCGAGTACGACATTCAAGTAGTAGCTTTATCTTTCGATGATCAGCAGGCGATCAGCGAAAAAATTAGAGTTTTGTATCCCGGATTTAAGAGCGTCAAAGCTATATCCACCGGCATTATAGTTGGCGTGGTATTTCTGGGCGCTTTGTTTCTGACCATCTACGTAATCAATAAAAAAAGGTGCAAATCGTATCCACAAGATGTTAAAAAGTAGGGTGCTTTATGACTGATAGGTTTATGGTTTTTTATTTTGCTATTATACATGTAAAATTTTTGTTGTGTTATCACTTCAATCGTGCGGAGTCCTTAATTTATTAGACTTTTGGGCAATATATTTGCTGTATTCTGTAAATATTAACTTTTAGTCTTCAACGTTTGATAATTTATTGCATTTAAATTTGCTTATTCGATGTTTTTTAATGTGATTTAATAAAGTCCAATTTAAACCAGCTCTTGTTTTATTTTTCGGCAATGTTCGACTCGGGCATCACCACTTTAGCCATTGCGTCAGTCAGATACGAATCGGAAATGTTTTTATTATATATTTTTAAAACTATCTAGTGATATATTTATTGCTTTTAATAGGAGTTACATCTCAAAATTTTATGATATTTCGTATAAAATAATTTGTGTTTGGTACATGAGTTCAGAAACATTCATTTTCTTTGAAAAAAATTGCTGTGCAAGTGCTATGCTACTAAAGGTGGTGTCAAAAATATCTACTATATCTTCACACACTCAAAGGCAGTTTAAGAGGCAGTATACAAAAGTTCCGCAACACACAAAAGTTCTTCGATACTTGAGCAAATTTCCGTTTCTATTGACTATTACCAAAAATAACATGAGTCATAAATCAGAAACACTGATGGAAAAAGGTAGCAGCGATTTTTTTACGTATTTGTCACATAGATTTTTGGAAAGCAGTCGTTTTATTTTCCTGCTGTCGATGCATTGTATTGACTGTAATTTGGGTTCCATCCAAACTGTTAACGCTGAACAACATACAGCTTGCTACAGCCTAACGAGTCGTAGATCCTTGCACACCATAACCAATACTTCTTTGTTTTGTTAATAACTACTTAATATGGTGGGCACTGTAGGCAGGTAGGTCACAACGTATGACGATTTAGTCAATAGTTTTGAAAAAAAATAGAAGATGCAGTGATTTATATTTAGGGAAGTTTGGAAGAATTCATGAATAATGAAGTAAATTATTTCGTACAAGTCCGAAATTTTCATAAGAAGTTAGCGAGAGTCTATTTTATAAGGTAAAAAAAAGTAGCCTAACATGTAATATTGCAGCTGCTATTTAGTATGTTATTTAACTAGATCTAGAATTCTGTCAACAATGACACTGGGTATATGCGTGAATAACCATTTAAGTAATATTACAGCCGCCACGAACGAAAAGTTGCGTTATTATTGATAATCATTGTCCTTTCAACTTATTCCTATCAGTATCTCTTGAATTTAGAGCTGTATCTGGAAGTGGAAGAGGATTGCCTACACTACAATACTTAGACTGATACTGATCCAATACAATATCCTCCTAGCTAGCCAACACTTTTTTATTTCATTTTTTAGAAAATGTTTTCGGGTGTTTTCCTTTATCAGCTCCTCATTGGCTGACGTCGCCAGAACGACAGAAGACTTCGGTTCTATGTCCTTTCTTCCAACCAACAATTTTCGGCGGACGTGTCAACAAGGACGCGGTGAGATTATAGTGTTAGTTCTAATGAAAAACGTGGTCTATGAAGTACCAGAACTGCTTGTCAAATATCTATATACGAGGTGTATTTATTAATTTATCTAAATTATTGTTGTCCCCCCGGATATAATACTCTTGTACCAACGCTTTTTCCAATCCTCGAAGCACTTCTGGTAAGCACTTTCTGGTGTAGCTTTGAGTTCTTGTAGCGATTTTTTCTCCTCAATCGTTCCAAACCTCCCTTCCTTTCATGGGTTTCTTGAGTTTTGGAAACAGGAAAAAGTCGCAGGGGGCATACCTGACGCATGATTCTGGTTTTGTTTTGGGCCAAAATGTTAAACACAAGCAACGATGAGTGAGCAAGCGCATTATCGTGATGCAAAATTGTTTTCCCACAATTCCGGACTATTTCGTCCTATTGCTTCTCGCAAACGGCGGTAATACTCTACGCCACGGTAATCAAAGAAAACAGTAAGCAAAACTTTGACATTTGATGGAACTTGATGTGCTTTTTTCGATCTTGGCGATACTGAGTTCTTCCATTGGGACGACTGGGCTTTGGTTTCGACGTCATAACCATATACCCATGATTCATCACCAGTTATGGCCTTTTTCAGCATATCAGGATCATCATTCATGTCGTTTAACAGCTCTTGATCCTCCTTCGATGGTCCTTTTACTCAAAATTAGCAGTTTGTGAACAAATTTTGCCGAAACACGTTTCATGCGAAAAACTTCGGAAAAAATTGCACTATTGCAGCCACATAATTGATTTATTTTTTTATTTTTTTGTAACTTGACTTTCAGGAAAAAACTCTACTAAAGTAATATGCGTATAAATAAAAGAGAAAATAATCTGCTAAAGTGAACTGTATATTGGACTGTCACTGTAAATTGTTCTAAATTTTTCTAAAACAATACTATTGAATAGCAACTAATAGAGAATCGAACTATGAAATTCCCACCAAAGTTAAATTAACAAAAGCACTTCCAAAGAACAAAATTTTCTAGCTTGAAGATCAAGCATTTCCAAACTGGCGTATCTTATAATTTTTTGTTAGTAAAACTTTGAAGTTCGAAAAGGGAATCGAGAGGAAACTGTTTCACTACTGGTCCCATTCTGATTTACAGTGCAAATTACAAACAAAATCGACAAATATTATTAGGCCACCTATTAACAGAGGTACTCAAACGCTGATGGCTCAGATTTTGTATTTCATATTCTTTTTTCGGGAAGCGATTTTCAATGAGACACACAAAGAAACTATAGTGCTCATGCACGTCATTAATAATGTTAAAAAATAGCCGGGATTTCCTACCATCACGCGATTGGTTTCACTGGAATTAAATATATCTAAATCATTTACTTCCGCCACCGGCGCTAGTAAACATTGATCGTGACGTATTTTCATGGTTGATTACCCTACCCGTTTTTATTGATATTCAATTATTTTTCATTAAAAATGCCAATAAGTAACCAATTAAATTCGTAACGATCGGTAAAAGTCAACAAGCTTGATGGACTTTGTCGATTCTCCAAAAAAGTGTCAGTTTGAAAGTCAATTCAATTGTTGGATTTTTCGTTTTAGATTTTTAGTCTATAGTTTTACATTGTTGTTGTATGCTTCTATGGAGAATATTATCGAATGTACCGCACCTAGATTGTCATGCACACACCCAAGTCAGTGCTGGAATTTTTGAGAGAATATATATTCCAGTACCGCAAAAGATGAATTTGCCAATTATCCAATGGGCACTTGTAAAGAAAGACGTTAACATTAGTATGTTGATATGCACTTTAGAGTTCATGGGTTCATTGTCATCTGTGATCACTGCTTCTATGCACTTAAATAGCCACTACAGCAATTTTCTTCATTTACTTGCGGGTACGGGTTACCTGTTTTTTTTTCGAACTATAAAAATATCTCTCGTACGCCTTTTGTTGAACGAACCACCAAAACATCAGTGCTGACAAAGGATCTCCTTGTCCTCGTTTGCAATGCACATTTGTGTTCATTCCACTAGTTTTCTCCGTATGCCCATTTTATCAAATTCAATATAGTTGGTTTTAGCGGATGTCTTTTTTGTACAAAAATGTTGACTAAATTTTTTAAAACATTGGTATAATATATTGGAATTAACTTTATCAAAAATTGCATTTAAGTATTGCGGGGTCAAGATACATTTTAAGTTTTTATTTTCGATCATTATAAATAACACCATCAGTTTTTAAAGGCATCCTATATTAAATCGCAGTCCTCTTGATCCAAGTGACACGCATTCATTTATACATTTCAAAAAATTTGATATAAATACACGTCCAATAAAACCAAAAACTGAAAGCAAAATTTCACAAAAATTTGATAAACGCCACTTTAGTCACGATTTTGATTTGGCATGATTGGAGGGTCACCCAGTGACTAAAGAACTTTATCAACGATGCAACAGTTTTGGTTAGTTGGCATAGTTGGTTCTCATTTTTGTCTTATATTTTAAGCAACATAACTATATTGGAAAATATTAGGAGTTGATTTGAACATATTTTTTTATCTGTGGTACTGCAAAAATAAAGTTGTTATGATACTCCCTGGCTAATTGTCTCAAATGCCTTTATTTCCACGACTGCAGCTGGCGTTTTTGGTCATGTCGAGAGCAGCAACTTCGTTTATTTGTCTGCATGTATTCGTTAGCAGACCACTGTTCAATATAAATCGTCCCTGTTCCTTGTGGGTTGTTCGTTGAATAACATGTTTTGTTTTAGTTATCAATGACATACTAAAATACAGTCGACCTCTTACAATTTCAACAAAAAGTTACGCGACCAGGAGGCCCACAACAAAACACTCCCCTTCGCTATGGTATGATAATCGTCACTGCACCTAAACAAAATATTTCAACTGTTTCGAAAACTTTCGATACATTTGGGGATTAAATCTACAACCGAAAACCAAAAATCGTTACGGCTCCTTCCGTGCTGACGCACTCGATGCCAATACGGCCAAGACGTGTTTTGAATCGCACGAGATTTTAGTCCTTAAAGCATTTCCTAGCATACGGCATTGTATGTATCACGCAGGCCGGAATCCTTTCTTCACCGGGGTCATCGTGAGCATATAGACAAGGTTCGTTCCAATCCCAAACCAGAAACAGATTTCAAACATTTGGCATATTTGAGGGTAAACTTGGAGAATGGTTTGCAGAGTTGGAAGAGATGTGTCATACTATTGTCGGTTATCAATCACTTAAGAACTTTATTAAATTTTCTTCCTGGCTTCGGTTTTTATGTATTTGTGTGACTTTATCATTGGAAACACTAATTTTAATCTTGACTCATCTAATAATAATAATACTTGTTATAATCATCGTTCATTTGCTTGAAGGTGGCAGACAATAATATACTGGATATATGCGACATTACACGGAATTTTCCAGAGTAGGAACACAATCGAAAATTTGAGGAATAGCAATATGAAATGGGTTTTCCTGTTTTTCAACTTAATCAAGACATCCTGGTTGCCTAGATATTTTGCGTTCAGTGTGACAAATAACATGTTAAAGGAATTAATAATAATAACAGGAATTTAAAGTGGAATTTAGTTGAAGAACTACAAGTGAATACAAAAAATATATAGAGTCGAGCTACCAGTAGATACGGCAAGAGCCTTAGCCAACCTATGCCATTATTAATGAATGAATATTACTGACACACTGACGACATCAGATTTAAAACGAAAACTAAATAAAGACTAAAAACGAATTTTCTTTGAAATTTTTTTAATGTTTGTTTGAGAATGTTATAATATATTATACAAGTTATATAAGTTGCTTGATGTGAAATGGTAACAATATGGCCAACAAAAATTTTGATTTGGTATTTTTCATATTTTTGGAGATATACGAACTAAACTAATCGAAAAACAATGTTTTTTGTTTCTAATATATTGGAATTAATTTTTTAGATATCTTTTTTTCTTTGTGTTCTTTTGTGGTCAAGAAATTTAGACGTAAAATTACACCCTTGTTTAAAAAACAATAATAGACTTATTTTAAAGTAAAAATTGGTGATTAAGACGAACCTTAAGCGCCACATATATTTTGTAAGATACTTAAGCTTGAAATAAAGCTGAAGCTTATTTTAAATACCTATGTGCGAGATTTCCCCCCAGATGCAAAATTAAAGGACGAAATTTTTGTGGTCTTGAGATAAGGGGATTAATATAAGATCAAGATTTTGTGAATACCATGATCGAATATGAAAAAGTTAAATTACTGATATTATAAAAGGGTTTCTAAGCAAACAACAAATATCCAAATTGCAAAGATGTTAGAAAACATGTTAGAGGAATTTAGAGAAATGGGATGCAATATGAGTATAAAAGTACACTTTTCACGCTCACATCTGATGTTAAAGAAATAGAACACAGGTGGGGCGTTGTAATAATGGCAGATTACTGCTGATCATTAAGAAGGAACAATGCATGAAAATCCACTAAACAAAGTTTTTCGGCCAAGAGCGAGAGAGCTTCGAAAAATAAATGTATTTTTTGACACTTTGTAATTTAATTTAGATTTTTTAATTCGCTTTTTGTTCTTGAGCTAATAAAATAATGGTTAAATCTCTTAATTTTTTAATTTTGATAAAAAACAACCCTTTGCTACACCAATTGCGCAAAATATTTAATTGTTCCTGTAGCAGAATGCTGTCATTCATAAACGAAAGCAAATATCTTCAAGTTATCAATCGTTTAATTATGTAAATAATTCGATTAGACTGTCCGTCTCTGGTCTACTGATCTTTCTTTTATTGTTAACTGTAGAAACGTACTGTACACTGGTACACCGTACAGTGAGGATAAGAGTTTAACCTTACTGTGCAGATAATTTTTCGCGCTCTGTATAAGCAATCTGAGATTTTTTGCTAATTTCTCAGGTTAACTTGTTAACAGGTTAAAGTGAAATTTTAATTATCCAGGCAAATTTTTGGGTACTAGCTACGAACAAGATATCAGGGTGATTATAGCCTTGTCTGCGCTGAGTATTCGATCCCAGTACAATCTTTGCATTTTAGTACCTCCAGACTCAAGTACTTATAATAGGGGACCGGAGTCCAAACGTATAGGACAGGTATTTATTTTTCGAAAGACTCTTCAATCTTCACGTGCTCTAGTATTCCGTCTGACACCTATCCAGGACGTTCTTATTTATGATCTTTTTCTGATAGTTTCTCAACTTATTAATCGGCCTGCTGGTCGGTAAGTTATAGATGAATATAGGATTTCTGCATTTGGTAAGTAATGCGACGATTTTGCCAGATTTTTCACTGACTTTATTAGTTTCCGCTCAGCATGAGAACTTTGTAACAAAGATGGGCTTTTCCTCCAGGTTCTGTAAAATGATGTCTGCTTTGTTTGCCATGCTCATCCTAGGGAGCAGTTCCACAGAATTTTGCATGGACTGTCTTCCACCACTGATCAGTCGTATTTGAAACATGATAAATTTCTGGATCTCCATCGATCCTTAGAGGTAACGCAAAAGGTAATATAAAACTTTTAGGGCTTTATCATGCTCTGGGCAGGCGGTTATAGGAAGGTGCATGCCGATATCTCTGCTCTGAATACAAGATGGACAGGCTTGGTTGGCGTATTAATCCAAAATATCACGTCTATATGCTCATTCGTTCATAACAGAGCTGATGGTACATTAAAACGTGTCATACTTCATTATGTTTATAGGTAAGTATATTATAAGTACATAACGTCAATTTTAACAATACACTAATACAATTAACATAATATAGTTAAGAGTCCACAATTACCATCACCAATTGTCCTATAATGGAAATCAACCAGGTTCTAAGTTTGAACTGGGAAAATATATGTTAAAGATGCTAGGGGCGCTGAATTAACTCTCCTTCAAATATGGACGGTTCCCAACAGCATTTGCATTTTCTTTTAAAGCAAGTAGTTTACTTTATACTCCAGAGCTACACGGCGCTATAGTGTACAACTTCTCGATGTTGTAAAGTCCATGTTCCCATTCCTCTGCGCTAGGGAATAAACCTTGGTTAATTGATACTAGTAATTTGAGCGTCATTCGGTTTATGCATTGAATTTCTTCCAAAGTCGAGTTGTCACCACAAGCTGTGATGTACAACAGGCAAGGTTAATGTACCAATCGCATGTATAACTACGTTCTTAGAATCTTTCGGATCCTGCCTTAATACTCCTTCCTCATTGTTTTCAGGGTCCAATGCTTTAATCGATTACTAAAGACATATCAAGGAATATCACCACTAAACATCTTGGTAGCAGCCTTCATTAACTGCAGTTAACAATGACAAACAAGTAGCTAGTTAACTAATTCTGTAGATCCAGTAATTTTTTAGGAGCCCTTCACTTGCCGAAGTAGATTAAATAAAGGCGCAAGTGCTATACAAAATAATCTTGGAGAAACTCTTGGCATATACATGGTAGCTCTTTTAGTTCCAAGCAGGATTTTTGTTTTACGTTTGCCCATGAAGTTTTTAAGGAACTTGATGCATCTGTCATTGACATGTGCGACCAATGGGTTTCCAGTAATAAATCCAGCTAATCAACAATGCTTTCCTTGGTTTGCAGCAGTATTCAAGGATAGATTTTGAAAGGAACAAGTAGTGTTTGCAATCTCTTGATACTTTTCGGCTGCCTTTTTATTGCGCTTGGATTAGGTGATGTTCCGATGCGTGCCTAGTTATTCTTCGTGGCAGTTCAGTAGTTCAGTTTTAGGAATGCATATTATTAGGAATGTATATTGTTGTATTTTAACGCCAGATATTTGTGACGTGTAGATCTTTCAGCCAGGCATTTGGCATTCGATACGAACCAGTTACTGTTTAATTACTTCCCAGTCTATTGATGGGGCAGTCTATGTAGATAATTCTTTGACTATTGTGCTCTTTGGGGATCTCATAGATGTTTCTACATTATTGTTATTATTTAATTCTATCATTATTATGAACACTTAATTATTTATTAATTAAAATTTATCAATAATATCGTTAATAGATATTAAAACGAATACAGGTCCCAAATTAAAGCCTTGTGGAACCCTGGATACAGCAGTGTACTTTACGGAATTGAAACCATTAGACGAAACATCCTCTTTATGGCTAATAAGATAAGATTTAAGAAAGATTGGACATCCATATTAAAACCAAACATTCGAAGTCATCGATTTGTCCGCATGGCAAATACTTGACTCTGGTCTGTCGCCCACGTAGTAGGTTGCACTTGCTTGGTACACATGCACTCGTTTACGTTCGATAGCAGTAGTCAGCGAGGAATACCCCGCTGGCAGCAAAAGCGCGTTACAACCGCGATGTCCGCAAAAGCGAACTATCTAAAATAGTATTACGCGGCGCGTTAATACAAACAAACGCGGCGGTTCCGAAGAATCTGCATCTCGTGATACATTCGTCGTTACAGAGAAGTTCGGTGCCAGTGTCCGTGCCGTTACACTCAGAAGGCTATGCATTGCTGCGTTCGGAACGAATCGATTTGACAACAGTCGGATTTTCGGTTCCCTAATTTGATTGCGGTAAGTGGAGCTAATCGTTTCTTTGTTTGGGTGTCTGGCTTTGTGGACGTCGATCCTCTGTCGTTTCGGAGGAAAATGTGTGGGTTATGAAACGTGGAGAAATCCTAACGCAAACATAGAAAAGGCGGTCGATGGCCAGAAACATTTCCGCGTTTATATTCGAATTGGGACGCAAGCCGACTTGATAGTAAATAACATTCTCGCCTTTGTTTTGATGAAATTTTATGGTTTGTGTTAGCGGGGAAGCTTTATTTATTTACCTACCTAAATGATACAGTATGTGTCACCAGTGAAAGTGGTTTTAAACGCGCTTAGAGTGGGGTCATTGAATCTTTGAAATGAATGCGGAGAATACGCTGCAGTATGAAAAAATCTCCTTTTGTATATTTGATTGTTAGGATTACACCAGACTTGCCTTTGTTCGGAGATTGTCAAGACTATTTTATTTCTGATGAAAAATGGGGTCTGAGCGTACCCATTAAACATGCCAACAAGCCAACAAGAAATGCTAAATTTAAAAAATGGTGTATCTCGAAGAGGTGGGTGTTGGCATCTTAAGAAAATGCGAAACAGCTTGGACAAAATCTCCCATTAGAGGATGTTAGTAATCACAACTAAAAGCATTATCGAAGTAAATGATACGCAAGAACTTTAGATATCTTTTTTTTTTCCTAAAAAATAAAAAAAAACATCTCTACAACTAACTAAACTAACTAAAGAAAAGAAACAACATATTGAAAACAGAAGTTTTGAATCAATCTGACCCAAATGTACGGCTCTAGCCAACGTAACCGATGACTTGGCCAGTACTTTGGGTAGAAAGGATCCATCCAGTCTTTCAAGACTATTCCAAAACATTAGGCATGCCCAATCCTGCAACCTACCTTTCTTATTTTATACATGTGGTTCTGTAAATGTATTTCAATATCTGCAAGCAAAGGGTGGTTCTTGAGAAGAAGCAATCAGACCCAGTTAACGTAACTTAAATTCTTATTCCAAGCTTAAATTCTTATTAAATCTTATTATTATTATTGTTATTATTATTATTATTATTCCATCTCAGACCCATGAAAATTTCAAAATGAGCCTCACCAAAACTTTAACTATGGTGATCAGTGGTGGTTCAGTACAAAAGAAACTAAAACAAACTAAAAGCATAGCTAAAAACTTGGGTTTAATCTTTAACGATAAGTAAAAATTAAAAAAGCATAATAAAATTTGTCTCCATTAAACACACAACTTTAAAATCTATATTTACACGTAGGGATTACCTTTTCAGAAATAACAAATCTCTCCCAATTAAAGTTTTCTCAAGATTTTTGCGCTCAATGAATACAAAGAATTCCTAATAAACGTAATAATTAAGTGAATATAATTGATTCTCGCATCAAAAACCGACATATTTCTGCAAAAAAATACACCTTACACCTTTTCTTTAACTGAATAGGCCTGTGCTTTGTGATGTCACCAAAATATAGTAAATTAAATATGGGAAAAAATTGCGTTTATAATGTTTGACCTTTCGAAGCCAATTGATATTGTTTTATCTCACGGAGTGTAAGCCCGGTTTTGTTCGCCCACGTCAAATAAAGCGCTTTGTTAAGTCGTTAAACGTCTATGAATTTAAATTGAACAATTTTACCATTTCTGATTTAATAATTTAATATTTGTCGGAAGTGTGTGTCCCATTGGTAAGGTTGCAATTGCAATACCGACAAATTGTTATTTTATCACTTTAAAAAACATCAAACTCTTTGTAAAGTAAATGCAGGATACGAAATTTTCTGATGATGTTGTAGTACATAAGATAAGGTGGGACAAGTGCGACCGAAAATTTTCATAGTTGATAATGAAACAACTATAAAAATTACTTCTTTTAAACTTATGAGTTTTCGTGTGTTTGCCATATTAGTGTGATAATTAACTTACATATTAGTAATACCTATTTATCCAAAATGCAATATTTGCCAATTTACGTACATATATATTTTTTTAAGTACATGTTACGCACTTGCCCCACTGGTCCGGGGCAAGGGCATAATATATCATTATTTTTGCTATTAATACGTTGCGTCCTACGCGGGGCTAGTACAGAATACCTACATATCTGCATTTTTTATTTGTCATTTTCTATTTTCATTAATTATTAAACAAATAAAACTACAAAATATATTTTAAGGGTAAGTCAAAAGATGCAAAAATATTTTTACTACAGAAATATTTATTTAAAGGTTAGAACCTAAAGCCATACGAACTAAAATAAAAAACATTAATTAATGTTGATCGAAATAAAGAATAGTTATAAAAATATATATTTTTCATGCTTCAAAGACTTTAGGAACTGTCTCAAGAATATGCTTTTTTAAGCCTATTACTTCTTCTTCATCAGCATTAAGAAGTTGTTTTACCTATCATATTTGTGTACTTTCTTTTTTCCAGGAAGATTTACCAACGCAAAATCGACAATTTGTATTGTGGTAAGTGTAGGTTCGTCAGCAATTTCGGTATTGGTAACTGGTGTATTCAATAAATATAGAAGGATTTATTTTTGCTGATGAGAATGCTCTAGAAGTTACAAAACACGTGATTCTTGCACACTTGCAACTATTATTCTACCAAACATACATTATTAACTATGTATTATTTTATAGAGGTGCTACAGGTATCAAGGGTATCAAATAATAGATGGCAGCAATTATTTCAAAAGTAATAGGATTTTAACAGTCATATTCTGCACTTTCTCCGGAAACGCACTTGCCCCACCTTACATACTAAAAAAATTAATATAACTATCAACAAATTTTCTCTAGGATGCTTTAGCTGTCCGTAGTAATTGCCAAGCTGTCTGCCGAATTGAAGTTGAGCATTATAGGAATTTTTAAATAACATAATTTTGAAAAATGCGATTAGTGGCAATTACAATGTATTAAATCTTGTTATAAAAGATGTTTATTTACATTGCATATTATTTTTTCAAATTCTTTTATACAGAAACGACGCAATTTTTCTCCAGCTTGAGTCTAATGCATACATACGACAGTTATTTAAGAATGAAAATCGAAGCCTTAATCTTTAATATAAATTTATTTGTATTGTGCTGCTACATTATTTATATGTCGGTGGCATTGCGTATTATCAGAAATCCAGTCATCAATATTATTCATGATATTTTTGTATTCGGCACGACCACAAGGTCAATGCTAAGTGATATTGAGTTATGGGTCAAAGATCACATGTTGTGTAAGGCTATCGTTAACAAATTCAAAGTAGAAATGTTTCAACGTGTCACGAATCACCAACTAACCAAAACTTTTGCTGAAAAAATGTGAGATTTATCTTAACCAAATAGGTTATCTGACACATTTTTTTTCAAATACATCCGAGAAAATAATGCCTTATTAGTATATTGCAATTACCTGCAGAGTGTGAAAAAAATAAATCAAGTTTAGTAGCATACATTTTTCATTATTAATTTATTCATGTCACAATTCAATTGACTGATTAGATAATAACCTATAAGTTCTTTTAAACTTCAATGCAGTAGTTTATTGTCATCCCAATTGTCGGCAACCTAAAAAACAATTTATCTATACATTGAACGATTAGATGAGGCCAACTCCCCATTGCCAGCGTGTTGCATACTATACCTTTTCCACGAGAATTAGTTTTTGGATATATCTTTGCAAAACGGGTCGAAGACATTCACTGACTGATTTGTGAAGTGAATATCGAAACTGAAAAACGTCACACTGTGACTAAAGTACCGCATTAAAATCTCGATTTTGGCTTTCATATTGTAACACTTATGCTATACTGATGGCCGAAAGTTAGAACTTACATCTATATACCGCAATTTTTTGTTTCTCTTCTTTCGAGTCTAGTAGTTCAAATAAACATAGATATCCTACAGGACTAAGCTTTTGTAACACTGGATTAAAATTATTGAGGAAAAACTCAAAATAATATACAAATACTCGACAAGATTCCGTTGATTGCTCATTCATGTGAACCCATGTGAAATTTGAGTTCCACATTGTTGTAGTACAAACATTTAGAATGTTGATAACAGTACTTACATTTTATAATTTTAATGAATAAAATGAACCGGAATGCATGGTTACCGACTAACAAGGAGCGATAGATTAGATGCACAAGTTCATCGTCACAGTAGAAAATTTAAATGCAGGTAAATAATCAGAAATGTTTCATTTGATAAACAATTTTTTTTAGGTTATTGCTTAATTAAAACTTTTTTTTTGCAATTCGTATGTTTTTTATAATTTACAATGTTTCGAATTTTTATTGCTTGTCCTAAAATGATTCCCGCCAGTTTTTTTAGTTTAATTTGTAGATAATTTGTTAGTATAATAAGCATACCAATTTAACAAAAAAAATGTTTATAGCAAAAACCACAAATACATTTCGATCTGAAAATATTATTTTCGATATAAAATATTAAATATTTCGAAAAAGGTGAACCTGGACAATGGTAAATGACTAAATCTCTTTTTAGTAATACAGAATTTTAGAAATCAAAAATATTTTTTAGTTAAGGATCTGAAACTTAACTCGCAACATTCCATAATTTCATATGGGATTTAAGTTACTCCATACTGGCCGTTTACAAAATTATTTAAATTTCTATGTTGTGCGTGTATTAGTTTAAATCATTTCGGCGACAAAAACAAGGAACTAGAATAATATAATTTAGGCAAATGTTGCATGCATAATTTGTTGGATAAAAAGATGCACTTTAGCTCATGATTTGCAGGATGTCAATCGACAGATGCAAAACGTGACGCGACAAAGCTTCGAAGATTTCAGTTTTGATGAGAATGGTATCGATCTATATTTTTCTCTGGTTAATAATTAATTAATAAAGCTTGAGTATCGCCAAGGCAGCAAAATAATGTGAGAATTGAGCAGCTTGTATCGCTAAAGTTTCCGTAAGAGCAATTTTGCATTAAAAGAAAGTGTTATTCTACAATATGAACCACAGACATTTTTTATGGCCTTCTAAACAAGTAGAGCTTTATGCTAATAACCAAGAACTGGCTGCAGATCCACGCGGAAAAAAATATATTGTCGTAAATTACAAAAAACTTAAAAAGTTACTATTATAATATTTAAATAAAACTATTTTACAATATTAAATAGTAATAATCCGGGCACTGATGGAATATTCCATCACTTTTTTTAAACAAATTGCTAAATGTACTAAAGCGAACATGAGCTTAATCTCACATAATTAGAACGGCATTTAACGAAGCTAATTTCTGACCAACAACAAGCTTATTGATTGCGACCATTTAACTGTCATTTTAAGTTGGTCGGGAAAGGATATCGTCGTGTTTTGATGGCGTTTAATTTGATCGCAATTATCGTCCTTTTAAATATATACAAAGTTTTATATTGAAAATTGCAGTTTTGCTGGAAAAATAAATCTATTTGTAACTTTTTAGTAGAATGCGCACGTGATATTTTTTTTCTTTTTCAAAACATTATAATACCACTCCTCCAACAATGTTATAAAATGTAACTCCAAGAGGCAATGTCAACAATTGTCTGATTTAAATAAAGTCGAATGTAGATAAATATGTTTTTTTTTCATCTCCATTTGAGCTGTCAGCATCGATTGTTTCGATTCTTCGTTTGATATTTAGGTCAAATCCAATACTTAATATGTAGATTTATTTTGTTTAATAGAAGTCAGGAATGCTATATGTATGCTATAAATATAAAAATGTTTCCATTGTTTTCCCAAATGATATCCGCAGTGTATAATGATAAAAACTGAAAACTCATTGATCAATGATCTCTAATACGTACTTATTGACTTTAATTAAAAGGCATAAGTGACTCACAGGCAGCTCATAATCTATTAATTTTTGAACAATAATTAAGACATCCTATTTTTTTGGTTTCTAAGTGTCACACATTTAATAAGAACCACAAACACCAATAAACTTTTTAACTTGCTTCAACTATAATATTCATACAACTAAGATAACTAGGTATGTGTTTCCCTATATTCGCTTTTTTATAGTTATCATTAACTCACCGATAATCTTGTTAACGGTGTGTAGTGTAAAAAAAAAGAACCCATTACAACAATCTTCGTTCCTTCAACGCGAAAACATAAATACATTCAGACAGTTCGATGACTCAAGTTCCCAAAAATAAATGCAAACTATCATATGTATAAGTAGCCCCAGCCAAATACTTTGTTTTAACATTGACATAACCCGCTGCCAAAAAATAAAATAACATTACGGTAAAATAATAGGATTCCAAATAAAACAAAATGTCATAAGAAAACTAATCTCACATGGAGTAGAGCGCTCATAGTTTTGGTTAGTTAATTCTTAACTAAATGTTCAGCAGGCAACTTGTCATCCTGTATATACAATCAAATATGCTTGACAGTATTTGTAGAAAGTTATTTACTAATCAGTTTCATAATATACATCAAATTTACGCAAAATATAACTATTTGCTTTACAAACTAATGTATGTTTACTTCATTGTTGTTCACTTAGATATTTCAAATTAAAGAGGCTAGAGGATCTGAAGGAACTGACATTTAGTTAAATATAATCGATATTTGCATTTGTTCGAGAAGATTTACCTGAAACATGCTCATATTACTGTAATCTCTGTTACGAGCTTCTTGTTTATTATATCAACCCCGTACCCAGGTTTAGGTAACTTTCAATTACAATAATTCTCAGTGCTGTATAATCCATTATTATTAGACATTTGAACTTGCGCAATGAGGCCTTTTTCCTAAACAATAACAAAAAAAAAAATGGGTACAATCGTCAAACTGTGGCTATCTTTACGTGAAATGTAATTGAAGCGTGGATTTTTTTTTGTTACAGGCGTTGAGGCGTTAGGTTTTGATGGTAGACATTTGCTATGGAAATGGCATCGGAATCTAAAGGCGTTAATATACACCTGCCGCTGAATCCTGAAGAAGGCAATGAAAGCGTTTCCTTTAACGTTAATCCCGGAATAGTCTATTCACCTCCCATTGGAAAAGAACGCGAATCTCTAAATAATGCATTCGTGTTAAGGTAATTCGAAAAAAACTTTTAGCCTTTTTTGTGTTATAGTTTGCCAACGGATTTTTCAAACGGGTTAATGTATATAGTCCGTTACCTTTCACGTAATCAAGAATTAATTTAATTACTACTGGTTTTAAAACATCTCGTTCGATTTTTGATATATTATAATTTAGCTTTTATTATTATTATTTTCCATATTTTTTGTTCATCAAATTAAAGACACATGTGATTTCTGTAATGTACAGGGGACAGGTGCACTCAAATGTGTGATTAAACCAGTGGAAACAAAAATTGATTAGTTTATCAACCATTCAACCATTTTCCTATGCCTAAATATTAGGGATGCTAACATCTTCAGATATGTCATAGGTAGGCATAAAACTGTTAATCAATGTCAATATTTTTTTGTTAATGTGTACCTATTTTGTGAAAGTATTCAATAAGCTCATAATGGAGAGATGTATTTACTCGAATGAAGTCTTGATAAATTTGTTTTAAATAGACAATGTGGTCAAATTATAGCAAGAACATGACAAACGTAATGAATTGTCAACTGCTGTTATGTATTGCTCACCAATTTAAAGTTTTTTGGTTTGGGAGAGACTGTGCTACTTTCTTTTTCCAATTATTTTAAAAGAAGGCTCCAGTAATCTGCGCTAAACCAGCAGTCCTCTCCCTTGGTTTATAGATCGAGGAGTTGTGCAGGGTCTTCTTCTTTTCTCAATATACACTTCTGATTTCATAAATTTCTTTAATTACTCCTACTGTCATCAATACGCAGACGATACTGACATTTATTTTTCTTTTCCTTCCAAAAAAGTACATTAAGCAGTAAATATGAAAAATGATGACTTAGAAATTATTTCAGAGCTTTCCGAAGCACACAAGTTGGTACTTAGTGGAAACAAAACTCAGGTCGTTTTATTTGATGCTAATATGGTATATATGATAAATGAAGACTTGGAAATTATTTCAGGGCTTTCCAAAGCACAGAAATTGGTACCTAGTGGAAACAAAACTCAGGTATTGGGAACTAATAGAGAGAAACACCTCGTTTATAGTACATTTGAGTGATATTGCATTAAAGATTACCGATTCATGTAGAAATCTCATTTTTGATTCAGACATGAGATTTTCAACACATGTTTCTTCATTTGTTTAAAAAACCTATGCCACGATATATGGGGACATCCTTGAAACTGGTACCAAACTACCACTAACAGATTCTTTAATGTGATCTCATGTTGCTTACTGTGACGTTGTTTTTTGACTTGCTTTATTGCAGAAAGATAGGAATAATCTATAAAAGCTTCTTATTGCTTGCCACAGATTTGTTTATGGTGTGCACAAATTTGAGCATATTACAACATTTCTGCAATTGTCCGAATAGCTCACCTTAAGCGAGAGATAGTTTTTTGCGTTTAGCAACTCTTATTTTGAGGTTCGCGCCATCAAAACTTGTATGGTGTACCGCGGCACACCACATTGTACCAGAGATCCTTTAGTTACAATGCCTTCAGTATCTTCAGTGTTAAGGGTTTTCTTTGCACCGAGTGGTTGTAGAAGAGCAACCTAGTTGGATATCGCCACCCATTAGATAATAATATGTGCAGAACTACCTTCTAACTAAATAAAGACATTTTTACTTATTTATTTAACATGCTCAACATTCAATTAGTATATCATAATTTAGAAATAAAGAAAGACCAGGTTTCGATGGAAAGTGCAGGATAAGGTTTAGTCCATCCAAAGAATCCAAATAATTTACGAGAGTTCAACCCCTTTGATGAGATGGCAGAATTGTGCTTCTGTCTTACTTACCGTATTAGAGTTATTAAAGGTAATACATGTTTCACAAATTTGCTGGACTATTTTTTGACTAATTATATACCCGTAATTCGTTTTCCGGCCAAACGAGGTGTCTATTTTCTCCCGGAAATAACGAAATAAAGACAGTGTTGCGATGACATAATTTTATAATTTTGAAATAAATTTATTCTTTTACTAAAAATAAGTGCTTTAGCTGTAGCGGCCGATAAGCATACAACTAAATAACTAATCTTATCGCGTCGCAGATGCAAAACGCGTGACGATTATACACCAAACGTCATTAACAAATTTAATTAGAATCAATATCAGATTCACTTATATTGTAATAACGGTAAATCACTCGAGTCTATTTGATTGTACGATCGGAGGTGATACGAGTGCGCTTAATTTAGTCCATCCGTTGTTTAACCTCGTTCGGCGTGATGCTCTTTTTCAGCGGTTCGCAGACGAACCTCTGCAACGGATCCCCTGCGACGGCATTAACGATGCCCGGAACTCTTCGGAAAGTACCAAACGGCAGTCCCAGCAATAATCACAACAAGAGACCGATGATTTCGCTAACTCACCTACCGAAACGGCCTCCCGTTGATATAGAATTCATAGATCTGTCGTATTCCGTATCCGAGGGACGCAAAAGGGGTTACAAAACGATACTCAAGTGCGTAACCGGTAAATTCAGATCTGGCGAGCTGACCGGCATAATGGGACCATCTGGGGCAGGAAAAAGCACCTTGATGAACATATTAGCCGGCTACAAGTAAGTAATGCGGTATTTCAGAAAGGTGTAGAATAATAAAACCTCATTAAGAATGCAGAAATACTTAAGTCACTTTCATTTTATTTTAACAGAATAAAAATTCCTTTTTAAAAAGCTTCTTAATTACACCCGCGTCGGTTGTTTTTGAAACGCACGTGCTGAAACGTTAGCAAGTTCGATTCAACAATAACCGACGCAGCGGAATCCAAAAGTTTTGTAAATAGTATAATGTGCTTGAGGAAGTTTCTTTGAAAAAAAGAATAAAAATTAGGTTACTTTTCACAGAACTTTGGGATTCCTCCTGCGTCGGTTTTTGTTAAGTGAAACTTGCTAACGTTACACCGATCATCCTTCAGAACTTAACTGAAACAGTTTCAGAATTCAGAAGTTTTGTGTAAAGTATTACAATAACCTGTGGAAGTTCTTTCAAAAATTAAAAATTAGGTTGTATTAGGTACCCTTATTTTTCATTAAACATTGCGCGAAAATTCGATTCGATTTCGATTATTTGAGAAACTCACATCATCACATCTAATCAAGATCCCACCTTTTCTATTTTTTTTTTTTAATAATATACCGGACAGCAAGTCGCAAGTTATTTCATTCGCTTGATCAAACATCAGCTAAGTTCTATAAGACTTGCTGCTCATTATATATTTTTCTGCTATATCTTCTTTAGCTTATTTCATAAAACGATGTTTGTGTAAATTGCTATAGGCAATTAGTTCCTTCCTTATCAAATTATCAACAAATTTAATGTTTTTGGTGCTTGTTCAGTCGATAATTTCTTGTTTTCTACAAGATGAAGGCGGAGTCTACTCTGTGCATCGTAATTTATCCATAGCTACTTCTGTAAACTTAGAGTTATTTTTTTGGATATACTACTAAGAATACTACCTTGCGCATAGCACAAGGTAGTATTCTTGGTCCAATTTTATTTACCATTTTTGTGAATGACTTGTATTTCGTAACACAGTCAGAAGAAGAGAGCATAATATACCAACCTGCTTGTAGGTGGAAATAATCTCACTGAGGTTAGTGATAAAGGCAACGATATTTTTATAAGGGCTTATGACTGGTTTCTAAGAAATAAATTGATATTAAACAAAGAGGAAACGAATTTAACTATGTTTAGAACTAGATTATGTAGAGTTGAAATACCATTAGGAATAGGGATAGGTAAAGAAAATATTAGTATTGTAAATAGCACTAAATTCTTAGCTTTACAAATTGACGAATTTCTTGATTGGTCTGAACATATTGATTATCTGCTAAATAAATTAAATTCAATTTGTTATGGAATTAGAGTCGTTGCAAATTATATGAATAAGTAAACTTTAAAAGTTATGTACTTTGCAAACTTTCAGTCGCGCATGAGGTATGGAATTATCTTTTGGGGGGGTAGTGGTCAACTACAGAAAATTTTCGTGGTTCAAAAGAGAACTCTTCGGACTGTCAAAAAAATGCAATTTAGAGAGAGCTGTAGAGGGGTGTTCAAGACTGAAGGTATTTTTACTGTATATGCTTTATATATTTATGAAGGATTGATATTCTTTTTTAAAAATCGAAAGGACTTCGAACTACAGATATTTCGAAGATATAATACCAGAACCCTAAATGTAAATTACCCTATTCACCGTTTAACCTTAACTGAAAGGAGTCCTTATTACATGTGCCTGAGATTGTATAATAAATTACCAAATGAGGTAAAAACAATTGCAAATCTAAAAATCTTTAAATTCACAATAAAAAAGTTATTGATAGAGTTAGAACCTTACTCCATAGAAGATTTTTTCTGTAATATTTAAATAATTGTTTAATTAATACGATATAATTGAAATTTGTAAGAATATCTAGTGCTTTTTCCTTTTTTGACGCCAATTTCCTTTGTGTTTGGTATATTATTTTCAGGTAATGTATTTATGACACAATGTGAAATAAAGTTGATTATTACTATTAAAAAATACCTAATTATACATCGATCTAGAGCACGGAAAGTATCATTTTACTAGGTCACTTTTGTTTCCCATGGATCCGAGCCACTTCGGACATTTCCGGGATTTCACCGCATGGGTTTGGGAGCAATCGGATGTTTTCGGAGATATTTCCCACGCCTGGAATTTGGCGTTTGTGAATGTTAGTGAATGTATTCATGTTTTTTTGCAAAAATATACCCAAAACTAACGGTCGTAGAAAAGGCGTACCTAGTATTGGTAAACTTTTTAAGTTACTCGTTTATTAAACACTTGCTCCGCTCGTGCCAAATAAACTCGTGGTTCAAATGCCGTTTACCACACTTGTTGCATAATATACTATTATCATCACTAAACTAACCAAAATGGTCTTCAAAAATAACATCAGTTAACATGCCAAGTGGTTCCAATTTACAATAGGCTCAAAATAGTATATTGTGAGAGACTTGTTTACCAAACGTGTTGCATACTATACTTTTTCTACGACCGCTAGTTTTTGGGTACGTTTTTGCAAATCAACACGAATACATTCACTAATATGACTGTCAGAATTGGCAAGCGTCAAAATTCAAGTAGTGCGGTAATATCTCCGAAAACATCCGATTGCTTGCAAACCCGTGCGGTAATATTCCGGAAATGTCCGAAGCGGCTCGGATGCGTGGGAAATGAACCTGACGTGGTAAAACATTTTCCTCTTCGTCCTGTATGTATGCCGGGTGTTTCATGTTCGCTGTGGCAAAGTGAAATTACAGGTTTCGGTTTAGTGCTTTTACATTTCAAATGGTGAGGTGATTTTCCTTAATTGTGCCAAAAATTTGATATTTCAAAGTCGTAGGAAAATTTGATTTCAATGAATGAAATAAAATAAAACTAACTTACAAAAACTTCTTATAAAAATCAAAACAAAGTGGCCTCTTGGAATATCGTTCAGATTATGATACAGCGTCTGTCATTTTATTGGAATGAATTAAACTACGTTAATTGCCTAAATAATATTTTATTGTTCTATCTATTTTAGTTTCTTAGACAATAAAAACATTATTTTTGTCACATTTGTAGCGCAATATCTTCCTAATGTGGGTTTTGACCCATCGTTTTGATAAAAAATTACGTATTTGTTTTGAAATACCCTGCATTTGGGATATCTGTACACCGGTAGTCACATATGCCCTTATGCAATAACTTACTGTTTTCGAAGTTGCTTCGAAATTAGTATTTTATTTCAAAGTCACAATGATTTCATAGAAATCAAATTATTGTACAACCCAAATTTCAAAATATTTTTTTCTATTCACAAACTCTAAAACACCAAATTACGCGAGGTACTTTTCTCAAGAACAAATATCAGTTTTTTGAGCCTTGAAACTGACAGTAACATAACTACTTTTGATTACAATACCTGAAGATAAAGGATTAATTACATTTGATAATCATTTTACTTTATATTGTATATATAAAAATTAAATTGCTAGATCTTATCTTCGACCATAAACTTAACTTCAAATATTAGTGCAATCATCTAGTCTCAAAACTACATTGAAAAGCATCCCTCGTGAAAAAGTTAACATATTTATTTGACGAAAAACAATTAATCCAAATTCACTACTCAATATAGAATACAGAATATGATACGGGTTGGTCAACTCGCTAAAGAGATGTTTTCTTGGCCCAGAAACAGCAAATAAAGTCTATAGCAAGTTCTCGCCATGTCTATATAGCTTAGATATAAGTGTTCAAAAATAAAAATTAAAACATTTCATATTAATCGCCACAAAAAAATTAGCACCATTATTTTTTGATAAAATAATTGTGAACTAGAAATAGTCAAAATTAAAGAATTATTTAGTTGAAAAAATTTTTTAAAAGTTAAGAGTTTTTATATTTACATTCTATAATAAAAATAATAATAATAGTAAACTTTAATGTCTAACGTCTGAAACGTAAAAATATATCTTTTAATGCCAAGGTATATTGAGCCGGTGTTAGATCATTGCCATCTAAGTTGCTACAAATTCGATTAAAAATACCCATTGCTTGGAAGGGTGCACTTTGATCTGTGGAGGGAGTTGGTAGGCGGAATATTGGACATGTTCAGACTGCCCGCGAAGGAACGTAAAAGCCGATCTGCGATAACAACTCAGAGCAGAGAGATTTACATAATTTAAATAAAAATTGAACTAGTATTTCCAATGGCCTTAAAAAAACATTATGAATAAAGCATCTCTTTTTTTAAATAGATATATAATGACCCCCAAGTCCTGTTTAGATCTAACGTAACTGAAGTAGAATGCCTTTTGTGTCTGTTCGCTTATAAACTCGCTAGCATTCCGAAATATAAATCCTAACATACGCAAATTTGATTTATATGGTTAGCAAACGAAAGCTTGGTTTCCATAGATTTGGGAGTTTTACCAAATATTTTATATTGCCTACTATTACTATTGCAAATAGTAATAATTTACTCGACATACCACTAATTGTATCATTAATAAAAATGGTAAATATGAGAGGGGCAAGATTACTCCCCTGCGAAGTCTCACTTGTGGCAATGAATTTATAGGACTTATGTTCTCGCACCTCGACGTATTGAACTGTGTCTGACAATTACTACTTAAAAAAAAATACTAGGTTCGCATCGAGTGGTTCTGCAATATCTCGAGCTTGGATATCTTACCTCCTGATTTTTCACTGAAACACTTGTACATTATTCATCCTTGTCGCTAAGAAATACTGTGCGCTTACCATGGGATTACTCGAAGAAAATGTGTAATCAGCATTGCTATTCCAGTTATTTCGATCTCGGCAGGTCCACTTATCCGATATCCGATTTCGAATGATATTCTCAGATGTATCGGGTTTCGAATAACGCTGAGAGTCGACCAAAGCTTTTTTCTTATGGGAATACATCTACCAGTTAGAAGATTTCAAACGCAACATAAACTTAAACTACTGTTAAATTTGTTTCATTAGTCTAAGAACGTTAATTGCCTCATTTCGTGTTTCGGATTTGTGTTATAACATGACCTTACGTTCAATTTTTTTAATCATGCCGGTGTTGGCTGGTGTGAAGTTGCAAAATATTGCAAAAAGAGTTTGTTTCTACGAAGGTGCTATTTGAAAAAATTTCATTAGTTCGATACATTGAACTCTGTTTACTATGCGTTCAAAAACCCATAAACTAATGTAGTTTCCGCTCGAACCGGAAGTGCGTCCGTTCACTTCGTAGTGTCTAAAATTGCCTAAGTTTGGACTAAATCAAAGCACCCAAATTTCAAATCGTAGAATCTCTTAAAAAGTTCAATAGTCACCCGACTTATAAGCGGAATGATTTTAGCGAGTGTTTTATTTCAGAACCTCGAACCTCGAAGGTTCAGTCCTGATCAACGGCAAGGAACGTAGCCTGCGCAGGTTCCGCAAGATGTCTTGCTACATAATGCAAGACGATTGCCTCTCGCCTCACCTGACGGTCAAGGAAGCTATGACGGTATCAGCGAATCTCAAATTGGGAAAGGGCGTTTCCCGCTCGGAGAAGAAAGTCGTAATCGATGAAATTCTGGAAGCGTTAAGCCTGCAAGACTGCGTCAATACTTCGACAGTTAACTTGTCTGGCGGTCAAAGGAAACGCTTGTCGATAGCACTGGAACTGGTCAACAATCCCCCGGTGATGTTCTTCGACGAACCGACCAGCGGACTGGACAGTTCTTCGTGTTTTCAGTGTTTGTGTCTGTTAAAATCGTTGGCCAGGGGCGGCAGGACTATCATATGTACGATACATCAGCCTTCCGCTCGCTTGTTCGAAATGTTCGACCATCTGTACATGTTGGCCGAAGGACAATGCATTTACAGGGGCCCCGTTATGGGCCTGGTGCCGTTTCTGTCGACGATGGGCTTGCACTGTCCCGGTTACCATAACCCCGCCGATTACGGTAAGTCTTTAATTTTTCTTTACCAAATCGCACTGTACTGCGTCAACACTTTCGTGTGGTTAGATAACTTTATTTTCTGCATCCTTTCCCAATAATAATAATAAAGGTCCACTTTAATTGTAAATAATGTTACAGCATGAGAAAGTAGGAGATTATCGAAGATTCGGGATACAGTGTGCTAGAAATATTGACTCGGATTGATAATTTGAGAGAGTTAGCACATACGTAACTGCTACCCAAAGGATCCATTATAGCTCCCTCTCTAATTACAACGCTTTTTCTAGGTTCTTCTCTCTGATTAGACTCTGCACAGCTCCTTGCTTGGATGAAAACGCACTCTCTGCTTTCACATTGGCACAACACGTAATAATAATAATAATAATAATAATAATAATAATAATAATAATAATAATAATAATAATAATAATAATAATAATCCATCACTAACAATAATATTAACAAAATTATATCCCGCAATAAACTTGGTATTAAAGGACTTTGGGCACAGCCTCATACTGTTACAGTCCAACGCTTGGAGTGAGAGTGGTAAAAATTAACTAAGCAAAGCTTTAGTTAGGTATAACCGAAAATGAAATCGCGCTAGTGCGCATTTTGTTTACTCCAAAGGCAATTTTTAAACTTATTTCTCAGGGCCAATAGCTTCAGAGACAAGTCTATTAGGGAGACTATTGCTCATATATATTTACAACGTTTTCAAATGCTCTTTTCGATGCTGCGACACAGCAAGGAGGCCCTAACTTAATATACCAGTCTAACACAGGAGCTTTAAACTTTTCCAATGTGATACAATGATTAAACTGTGCTAGTACCAGAGAATCGCAAAGAAGCTTTTTAATATCTTGTGAGAGACGACACTGACAACTTCCAAACAGTACTTTGTAGAGAGTTTTTCGTTGCTTTTAATATCATCAAATATCATCACCGATGATTTTTAGGGTTAAATTCGAGCTTATGTTGATTAACAGAATAGAATCGTAAAATCTACAGAATTAATGCTGTTGCCCGCTTCGTTAAGGCACTTTTTAGAAAAAGAAAAGTATAGTTGAGTGTCATGGGCATAACGATTATAATCACAAAACTGCAATAAAGTTGTAAACCTGGATGTAAAAATCACCAACGAATTTATAAGAGATTTCACTGAACCCTATGTGATTTATCATCTCGAAAGGTTTGCTAGAATCCATTATTTCCCCCAGAATCTTAAAAAGTGTAGACAGAATAGTAATAGAGCATGTGTGTCCGGTTTTCCCTCTTCGCAGAATCCGCATTCAGGGTTTTCTCCACCCCTGTTTACAAAAACAATACTCTGCTTATTTTAAAGTAAATAGTGGTGATCAAGACAAACCTTGGACGCTACATATTGTTTGTAAGGTATATGAAGAAGGTTTAAGAATTGGAATAATAGAACCAGGCTATCCCTATCTTTTGGAATACCTATGATATGCGTGTGCAATGTTCGTGGATATAATACTAAAATGTGAAGTCTGCAATTAGGCCAATGTCACATGGTCCAGATGTCCCAATACCCGAGAATCCAATTTAGAAGAAGATACCACCAGATGTCTTGTAACTTCAATAGACCCATTATTCTTGGAGTCTAAGACATTCTATCTCACCCAAAGAAAGAAAAACTTAGTCTATAAAGTTCCAATTCTATTATAAGTAACAAGTTCTAACAAAAATCACACTTTTGCCTGGAAATTTTTCAATTTGTAATGAATACTTGATTAACAAGCTTACATGTTTTAATGGTTATTCGACTTACTTTCAATTATATATTGATAAAGGGCAAATTTCTTTCGGTTGTACAACTCTTTAATTCGCTTTTAGATGATGTATGATTCAGTAATCTGGTCCACTTATATTATTTATGAACTTATGAACTTTAAAAATGAAAATTTCATGTAGATTCATGCAAATAAATAAGGGAGTAATTAACAAAGTCACACCTGGCCGTTACAATCAAAGATACAAGGGCAATATTTTGGCTCTGGGTGGACACCTTAATTGTTACATTTACACTTGATCAAATTGTCGATAGACCAACCAAACTAAATAAACCGACAGATTCAGGTTGTTCTAATGGCAGAATGTAAATTGAAAGTTTCTTTCAAAATTACTTATTACTTACATTAAATATGCACAAATTTTATTTTAACTGACTTTTATTTCAGAATCATGATTTTGTAAAGGACTAACACATGTGGCTTAGGTAAACTACGCCCAAAAATTCAGCTTCCTATGAATTTAATTATAAACATTTTATTGGAACGCTTAAAAAAGGAAATAGTAATTTTCTAGAAAATTGTTAAAGATAAGTAAGTCATGCTACTGCTCTTTGGCGAAGAAATGCCGACGTCCAAAGGGACAAAATTTTCAAAACAATATCTAAATTTTTGAGTCGCACATAATGAGGGCCATATTGATTGATAGATTTCTAGGTCAAATGTGATTATTTTTATCGGTTTGCTTCCTACATCGACCAGCACAGTGGAACGTATTTTTTTTAAATTATGTATTTGAAATAAAAACTTCGATAACAATTTATGGCCTTGACTTTATCGATAACGACCAGAAACACCAATTTGTAAATATTTATCACAACTGCGAGTAGCCTCTAATTTTTTGTGCTTTTGTGAAATACGCTGGCTTCGAAAAAATTAAGTACCAATTACGTTACTTACGTTACTTACTTTAGGCGCTCGTAATTGTAAAAACTGAATCACCTAAAATCCTATGTATTTCCTTACACTAAGCTTATCAAACTCAAAGCCAATGAGCTGATAGCGATAAGCTACTATCGCTATAAAACTTAGGCGCGAGCTATTAGATGCTAATTTTACATTACAATATATGATAATATATGAAATATTTTATTATGCCTTATTATACCGTCTGCATTATTATACCTCTAATAAAGGTTTTTTTCAAATTTTCAATAATCCTGTTGGCTTCTTCAGAGCTAAACCGAAACTGGTACTCTGTACCTAAAGGAGGGACATATTGGTGAGAGGTACTGCTTAAGGCGCGTTTAAGAATTTTACTTTGGTCGAATAAGATTTCGGGTTCAGTTTCATGATTATGTTCAGCAACTGCTAACGAGTTCATTTGTCATAGTCTTAAGGCTATTTCATGTTCGTTTAGCCTAACCTAGTCTAACCTGCAGTATATAAGCAGTTACAGTTAAGCTCTGAAGAAGCTAACAGTCACCAAGTTCAATGAAAGTGAAAGTTTGTGTTTATCTTCGCAATCATCACCTCATTATTCCGAGATAAGGTAGTTTCAGTTGATTTTCCCCTTATTCAAGATATAGTTGAAGGGGGTCAAGTAGCAAATATTTTGCAGAAATTGTCTTCGTATTTGTAATTTTATCAAGCAGTCGTAAACAAATGACATCGACTATACAATTCCTTAATTACCAAACGTATTGTTATTTCCTTCTTAACGTACCTATGACCTATTCCTTCGAATATACAATTACAATAGATAAAAAGTGAACAAAATCATGAAATGACAGATTTTAACAATTAAGAAATTGGATGAACTTGTTTTAAAATGGCAAATGCCTTTTACGACTAAGAAATGCGAATTACAAATATCATGTTGGCTAATCCTAGTCTTACTTTTAAATTAGTTGATTTTATTAATATTTTAACGATAATTAAATAATTAAACCAAATTTTTTTTAGAAACATTGACCTTAATTTATGAACACTGATGTAACAAAATGTAACAGAATGGTTTTTATAATGTTTCCTATATACATGCATTTCCAGAATTCTTTCTTACAAATAGAAATAAAAGTAATATTTGATATTCCCAGTTAATTTACAGATTACATTTGAAAAATTAAAAAGATTTGTTTACAAAACGCCATATCAAATGTTGGCAATAATTGAAAAGCAGGCATGACTTAAAAGATGTAAAAAAAAATTTTTTTTCTTAGCAATTTAACATATCTCGCTAGTGAACCAAATGTGTAAAAATAAGTCGTATCAATTTCCACACATTCTATTCTATTTTAACTACGACTATTGTATCTAATAAAGAAGCAGGTCCAACACTTACACTGAACTAAAAATTTATTTCCCCTAAATAAAAATTAAAGTAACTGAGAGCTAAAACACACTGCTACTAGAATGAACCCCATGAACCATGCGCAGAGCACAAATAAGTTATACAAAGTCTGTTATTTATATCGTTAGGCCGTTTATTTTTCGCGCCCAGATCATGCCAATAATACCGCTCATTGTCGATTATAAAATAAGATGTCTATCATTGTTTTCACACGATTTTCATATTTGCATTGTATCGTTTATATTGATATTGCTGTAAAAAATAGTTTGTTTGGTTTTAATTTAGTGCCTTTATGAATTATGAATTTATGAATCAGTCATCAACTGATAATAGATAAGAGAACCCGACAAAACAGCTTTGCAACTACAAACAATATGATTTATGGGCTTCTAAAATATGCTTAGAATTCTATAAAACACTAGATGTTGTTCTAGAACCATTTTCTACAAACCGTATACCACAGAAACTGTTAACTTTATCCAGGTAGAATGGGGTTCAACCTTTGAATCGTAATCAAATTTACGAATATTCTGTTCTATTCTGCCCTCTGTTGAACCGTGTTTAAATTTTATAGGGCGCAGCGCCTTCTGGCGATGGGTATCAAATGTTCGTGTTGTTGTTGTTGCCGACCTTTTAGTTGTTAAGAGTTTTAAAATTCCCAGTAGTTCTTATCATTATCTTACATCCATAGATTCACTTCTCGTTAGTGACGAATTAACACCAACCTAACAACTCAAATTAACCAAAACCTTCATTACTACTATGCCAAGTTAATTATTATTGCAGTTTTTGTTACTTCAAAAAACGATACCGAGTATTCAAAATTTCGATTTTAGTTTTTTTCTGGCACCAGATGGCATCATCATCACTAACCAAAACTGATTTTATATCTTTTTGGTAGGCTGATTTAAAAAGTTCTATACATTTATTTGTACCACGCAAAGTTCACTAAAAAAGTGGAATGCTAGTTAAAAAAGTGAAAAAAAAAACTTTACTCCGAGTTTTTTGAGTGAAATCTTCGTCTTTTGCCAGAAAACTGCGTTGTTCGGACATTCGCCTGGGTCTTTTTACGGGGAAATCCCGTTTTAACATCCAGCAGTAATCTGCCATCATCGTTATGCTCCATCTGCCTTGGTATCGCCGTTCCATTTCTTTAATATCCTCGTGAAACATCTCTGCCTGTTCTGCGCTAACTGCTCCAAGATTTTCAAGAAAATACTTCAAATACGAAAACAGGAAATGCACTTTCAAACTCATGTTACACCATGAAACTGTTGTAACATATTTTGAAAAATACTGAAACCCAGGCGTTTTTTTTTAAATTGGTCATTGTGTTTTTGCATAATGTTTTTATCTGCGGCCCAACAAAAATACCTTCTTTTATCTTGCATCAAATAAGGCTTGAAATTTCTCTCACAAATATTTGAAACACTGTCCATTTTTGTCTAAGGTTTTAACAAACTGCTTCATCAAGCCACGTTCGATATGAAGAGGAGGCAGTAAAACTTTTTTGGGGTCAATTAAGCTATCTCCTAATATATTTTTGCTACCAGGTGTAAGGTTTGTTCTAAAGGGTCATTCTATTTGAGTCTTGTCCGACTATCCCACTCCCAAATAAAGCATGGAAATTATGCTGCCCTAGGAGCATGCACAGCACTTTAAGGTCACCACAAAGCATCCAGTGATGTTTTTGGTAGTGTATTTTCTTCAAAAGGGAAGCCACGTTCGATATAAAGAGGAGGCAGTAAAACTTTTTTGGGGTCAATTAAGCTATCTCCTAATATATTTTTGCTACCAGGTGTAAGGTTTGTTCTAAAGGGTCATTCTATTTGAGTCTTGTCCGACTATCCCACTCCCAAATAAAGCATGGAAATTATGCTGCCCTAGGAGCATGCACAGCACTTTAAGGTCACCACAAAGCATCCAGTGATGTTTTTGGTAGTGTATTTTCTTCAAAAGGGATCATACGTTTCTTTTAAATGTACCGAATGTGCTACGGGAACCGAGGCCAGTTCGTTTTAAACTACGCTCAGTCAGGAATATTTTTGCAATACACTAGCGGTCCTTCTTGAATAAAATATTGACATAACTCTTTTTCGCGATCCCGGTAAAAGCTTGATGTGACGCCAGGTGCCAGTAAATGCTTGTCACGAAGATTGGACGCTAACAATTCGAAATGATAATAATAATAAAATAATGATAATAATAATAGTAATAACAATAGTCTTTATTGAGATATTTTAAATTATTGCATAAGGTTTAGACGAAATCACTTAATACAAACGGCGAAGTTTAGTTTAAGATAATGATCTCAGCTACTGAACATTAAGCTAATATTAATAATGAAACAACAAGCTATAATAATAATAAAAGTCTAAAAATTCACTATTGGTAAAATACCAATTTGTTTAGGACAGACACTTTTATACTTCCAATAAGTGGACCTTAAATTTCTTCCTAAATGCTAGAACTGAGCTGGATTCAAAATATTCATTATAATTGTTATAAAGCTTAATGACACTATAGCTAAACCAGCGTTCAAATTTACAAAAATGATGCTGGGGTATATGCAGGATGCTTTTCATACTTAGAGCAGCATCGTGAATTTCATGCCGAAACACTAGACAATCTTTCAGATACGTTGGTAAAGAATATCTCATGACCTTAAATGCAACAATTGCAAGTAAAAATTGAAACAGCTATTTAATTTTAAGTCATATATAAATATTTTTTCTGATATACGATCAAACTTTCTCAAACTATAAACGAAAAACGATAGTATAGTATAGTATAATGGAAGTTATAACTTTAGAAAGGATACATACATACAGAGTTTTTTTGCTTCATTTGTAAATTTAAGATCTTCATTTTCAAATTGAATTTAATATTATCACGCAAAAAATTATAGCTTCTAGGGGGAGCAAACAGCATAATTTGTGTTTTTTTAGAATTTAGCTATACTGAAAAAGGCTTTGAAGATCCAAATTAAGATTAGTTCGACGTAATCATACTTAGCTGAGATAAATGTGTATAACAGCTGAGTGTCATCAGCATATGAATGAATTTGAGAAAATTTGACTTCCTTAGATATATCAAATGTGTACATGAGATACAACAGAGGTCCAAGAATTGAACCCTGTGACACACCCGACGTAACGTTACCCAAATCTGATATACCGATATTAGTCCTAACGAACTGCTGCTTATTATTTAAATACGACTTTAAAAAAGCAAACAGCTTTCAAACATCAAAATCACTGTAGACCTGTCTTATTTAACTACTAATTTTGAGAACATTTCGCTTTGTACTTTTTTTACACGAAATTTACTTCGTTTGTTTTTAATTAAATAAATCTTTTTTCAGTGATCGAGGTCGCTTGCGGCGAACACGGGGACTACGTTCAAAAGCTGGTGATCGCGGTGAACGCAGGGCGATGCAACAATTTTCACAACGTAACCGAAATTACCAACGCGAAAATTTCGAATGAGATAGTTAAGCAACCCGCGTCCCTAAAGGCCGCAGATGACGGATCAATAAAACTGTCCAACGGATCCGCCAAACCCAAGACTTTGTCACCTGCCACTTGTACAACATCACTTTTAGGTATGTAACGCATCCCGAACCGTCACAACACCGTATATTAGGTATGCAAAGAGACTACAGAGTAGCTTAACCTACTTGTATTCTTTAGCAACCTTTTTTGTGCAAAATCCTTTCTGTTGTTCGAGTGCAGTGTATTAGAGTTAATTTTAATCAAGTGATTGAAATCACTATTAAAATCATGATTTAAATTACTTTATTTTTTAAATTTAAAATCATAAATCAAACTCCTACTTTAAAAAAAAAAATTATTGAGACCAACACGAAAAGCACAACGAAAAAAATATTATCACAAATAAAAAGTAAAACACAATTCTTCAAAAAAATGAGACAAATAACATAATAATATACACTTCATGCTTCATACATCTTCGATGTATAGTTTGAACAAAAATATTAGCGGCTTCGGTGCGCTTAGTTCGTGTCAAATAAACTCGTGAGTCAAATGCCGTTTACCGCACTTGTTGCATAACATACTATTACCTACCTGTATTCGTTTCTTGCTGTTTATTATCACAAACATCATGGTTTGCTTTTAGTCTTTGAACTATCCATTGAATTTCTTTCTTGCAGATGTTACAAATAGCTCTACACCCAGATTTGTTTGGATCTGTTGTTTTAATGTAAACCTGCCATATGCTATTTTCTTTTCTTCCAGTCATTTAAAAATTTTTACCTAATGCTCTACTTTCCATTCGTTCCACTCCTTTAAAAAACAACCAACTAAATACGCGAGACGTATTCGACAAAACAAAAAGCGCGTTCTGACGAATACTTAGTGTATATATTGTTTATAATGGCTTCAAAATATTTTGCAATTGCTACAAGAAAAAACGGGAAATACATATTCTCGTGAAATTAAAAAAAAAACAATTAAAATAAAAAAACAACAAATTTATGATTTAAAAATAAAATCAATGATTTTTGTTTTTAAGAAAATAAATAAAAAAAATGCCCAACACCGTTCACCAGTACTGAAAATAGTGTGCCAAATGCGTCACGGTAGGAGATTTGTGAAATGAAGTATTTTATTTTAACAGAACGAAAATTATGCATTAAATACCCTTTTTTCGGTATTTGGCAATTTTTATGCAACATTAAGTCCAGAGCAGTCGGATCAGATGGTTTACACGTAAACCTTCTAATTTTTTGTTGTCTATTTATTCTTAAATATATCTGTCTCATGGTTAATTTTTGCTTCAATAATTCCGGTTTCCCTTTCGCGTGGAAGATCGTGCATATTGTGGCCCTTTCCAAAACTAAATTTTCCACAAGTTAGTTGAATGAATCGTGAATTATCGGTAGTTTCCCAAAATTCTGGAAAACGTCATTAAAAAACAACTAACTGATTGATTTAGATAAAAATAGTATTCCTCCTGAAACTCGGTTGAGCTTCAGGAAGGGACACAGTTGTGCAACTGCTCTTCTAAACGTCACTGATAGTTTATTCCGCACAATTGACGAAGCCAAATGTATCATCTTGCGCATATCACTCTAAGGCATTTGATACCTTGAATCATCATCTTTTGCTAACTATTCTAAAATACATAGGGCTTGATAACAGTGCTGTCGAATTTATCGGAAACTACCCACAAAGTCGTACACAAAAAGTGGTTCTAAATAGACAGAACAACCAGACTGCCGCGCTAGAATATCTGGGAAAAAGTCTGTTCATAGATATAAGAAAGTGACTAACTGATACGAATTAAGGAAAGACCCGGGCAAGCTGTAAGAATGAAATATGACCGAACAGGTCCGTACTTAGAATTTAATTATTTGGAGGTTTGTTAGGAAAGATACTAAACAATATTTATTTAGTTATGTATGTATTTTTGTTTAAATCTAAAATAAAATTACAAATTATTTTTATTACCTACTTAAATGACTTAAAATTATGCACATAATATATCAGTATCACTATCGCTATCATCGCCTATTCTAATTATTATTTGTTCTATATTATTTGCAATATGGATATACGATTGTTCTGCCTTTTCTATATGTTTAACAGAATTTGCCCAACTTTGTAGAGGGATGTTAAAAACTTCGATTTCTATAAGTTTGAGGACATTGGAGTTAATACGGGGAAAAACATTGTTACGACGAATGGCAGATTTCAGTGGGTGCCAAACATGTTCAATGGGATTAAATATGGGATTTTTTGCATAATTACCACAGACGTATTCCTTTTGTAAGTTCAAGCTTTGTAGAACCTCAATTAATTGCTTTTTAGTATAATCTTCGTGAAAATAAATGTCGTTATTATACATGTACTTTTGCATTGCTGCTTTTGTGTCACATGAGGAAGGGGTTTTAGTCCACTGTCTACTGTGATAACTTGCATTGTCCATTACAATTACGCTATTAGGAGGAATGTTGGGAACTAGTTTGTTTTTAAACCAACTTTCAAATAAATCAGCGGTGGTATCTTTATGGTAATCCAGACAAGACTCTTTAATATTTTTCGCAGACAGACAAAGTCCATTTGAAATCCACCCATCTTTAGAGCCAGCATGCAATTCTTTTACCTCTTTTTGATGGCGCGTTTGTATTACACTTATCAGTTGAGTTAACCCGACCCTTTTCCGGGGTATCATAAGTGTCGAACCAGGTTTCATCCAAGTAAATAATTGCCCTTTAAGATATCTAATGTAGGCACGTTTTGTTCCTCGTATAACTGGTAAATTTTACGCCGTATTACATCTTGATCACTTTCATCTACACTCGAGAAACTGTCAGCATCGCTTCTATTTTTCATCGCTGAAATGGGATTTATTCACAATTTTCCATACAGTTGATGTTAGAATTTTCGTCATTGTGACCGTTTCTTCTAAAGATGCTTGCTTGCTGGCCACACGTGCAATGAGAGTTAAATAAACATTGTTTATAACTTCCTTAGTCTCAATAGAATAGTGTTTTCTACATTGGGGCGGGAGCATCTCCTGAGATACACTAGACTCGCACATATTTTGCATAATTCGCACACGATTCAGTACACGCTGTATTACACACGAAATAGGAATGGTCAATAATAAACTTAAACTAAGCAGTATACCAAACCAAAGAATATTAAACGCAGGCACCACCCTTGAGTCAAAAGCAATTGGTCACTTTCTTATATATATGAACAGACCATACCTCAAGACTCCATTCTGGGACCAATTTTACCGCATTTCCAATTTCATACAGCACTGCAAAACTTAAATATATGCAGATGATACACAAGTTTGTTACTCATTTCCGAGAAATAAAATTTTGGAAAGCTGTCAAATCATAAACAAAGATCTAGAAATTAGCAAGAGGATGTCCCTAGAACATTTGCATGGCAATGTTGTTTGTTAGGCTAGTGGATGCTGATTTAAAAAATTGCTATTGCTAGATAAGTGCCTTTATTGATGTTGTCTGGTGTCCTTTGGGTATAATGTTATACATTCATTCTAAACTTTGTATTTTTAGCCAATTCAAAAAAAAAACACCGGTTTCCGGCAGTAACTAGCAATTATCTAAATTGCGATTCTCTATATAAACCGAATGAATGGTGGATGAACGAGGTTTAATGATAATTAGCGGTTTGAAACCAAGGATCAAATAAATAATTTAAGCGATATGTGTTATTAAAATCATATTAACGTTCTGTCGCATCGCTCAAAACAAGTACCATGACATTAATAAGCCATTTGAGAACGTATAACATCAATTGGATTATAAATTCAACGCCCCCTTCGTTAGAATACATCTTGTACTTCCGGAATGGCACAACAGAAGTCGAAAGAAATTATATCCAAAGGAAACCAGACAAGCCATAATAAAATAATAAGTAACATATATAAGTAATAAGTAATAAGTAATAATAAAATAATAAAAGAGCTAAACACCCTACGTCTGTAAAGAAAAAACTAACAGAAACTCTTTTCTGACTAACAATCATATCAACATACAACATACACATTCAACAATATTTTCAAAATCCTAATACCAATCTTTATGATTAAAATCGGAAAGAATATTTTCATTGAAAATACAAACTAAACAGTGTTCAGAATTAATAAGGCAAGACAGTTATCGAAGGTTAATTAATAATTTTTTCCATATAATATATTTTAACAAGTTCCTCATGGTTTATAAATTAAATCATATTAATATGCAGGGACACACAATGCATTTGCATATAATTAAACTATTAATATGGATACCGGGTAAAACACGAAAGTAAGTAAGTAACTAAGAAACTGATTTAAGATATTGATTTGAAATTCGAAAGTACAGTGGTGGAAAAAAGTATGGAAACTTTTAATAGTGTTTATATTATTAATGCTTGAAGTAACCTAGAGCTTTTTCAACTTCTATACAGTAAGAGACGACGTCACTGATATACCTTTTTATTACTTTTAACAAATGCTGTTTGTTTTTTTTTTTCACGATAAGAGATTTGTGGTTGAAAATAAGTATGGACACTTTTTATAATTTGTGTACTAAATTATTCAGTTTTGATTCTACAGAGCAAATATCGTGTAAAACTAGTTATTTATTATGCCCAGTCGCCGTTATTTTTCATCGAAAAAGTCGGTAATGAAAATCTTTAAATATTTCTAAAAATGCAGTCACGAAAATATTACAAAAATAGTCGTGGTGATGTGAGAAATGCGTCAAGTCCATTTTGAGAGTATCGAAACTTCCGAAAACCGCTTCTCTTAAAGAACAATAGAGAGACCCAAATGGAGGTTAACAGATCTCATCTGTTTTGTTCAAGAGAAAAATGGAATACTGATCTTTGGAGTGATGAAAGCAAATTTTCCCTATTTGAATCAGATGGGAGGGAACAAAATGATTTGGTGATGTTTTTCTCCATCTGAGACAGAACCAATCATTCAAGTACAAGGTAAAATGATTGCTACGTTTGCAGAAGAACATGCCATCGCGATGGTGATTTCAACAGGACAACTGCACTTGAATGGCCACAGGAACGATTTAGTATCATTGAATAAGATTAGGCGCAAATTCCTATAGAAACTCTACGAGAATTAGTTAATTATATGGCTTTAAAAAATTTCCTTACTTTTTTCACCTTCTTGTCACTTCAAATATGTAAAAGAAAAATTCCTAAAACTGTATTTTAAATAAAACAAGCTCAACGAATGTATACTAGTACCTAAAATCTTACTTTTATAAAGTGTATTTGTTAATTTTATCATTTTTACCCATTATTTCCCAGTGGTCTGTTATAAACCAAACCAAACTAACCAAAACTAACCAAACTAACCAAAATCTTACGTATATGGGGCATTTGTGAGATGCGTCATTTTTAATTAAAATAACTAAATTGTTAATGATGTATCATTTCGCTACACCAATAATTTTTGAAAATACAAATCTGGTAAGCATGGAATAAATTCCAGCTTATAAACGTCCTTGTGAAATCACCCTTGTGTTATAGTTGTAATAATTTAATTTTTGCGAATTTAATAAAGTTTGTCAATGTATTAATATACTATTAAAGAACACCCCGTATATCTAGTAGCTATATAAGATGACACATGTTAGTGTAACTGCGAGATAAAATTTGTGTTTAGTCTATGCTATAACAAAACAAAAGATATCGCTTGCTGTTTTTCCGAACTATAATTTTTACGAGAAAAACTTTTTTCCAGATTCCTCGGAAAATTTACCGCAGACCGAAAAGAACGGATTTCCTACGTCGGGGTTTCGCCAGTTTTTAATCTTGCTCAATCGCAGTATTTGCATTATCCTGCGGGACAAAACGCTTACGAGAATGAGATTAGTGGCACATATTGTGATAGGAATATTGATAGGGTGCATTTATTATGACATAGGGAACAATGCGGCGAAAGTAATGAGCAACGCCGGATGTTTGTTTTTCACCGTCATGTTCATGATGTTCACCGCTATGATGCCTACAATTTTAACCTGTAAGTAGAAGCAATAACAAGTGTTTTTCTGACGAACGCCAATGAACTAGTTATTTTTTTTATAATGGGGTGGTAATGGTCTCTCCAACTTGTTTTTGTTTCATTCATTACTGTACAACAATCGGTAATATAGTTTACTTTTATGCATGTATAAAGTTTCTACTAGGAACCAAATAATTTTCATATCTTAGAATAAAAGAAGTTAATATCCGCGAATTTTGAATGCCTGTTGTTTCCGTTTATATGAAATATATTAAATATAGTTACAAATGCTTCATCTAACATTAAATGAAAATATTGGTTACAGTAATTAATATAATTAATGCTTTTACCTAAAATGTATTTCGCCTTCTTCTAAGAATTCCCATTGCTTGGTTGTAACATTGAATTTGATTGCATGAATAAGTGTAATTTATGATATAAGTCTACTAAAATATATTCCATTAATAAAAAGAATTTTAGAAGTCACAATAAAGGCAAAAAAAAAATACAATTTTCTATTTAAATGTGTCGTTTTTCTTTAAAAAAAGATTTATTTACATTTTTGCTGTTGAAACAGAGTTTTGAATGAACCTTTACATATGATAATAGATCCTAGATTTCCCAAGTTTTATTAAATATCTAAACAGAAACAACTGAACCAATGTGATCCTACTAGTTTTTGATCACTAAGGAGTGATTTTACAATCTTTAGTTGTAATAAACATAAACTGAACTTAGTAGGTAGTTATTTAAAAAATACAATATCAAAGATAATTGGAAAGAATCACTTTTGACTTGAAAAGATCAGGAAGGCCTTTTTTCTGCTTATCAGTATTACCTGACTTTTTCTTGTAAGCACTTTTAATGGTAACTTTGTGTTTACTTTTTAACTAACTTTATTTTATTTCTTAGAATTTTTATAGCTGAATGTTTTTAAGCAGACTTAGTTTCGAAACGGCAACTCTCTTTCGTCAGTTTAGTTGTGTCACTCGTCTTCCAAAATAAAATCAATGAAAACATTCAGTTGCTAAATGGTTCTCTTTAATGTTAGTTCAAATTTAAACGTAGAAAATGTTGTCACTGTTCCTTCAGAAAAATACATGGTGTTTTTTTCAGTTCCACTGGAAATGTCTGTATTCGTGCGGGAACATCTGAATTATTGGTACTCGTTGAAATCGTACTATTTCGCAAAAACCGTCGCCGATATACCTTTTCAGGTAAGAACAAAATGTGAAGATGATCATTTTCAAACTTGAGTGAAATTTTCACTTTTTAGATTATATTAACGACTTGTTATATAGTTGGAGTGTATCTAATAACCTCCCAGCCACTGGAACCCACCAGATTTTCCATGTTCTTATTGATCGCGGTTCTTACTGCTCTCGTATCGCAGAGTTTTGGACTTCTCATCGGTTCCGGCCTTAATATAGAGGTAAAGATACCAAACGTTGTAACATGATTGAGTTTTTTTTACTACGTTAATATTCTACAGTAGATATAATAACATAAAGCTTCTCGAAAACTAGGTATATATTTATTTAATCTGTTCATTAATTTCTTGGCGATGTTCAGACAAATATTATCAAGAAAGGTAAAGTATGTTAATTAATCGGAAAAGCTAAAATTAACCAAAACTAAATCTAGTAAGAAAAATTGTGGTTGGAATAAAACGGTTGGGAAATGTCTATTGTGGCTAATTTTTATAACTCCTATTATACAGTTTACTCCAAAAATGCTAAAAGTATCAAAGTTACTTCTTTTAAATAGAACATCGAATTTTTTATCTGAATTAGGCTTAACAAAAATAATTTGGCATCAGTCTGAAAATAAACAAAAAAGTTCAAATAAATTTTAAAATGATGGATTTGTATTCTGTAAAATAATATTACCTGTAATTGTGGTGTTTAAAAAGAAATTTAAACATGGATACATGTATATTTAAAACACTAACCTTCGGCGCATATCAAAAGAGAAATTGCTAATCATGTCAAAAACTTTTTCCAAAATAAGAGACATTATCAAGGATAAAGGTTTCAAAGTTCAATTAAACATTTTTGAAAGCGCATGCATTTATATATGTATATGACTAAAATAAATTTTACGTCGACATTTGTTTTTGATTAGGAATACAGGAAATGTTTTTTTTTTATTTTTTTAAGTCAATTCGAGGCTGTTGTTAATTTCATTGTTATAGAAGTTACGAGATTCAAATTAAAATACTAAAAATTTACTAACGGGACACTTTGTCAACGCAAATGTTTCCTTAAAACCAAAATAAAAGAATTATAGATAAGCCTATTTCATATCGCGTTCTATACTTGAAAGTGTAAGTTACCTAAGGAAACTGAAGTTAGGATCATCATAACTGGTTCTTCCACATACACTAAATAGCGCAAACCCATTTTAAATAACTGTTTAATCAATATTAAAAGGCCAAACACTTCTCAAATCGCAAAATTACCGGCATCAAACAACCAAACTTGAATTTCAAATTCAAAATGTCAAAAATCCCAAAGCGTTATCACAGTTTAATAAAATTTGAGCTATGGTCTTTTGGTTTTTGGATGTTACCTTCAAAAAATCTTGTTCCTGAATTTTTGCTATTTAAGTTGAAAAGTCGAAATATTAGAAATTGCTGCTATTTAAAACAAAAAAAAGGCAAAAGAATTCGATTGGGTCAGCCGATGGTTAAACAGGATTTTCCTTTCAGAGCGGCGTATTTCTTGGACCAATTTCCACGATTCCGATGGTACTATTCTCAGGATTTTTCGCCAATTTGGACGACATACCTCAATATCTGCAGTGGTTACCCTACTTGAGTTACGTCAAATACAGTTTCGAGGGGAGCATGATCGCAATATATGGCTTGAATCGGCCAAAGCTGGAGTGCAAGGTGGACTATTGCCACTTTAAATACCCGACCACGTTTTTGAATCAGATGTCGATGAAGGGCGATATGAGAACTTACGTAATAGACGTCATTGTCCTTTCTAGTCTTTTCATTGTCCTTAGAGTAAGCGCGTACTTCGTACTTCGAATAAAACTCATGCAGAACCGTTGAGCTTAATATTATAGTTAGGTTCAGTATTGTGATAGTGACAGGAGATTTTAATTGTGATTTTTTTGTACGAATGGTTATCACTGTTAGGTACTCTTTTTTTATTATTTATTCACGTCATCACAACTGCAAGTCTTCAGGAATGGTCGGTTATTTTAGCGAGGGTGACTATAAAGGGGACTTTGAAACTCAAACTCTGAATATGTGATATTAACGAAGGCGCACTGCGAAATTACATGTACATAAATAATTTTCAGGTTTGTGTTTGCAACCACTGTATTTTGCGTTGCCGGATTTTTTAGCGATTTTTTTAAAATTTTCCACAGCTTATACAATTTTCGTACCTACTGATATTGTAATGTCAAATATTAATCGATAATATTATATAAACGAGAAATAGGTTAGTGGAACTTCAAGTTTACTAATACATTTTTATACAGACGTGATTGTTTCATTTTTCACTTGCGCACCAAATTAACACATGTAACGTCTTCACATACGTAAATACAAATGATTTTCTCTACCTACCTTTGAAAACATAATTTCTCTAGCTCTTCTTGTCAGTGGTTTTTCAGAAAGTGGCTTTTTAAATACCTAACTTAACAACACCAGGAAATTTGACTTGATACCAGAATAAAACTTGTACACAAGAGAGGTTGTCCAAAAGATTTAAATAACTATAAACCCCTAAGGTTTATTACGTAATTTATCAAATGTTTTTAAAATTATTTTATGTTTTTGCTACTATTTTCCAGAATCCAGAATCGCGACATGGATTTTTCAATTGACACAATCTACTTCACATGGTCTTCGGAGAAAGAGAGTGGCAGTAAACTCAATTACTAGATGTAAGGAAAGCATATGATTCCGTCGAGCTGGGTATTCTATTGTTTAAGTTACAAAAATATGATTCTTACCTTAAAAAATATTACATTTTCTGATTCAAATGGAACATAAAACTTAGAAATCAGAATGTACTTATTAATGCCTTGGGTAGGAATTGCATCATAGTAGCAATTATGTTTACTTTATTTTTAATCATATCCATGAAAAACTTTCCAATATGGATTATAGGAACCTGCTTTGCGGCATTTATGTACAGTTCATTTCTCGATGGTTTTACGAGGTTTCTCGTTTATTAGTAAAGAGAGATGCGTTTTTAGCGACACTGTGCTAATTTTTCGGAAACGAAAGATGCAGCAAACTTAATTTTCATAGCCCTTTTGATTTTTGAGATACAGGATGTTTTTGGATGCTTTTTCGAGAAATAAACCAGACTTATATTTTTTTTTAATGGATCACCCTGTATATTTTTGAATAATACAAACCGCAGTAATCTGACAGAAACTCCTATGCCTATAATACAGGAACTAATGAATTAACTGGAAAACAAATTGAGAAGGTCCATTCTACATGCACATGCGCATGATTTAAAATCGCGTTTGTAGCCAATGACCTTGCGGCATTCGACAACCAACATGGCCACTGATAATAAGTTTAGATGCGGCAGATTTGCTGCAGTATTTTGTCAAAATATGCCTTGATCCCGTTAAATGTATTGAGAAACAAAGTACAGTCTATGGAAATCGCTGTTTAGAAAGAAAATGGAGCAAAGTGCAAGTTAGTGCGAACATAACAATGCCGCCAGTGGTGCATCCATTTTTACCGTAGTAAGGTCGCTATATTTTTTGAATATGACAGGCCTGTCAAATTCAAAGTCAAAATTCAAAGCGTGGGAAATATCTGCGAAAACGTCCGATTGCCCCCAAACCCGTGCGGTAAAATCCCGGAAATGTCCCAAGTGACTAACGTGGTAAAGTGGCGGTTCCCGCACGCTAGATCGGTGTGTAATTAGGTATTTTGCAGGAAGGAGTAGAAAAACTTTTTCAAATAAAATCATGATTCAAATGCCGTTTACCGCACTTGTTGCAAAATGCCTATTTACACACCCATGTAGCGTGCGGGAAGCGTCACTATACCGTCAGTTTAGTTTCGGAGCCACTGTGGACATTCTCGGGATTTTACCGCATGGGTTTGGAGGCAATCGGATGTTTTCGGAGATATTTCCCGCGCCTTGAATTTTGACGTTTGTCGATCATGCCGGTGAACGTATTCGTGTTGTTTTGCGAAAATGTACCCAAAAACTAACGCTCGTAGAAAAAATATAGTATGCAAGACGTTCGGTAAACTTTTAATTCACTCGTTTATTAAAAACTCGCTCCGCTCGTGTCAAATAAACTCCTGAGTCAAATGCCGTTTACGCACTTGTTTTTGGGTACATTTTCGCAAAAGAACACAAATATGACATGACCGTCAGAATTTACAAACGTCAAAATTCGAAGCATGGGAAATATTTCCGAAAATATACGAATGAATCTGACGTGGTAAAGTGGCGCTTCCCGCACGCTAGATTGGTGTGTAATTAGGTATTTTACAGACGGGAGTAGAAAAAAAAATGTCACAAAGGCTCACCATTCAAATCATTTTACCATGAGCACCGCGTTATACCTTACCAACCTCACCAAAACTAACCATAGTATATCCACGGAACCCCATTCCAAAACAAGGGTTGTAAACTGTGTGAAATATTCACCAGAGATATTCTTGGGAACACAAAGTTTATTGGTAGCATTGTTTAAAAGGCAGTAAACAAAATTGTGTAGCGGGGACGCTTGATAAACTTGCCTAATGTTGGTATTGTAAGAAGCAAATATGATTATTTTTAGAATTTAGCGGGAAACGAAACTTCCAAAAATACCCAACAATGTACTGAAGAAATTAAACTGAGAAGGTACTCAGAATAAATAATGGAAGGTCAGTTACCTGCCAATGAACCAAATCTGCCTAGAAGGTCGCTTAGAATAGCACTAAGTGAAATCAATGAATCGTTAAGTGAACATAGCACACCTAACAAAAGTGTGAGTCCTGAAGAAATTTTGGTGTCACAAAGGGGTCCTCGTCGCAAACCAGTTACTTGGTCACCTGTAGATTATAAGTTTAATCTGCTGGGGCCAAGCGGAGATAAAACGCCGCAATCGCTGCCATTGCCAAAATCAGAAATAAATCCAAGACTGAGAAGAAGGCTTATCATGACTCCAGAGAAAAGTTCCGCCAACGAATTAGGAATGGTAATTGCAAAAAAACTTAAGTCATTAAGTTATAAACTGGAATCAGTTCAAAGCAGTAAGTAATTTGAGTTCACATAAACATGCCTATCATTTTATACCATGTAAGCTCCTTTACTAATAATGTATAATTGTCATTCAAATTTGTTTAAAAGGATTTATTTGTATTTCTTTGAAATTGAACGGGATCCTAAAGCCAAAAAAGGCTCTTATGTTTGTATTCCCTGTAGTGTGAAAAAACTTTTTTTTTTAATTCAATTCCTAAAAATTAGTTATTGGGAATTAAATTTTGTGTGAAAATATCGTGCATCAGTGGCGTATGTTTTTTAAGGAACAAAAAAATTATAATGTTTTAAAATGGATGGAATTATGTAATTATATGACTTCATGTCCAATTTTTTACTTTAAAGCCTAGGTTAGTTAGTATATTTTTTGTCAGGAATTAACAAGCTGAGAAAACCACAAAATGTTAAAAATCTGAACTTGCTAATAGTTTTAAATAATTCTAGCGTGAGATGTAATTGGGTCAAGTGATTCGTTTTTGAAGATCATTTGTATTGAAGTTGTTAGCAGGCCACCAACAAAGTTTTTTACAAATACCATGCTGCAGAAAATTGCAGTGATAGTTAATTGAAGGTTTTCAAAATAGTAACCTTTCACTTGTTCTCTATGATTCTATATTTTTGTCATATTTTAATTTTTATGAGTACAAATTTTAGAATAGTGAAGACAATAATATACATCATGTGCCTTGTACCTAGTTTAATATAATTAATTAACACGTGTTGAAGTGCTTGTACTATTTTATATTAAAGAAACATGTGATAGCTGTTTGTTAGTAAGTATTCTGGTATTATCAACCAAAGTTTTAATTATGTTTATCTACAATGGAATGTTACTTCTAAATAAATAATAATTTAAAAATTATGTCTTGTTTTGTTTGTTGCCTGTAAATCAATTTATAGAAATAAATTCATTCACATTTTCTCAGCATATCCCATTTAGTTGAATAAAGTGCATAAATATGTAAAGTTAGATTAGTCTCATTCATATAGGCGAGTGTTTATTTCTTTCTGTAAAAACACTTTTTTTTTCATTATTGTCTGCCAAAGTTAAACTAACTGATTCCTTGAAATACTTGAAACAATTTACATTATTCCTAGATTAGGAAGTTCATCAATCAATTTGTTGTCATTGAACATTGCTGTCCAAGTTAATCTTTGGTTACACCAGGTGAAGAATTATTTATTAGCACTCTCAAAGGGAGAAAGTACAATATAAAACAAGTAAATGTATCAACATTCTCTAATTGAGAAAAATAATGTTTCATAAATAAATTGAAATAAACTTAACAGTAGTAATAATTCAACCTTAAGCTAATCGAAATGCTTAAAGGCAAGTTTGAGAATGACAATACAAACACATTAGAACATCAAACAACAATACTGGGCTTCAGTGTGTATAGTACACCCTATAGTACAGGGTTTTGGACCTCCACAATGAATAAGAATTATCAAATTTAAGTAAATAAACTCCTTTGCCTGGGTATAAATGTGAACCGGCGTACACTTCATTTTGGCAGTCTCTTCGATAAACTGGAACAATTTCAGTTAATAGTGGTTTGGTTAATGTGGACAAATCGATAGCTGCCGCTTCGAGATCGTTCTTCAACGCTACGTCATTATACAGTTCCTCTTCATCTATCTCATCCAGATCATCTCCATCACTTTCGGAAACGTGAACCGATACCTCTTCAGTCATAGGATTACCAAATTCGAAATAAATACCGAAACCTGCAAAAGAATGGGTATTGCAGATTTTGATAGCATTTTGCATAAATTGAAAGTTGACCTCTAATCTCTTGCATAATTTCAGTGATAACCTAATTACAGTTAGTACCATTTTAGTATTGAAAATGAAAAATATAGTCTATGCAAAATGACAAAAAACTTCTTTACTTGCACACATGACAAAAATAACACAAGTCATAACCGTCATCAATATTTTTAATATGAATGTCATAGACCACCACTAAACATAAAACTAAAAAAACTAGAAATTTCACTTCTTATTAAAATAGCAGTCTTAAACAATATTTAACATTTTCAGATATATTGATAAAACTAAATCAAAATAACAGCAAAAAAATCACAAATATTTATGAGAAAATTACTTACCAATATCATAGTGATCAGTAGCAAATTCCCAAAAAAGTCTAGACCCATTTGGATGAGTAGGAACTCTAACAGTAACAGTTTCACCATGACCAACCCTAACAACTCCATCTCCTTCATTCTGTGAAACTCTTTGTTTGAAAGCTTCAATATCTGGCAGAGTCCACATGCTGGCGGCAACAATTGTTGTTACATCATCATCTTCTTGAAGAATGTCTTTTGACTCTTTTAAATTCTCAGATCCACCAAGCTAAAGTGTCATATGATAGTTAAAGGAATTACTGTTGGTTGTATGTTACTTACATAGTCATTCGGATTATTCTCCACAACCTCGGTTTTCTCACCTTGGCTGCCTTGCTGTGCATGTTGCAATTGTTGCATATATTGAATGTAATGTTGATCCTGCAACTGCCTGATAAGTGTGCCCTGTTTTTCCGGATCGCCTACAAAATATGAAACCCGATAATATGGAATAAGTACATTTAAAGTATAAACGTAGCAAAATAATGCACCATGGCTAAGCAATGAAAAGACACTAGCAGGTATATGTGGTTGCTCTATATTTTGGCCATCTTTTTATTACTAAAATTCTATCACGGTCCATTATAAGGTAGGTCAATGATTTAACCTTAATGCTTCTAGTAAGATCATTTATTAACTTGACAAATCTCACCTGGATATTGTTGTTCAGAATATTTTCTAAACTGATCATAAGTTTGCTCATTTAAAGCTTGTTGAATTTGCCTCTTTATAGCTTCTTCCTTCTGCAAATGTTCTACTCGAAGTTTCTCTTCCTCATCCTTTTTTCTCTGTTCCTCCATCTCAAGAAGTCTTTGTTCCAATTCCCTTTTCCTTTAATAAAATATTTGTCAGTATAGTAATGTAATCTGTAATGAATATGCAACTAACTCTCTCTGTTTATGTTCCAGTTGTTCTCTCCTATGAGCTTCCACAAATGCAGAAAATAAAGGACACCTCCGACCCAATAATTCAATGAATCCTGCACGGGCCTGCTCAGTTGAAAGTTTACCAAGTTTTTGCCATGCCTCTCTTCTATCCTTGCCAACAACATCTAAAGTTCCTAGAGGAGTTAGTTTGTTAATAACATCGCACAAGGGGCCGTGAACAACCTGCTGAGAAAACGCCACCAATTGCAAATTGTCTTCATAGCTAAAATGAACCGCTTTGCCACCTTTTTCTAAAATAATTATTTTCATTATAACACATTACCGGCTTGTTTACAAGTATATTTACCTTTATAAAAGTTAAGTCCTAGTCTGTAAACTTCTTCAAGAGGCAAACCATATTCTAAGCTGTTGTTGCTAATTGTATTTTGCACTTCTTTTTGAATGTTGGATTGCCAATTAATATTTTCCGAATTTTTTGAAACCTCTGCCTCGTCACCATCCATTACAGTTGACATTTTTTATATGTTGATATGACATGACATGTTGTGCAGCATAGATTCAGCAGATCACATTCTTTTAACTGGGTAAGTTTATTCAGGACATTCGCCCATTGCCGAGATCCCATGAGGATTTTTCTCTACGGGCCGGCAATACTTAAATACTTCAACACGTCCATAAAACACTTAAAAAACAAAAACAACTTAATTTAAACCCATACCAAAGTTTTTAGGACAAATACTATGGACTGTGTTGGGAGCGAACGAAAATGCTCAGGACGGAATCCACCATATATTTAAATTCAAAAAGCGGAAATGATGTTGGTTTTCCTGCCACGGTCTTTGTTAAAAGTGATTTTTTGGAATTAAGTGTAAGTAGCAATATTTAAGGAAGGACAATTTTCTCGGAATTCACTCTATAAATTGCAATCAGGCATTATATCTTAGAACTCGCTTTCCACCTAACGTCGCTCAACAACCAACATGGCCGCTGACAATTCGTGACTTGCCAAATCCCGTTAAAAGTTCAGCGGAAAATGAGTTCACTCTGTGAAGATCGCTGTTTTCAAATGGCACAAAGGGCATCTTAATGTGTGAAATTGAGGGGCATGTGCGGAAAATCATTCCCTTTTCTACGAAATTTTCATAGCCACCAAAGGCACATCAATTTTGATGGTGCTTACAGTCATTAATTATGTAATAACTTCCTGGTGCTTTTTCAACAATTTTAAATGTTTGTTTCAAAGTCTCTAGAGCTATATGATTTGACCGAATAATCCCGGCAGACTCAAAAACATCCAAAATCTCATCTTCAAATCAGAGACAACAACTTTCTAGGTTCCAGCGAACTTAGAGCAAACCTCTACTGTTAACATATCGGGAGCGTATTCGTAGCGATGGCGATTGCTAACGTGTTGGAGGTTCGCTGTCACGTCATGTGTGACACAAAATAAAACCATTTCCAAAAATGGCGTACCGTAGGAGTAATAAATACATAACCTATGCTTAAAATATTTTAAAAAAGATGATTAACACTGTTTTAATAAATAACACTACACACACTGAATTAACAGATTACGTAAATACAAATATCCTACAAAAAATAAAATAATATAACCTTTACAAATGTCTAAAACGGAAGCGGCAAATGTCGAACATTCAACACGTTCTCAACTCCAACCGCTACCGATAGGTTAAAAAAGTGCGTGCAATTTCACAATAGAACAGAACGTGGCGATTGCTATTGCTTAGGCAACCAGTTAATGTCTTCGTCTCCCAGCCCAGCAGTGGCGTATTTCTTTTTTGTATTTTCACTTGTGCGTGTTTATTTATAGGGCTCTGTTGGATGATTTTTAATTTTTTGTTATTGATTATTCTTATATCTCCAGGCAATTTGCACAAATATGGCTTTAAAATAAATTGGTATAAAAGGAAGAGTGCTGCATTCCACTCGCCCTCTCTGCAAGCGATCGAGTGGCTTTGGGTATGCCGCCATTTGTAATCGGTTACGAGTTACGCTTTGGTGTCTTATTCTGAATTATGTGCTCTATAACAGTTTAGCTTTGCACTATGTCCGTTTAATGCTGCCATTGATAATTGATAAGATTTATCTGTGTTCATACTTCACCTTTTTAATATCGCCAGACGAGGTTGATCCTATAGCAAAATACGTAGGAGAACGCGTGAAAAATGTATTCCGCAAATTTTCGGATTAGCATTTAATTCCATTTAATAGATAAGAGTTAGGTGTTGTACGCGCAGTAAGGAGAAACACCTGTTTAAATACTTTCAATTTAGTAACAAAGTAGTAAATGGGTGTATTTTAGGATTGTAGTAATTTATCACAAACAGCAAAACAAAAGCTGACCCTAGTAAATTCTATTATGAACTTTACCAGCTGATTTTTAAAAAAACAAAGTTTCATGGGCCATGGAAGTTACTGTCTATTCTCCTGCCAAGTCCATAAAAAATGAGAGAGTATTCAAAGTAATCGTGATCGGTGATTCAAACGTAGGAAAAACTACTTTAACCTATAGATTTTGTGAAGGCACATTTCTCACTACAACAGAAGCAACAATTGGAACGGATTATAGGAGTAAAACTCTAAACTTAGATGGCGAAGTTATTAAGTTACAGCTGTGGGACACTGCAGGTCAGGAACGCTTCCGATCGTCCATAATGCGAAGCTATTATAGAAATGCAGATGCAGTGATATTAGTGTATGATGTTACAAACCCTGCCACATTTGCTTCTCTGGAGAAGTGGATTCACGAATTTACGTCACAATGTGCTCCTAACGTAACCAAGTTATTAATTGGAAATAAATGTGATAATGATATAAAGGTTTCTACTAATCAGGCTCAGAAATTTGCAGATCAGTATGATATGCCAGTAAGGTTTTTTGTATTTCTGTCATTAGTTGATAGTAAGTTGCCATTTTATTTTAGTTATTTGAAACATCTGCCAAGTTGGATTCACATTGCGACCATGTGGAGTCCATATTTCTGACCTTAGCACACAAACTTAAGAATCGCAAACCGTTAATACCCGAGGAAAGGGAATTAGTTAAGCTTAGAGCAAAAGTTGTTGAAGATACTACACAATCATCTTGGTGTTCCTGTTTTTGACTGTTGTTCTCTTTTTCATTCATTTATATATGTTTACGTATTTAAAATGTAGATAAAAATAAATTTAAGGTTATAAAGTGAATTTATGAGAACAAACGGCTTGTGATATTTTGGTTTTCTCTCTAATAAATTTGTCCTATGAATTATTTTTTATCAATCAATCAACTAGCAATCCAATCTAATCAAACTGGACAGGGGCCTACACAGGACATTGCAGGCTTAGGAGGCATCTTTGCCTGCTAGGCATTGGAGACGACACGGAGTGTAGGTGGTGCATGGAAGGGGAGGAGACCCCGTATCATCTGCTCACCGAGTGCCCTGCCTTCACATGGGCAAGATTGGGAGTCTTCGGAATGGCCCTGATCGATCCGGACTCAGTGCACGGTATTGGGCTAAAGGAGTTGCTGACCTTCTACAGGAGGGGCGGCATTGTGGACGCCCTCTAGAGCGGCCTGGGGGCACAACGGGCCCATCTGGTGGCCTAAGTGCTTGGACGCCCGCGAGGGCGCCCCCCTTTAATACCAATACCAATACTGGACTTCTAGTGGAAGTCAAAATTTGGATCAGCTGAGTCTGAATATCCCAAACACAGAGAAGGAAATTTAAAACTGAAAATGATTGATTGGCCTTTGTTGCTACCATAAAAAAATGTCTATGCCTGCAAAATTTATTAGAGTGAGTCCTTAATGGTGTGCTTTTGAGATTCTATAACTTTGACTTTGAGATTTATGTTTTAGCTTTCCTCAATTTGTCTATTTTATAGATAATTTAGGCAGGTTAAAATTATACTTGGTAACGTTGAAAATATGCTTAAGGGTGAACACAACAGATGAAAAGGGAATCAAATATTTATAAAGCAAAATTGTGATCTTAAAACCGCAGCAAAGGAGGAAGTCCCAAGAGATTATTGAAAATTATTTAATAGAATGGATTTTAGAGTTAATTGATATTGAAAAGATATTAGTATTTATTTGTTCTCTCAAGCTTATCCTGGTTAGATGGGAGTATTTCCGTAATCTTCCTAAGAGAGGTTAAGGCAGCTGTTTGGTAAGGTTGATTGCAGAACAATTTTTTATTTTACTTTAGAACATGTTATGGTTATTTTTGGCCTCGTAGTTGAGAATCATACTGATTTGATTCGATAAGTATGTGTACCACTACAACAAATAGTTATTCTGTCCCATGCAGTTGCCAGTTTTTTCAGGATTTTAATTCCTTCAGTTTCTTCGGTAGTTTCGTCTTAGTATCAATTTTTGAGCTGGTCTAGTACGCATTCGTATGAATTCCTTAAGGATCTCAATAAATCTAGATTTTGTTATTTTTGGGTAAGAAATAGAAATAAAAAATTATCTTTATTATGTATTTTATTCAATTTTTGATTAATGTGTGAAAGGAATTACTATATACTCTATGACGTGCGAATATTTACTGACAACGTTTGTGCCTTAAAATAAGTTTAGTATCAGTTATTTAATAAATTCGATATTCCAAATAAGCTACTTTGTCAAAAAAAAATGTTGCACAAAACCACGCTTTTGTTTAAAATATCTGCATAGAAAGTAGATTATTTTCTAAAAATGTCAATATTGTTGTTATTATCCTTTATTTTAATATGACACATACTTCTGTCGGGTTCTTTAGGATTTCCTTATTGTTAAAGTAGATACTGCTTCAATATTACACGTATATACAAGGAAGGTCGAAAGTATACGTCAACCAGTTCATGACATCAGCAGCAGCAATTCGAGGAATTCCAACAAAAATATCCACTCCATTTAGTTTTCAGAGCGATGCGATGGCGATGTGACGCACAATATAATTAAATATAAATTTCGTTGCAATTTTAAAATCATCATTATTCATTGACACAAAAAAACTTGACCTGTCAATTCCACAACCCTATGTACGCCTAAGGCCCTAGGACTTATCTATTTGAATAAACCTCTTTCTTTGCAAAATTGTTTCTCTCTTATGTATTTTGTATATGATTGTAGCTCTTAAGATATTGTACATTTTTTAATAAATTAAAAGTTCAAAACGACCATTAGTATACAATAAATAATATACAGTGTGTTTTCTAATTGAATGTCAATAATTAAGAGGAAGATTTTTGGGTGCATTTTAATATTTGTAATACCACTTTAGGTATTTTAATGAAATTTTTGGCACACTAGTACATGTGTACCAAAAATTTCAATTTCAAGATGTATTATTTAGTGTACCACAATTTTTAAAAAATAAACCAGTGTCGGGCTTACGGAATTTCACCTGTCTATTTTGGCAGACATTGATGGTACGCCAATGTTTTCTCTTCAAATAAAAACTATTCTTGTAATCACCAATCATTTCTAAAGAAATTTAATTTCTTTGTTTTTTCAATCCGATGTATGGTTTTCGCTTAAAAAAATAAAAACCTCTTCTCTGCAAGGTCATAACAATATCGTTAATATGCCAGCATGCTGAGAAATTGGTTCTTATTTTTAGCGAAAACCTTGCCATAGACTGAAAAAGTAAGAGATCAAATCTGCTCATAAACGAATGCATGCATGAATGTGCCTCTGACTGTCTATGAACAAATAATATTTTGGTTAATTAGATCGCCACTGCACTGGTTGAATCGAGAATTCTTTTTGTGAAAAATTAAACATCTATCTAAACAAAATATCTAGTTTTTAGTTCCCAACTAGTGTCCTTAAAAATATATTCGAAAACTTTTCTTTTTACTATTACAGTTTTAATGAAATAACGTAACATCCTAACAACAATATATATATATATTTAAAAAAAAAATGACGCAAAATATACCAGATGTCCCATTAAAAAAATTGAAGTACTGAATTCTTTGCAATATATTTTATAAGAGTTTCCTCCTTTTTGATTAGTTAAAAATCAACTTAGAAACGAGGAGAGCTCTGAACCTGTTTCCGTTTCGCCACATAACTCAAAAACGAAGCGAAAGGAATTGTAAGCTTTACAAAAAAGTAGCATTCTATTGCGCAAAACGGCTCTATCCTTACTAATAAGGGAGATTCCTTGCATTTACAACCATAATTGAACACACTGTACATTATTCAGTAATGAAAACATATTTAATAATTTAAAAAATTATAAAATAATTCATTTCGTAAACTCTGATAATTTCACTTCAGCGCATTATACATCTAAACACAAAACTTTTATGGGCTCTGTATCTTTAATGGTCTAAAAGTGAAAACCCTGTATTCCGTAAAAATTGGAGAGCGTTGGTTTTTTCTTTATTGTTTTTTCTTATCTACAGTAATGGTAATTTCAATCTTAATCAGCGCACAGCGAGAGCATTTCATATTTTTTGTGGTTGTTCAAAATTTGTATTATTGTAATTGGTACGTATAAACGTGTAAATAAATAAATAAATAAATAAATAGAAGTATTGTCAACAACTAAAATATAAAAGTACTTTAAATTGTCTCGGAGATGTTTTTTCGTTCTTGGAATTTGTCTCACGATGAGGTCAAACCAGATTGCCGAATTTTTCAAGGTGAAAGTCGCGCAGACCCACCGACGAAAAAAAAAAACGCGCACACCTTGTCTGCCGGATTTACACACTATTCATTAATAAATAAAACGAGATTTTGAGATGGACAAAGTGGGATTGTACGCATGTCACGGCCTGCACGTAATGTTTTATATACGTTATAGTATTGTGCTCTCTGCGCGGTCTAGTGTGCCTTGCTTCTTTCTACGCATTTTTGACTCCTACTCGGTTCAATGAAGTATTTTAAACAGATAAAACGATTCGTTTCCAAATCGTACTCGAGTGGAAGTTTAGCTGGAGCTGACATAAAGGGTCTCGATTTGACCGAACAGGTTGAAAACATTTTTCCCTATGAGAGCATACCTGGACCTACGCCGCTTCCCGTTTTGGGAAACACATGGAGATTCATACCATATATAGGTTAGTATAGTGACTAATCTGTGACTATAGTATACTCTCCTCCAAATTCACAGAAAGAGAATTTTTTTTATTCAAGCAAACGAAAATGCTTGAAAAAATATACTTTAATTAGGAATTTTATTTTTCAGTAAGGACATTATTATTTAAGTAAATATTACCATTTCCTAGATAAAAGTAAAAAATAGTTTTTTTTAAAAAAGATTTATTTTTCATGAAGAATCATTTAATACATACATACATACATGTTTTTTCTCAATTATATAAATATGGTACTTTATATTATATTAAATATTGTACTTTTAATGTAGGAATATGAAATTCTCGATAAAAAAAATCCTAAGTCTTCATTTGATAAAAAAATTGTTTTATACTTCTTTAGTCTTTAATTAAATTTTAAGATAACGTCAAAAAACCAAAAATGTTTTCAGCAATATGTTAAGTACACAAATTAAGAACAATATCATTCTTGTGGAATGTTATGTATGTTGCAATTATTGTTGGAAAAAAAAATGTACTACATTTTTGAGATAACTTTTCTAAAAAATATTAGTTGAAAATTAAAAGAGGAAGTTAAATGAAGTAGGCACACTTTCTTAAAAGGAGTCAGAAAAATTTTTGCGTAAAGTACGCAGATTGCTTGGACGGAAGAAAGAATTTTTATATGCGCAATTAGTGTTCCACGATAAAAAAACAGTTTTTCTAAACCTGAAAATTTTCGATTTTCCAATATTTTTCAGTAAACCCCAAAAAATCACCTATAATTTTATCCACCAATAGAATACTCATTAATGTTTTTTAGTATTTCGAACTTTTAGAAATTTTTGGATTTCATTCTATACTTAATCTTCTTCGATATTTCAATTACCTAATTTGAAAATTTTGAAACATATACCATCACATTTTTGGACGTGTCCTGGTACCTATTTTCAACGGTTATCTTGTTATTTCATATTTTATATCGAGTCAAAATTCTTTCTACGTAGCACTGAGTTTAAAAAAAAATTGAGGTTTTTGGTTTTATTTACGTCAAAGGAGTTAGACTACTTAGATCTTAGCTTTTCGCTTCTGGGGCGAAAATTTTGAATCATGTAACATTATTTCAAACGCCATACCTATTTGCAATAAGTTTCTTCTTATTCTATTCTTCTTTTAATCTGGCGTAGAACGTAATAATTAAAGAAATATATAAACCCATTGGAACACAAGAAATATACTGGATATTGAAAGGTTCATATTGACATGTATCTTAAATTGTTTAGCTTTAAAGATACTTGCTTAGTTTTGGTTTTAAGTGCTTGCGATAGCAAGTGAATGATTCAGACTTGAGTTGAAACATCACCATTTTTTTAATACAGGCGTGCAAAATCGTACAGTTTACATTTTAATTGTCGGTACCAAAAAGGTTACGGGGCCAAAAAGCTTTGTTTTTTTTTTCAAATTATTATTATTAGTAAAACTTGTATATACCTACTACGTAAATTGCTTTGTTCATAATAAAGCTTCTTTCGTAAGACCTTAGTGTTTAACATAGTCGCTGTGTCATTAAGACTTTTTTTGCATTTTATTTATTTTCAATTGATTTAATAACTAATTGGAACATGCTAAGAGAATTAAATGATAACCAGAACATCGAATTTTAGGTGACTTTCAAATTGAACATATCGACAAAGTCGCAAGGCGGCTGTACGAACAGTATGGCAAAATTGTTAAAATCGAGGGACTCCTCGGCAGACCCGACATGATTTTTCTTTTCGACCCTTACGAAATCGAAAAGGTTTTCCGGAGAGAGGATGCGATGCCCTACCGACCGTCGATGCCGTCGCTTAATTTTTACAAGCACGTGTACAGGAAGGATTTTTTTGGAAAGATGGGCGGAGTTATTTCAGTGTAAGCGAAATCCATCAAGTTTCATACGAGCTAGACTGCGAATACACGCATTACATTTTGAAAAAATACTGCCGTAAAAATGCCGCAGCCAAACTTGCTGACGATCTGTCAGCGGCCATGATTGGTTATTGAATGCCGCAAAGTCATTGGTTAAGAACGACATTTTAAATGCGCATGCTGACTGCACCTTCTCAACATTTTTTCATGGATTATCGGAATAGGCTTCTATAACTCTAGTAGCCATATGGTCATATCAGTTTCTAGATATAATTTCTTGAAGTTTTCTGTGGCATACTTTCTTCAGATACATGTTTTTTCATGATTATTTCACAGTCAGAAATAATATTTTTTAACACCTTATCAATGTGTTTACAAAGAACTAACGCCAGGGATTGTAATCGTAATCGTAATCTTAAATTAAAGTCGTGAAAATAATGGTAAAAAATTGATATTGAGGCAAATATGTATTAGTAAAATGTCGCTCATTAGAAAGACATAACCTGTTTAAATTCTTATTGCTTTATAGCTTAACCTATTTTATTATTAAAGAGACCTGATTTTAATTTTCAATACTTCGCGTAACCTCCACAAAAACCTGCAACTAAAAACTGGTCCCAATTTCAGAGTTGCAGTTCGCTCCACAGTGTACAATAATGACTCTATATTAATATAACTATTAATTAAGACTTTAAAATACAGTTGTGTTGAGTTTTAATCAAAGAATATTAAATTGTTTCATACCTAAATATAAAGTTATAAAAGCACCTTCGCTATAACCTGATAATATATTTATTTTTGATTTTTAAAATTAAAAGTTAAAAAGTGTTCACCCAGTTTCAGATATTTCGCTCAACACCTACAAGTCAACGTCTCTAAATTTATTACTAAGAGTTGCACATGTTTTGCCCACATGGCCAACATGAGGCATATTAAAATGCCAACTTAAACGCGCACAGAAGTAAATTAAAATGTTTGACGATTTTTGGCGCGGACCTTGTATAACCCGTCTTACCCTTGCTACTTCGATCCTACCGTGGTACCACCCTCAATATTAATTGCTGATTTCTCTTTCAAGCTCTAACATTAATAAATTATCAGTGATAACCTTTATTAACTATTAATGAATGTCGGCAATATACGACCTCGCAAGGTCGCATACAAATTACAACGATTAAATACTTTGTCCTTCCTACTATTTTCAGGTTGATATTTCTATTTAACGATTACATATTTGGTAAGAAGGGAACTGGTTTCATATCAGTTCATGGGTTAGCGATATTTCCTGCTTAACGTTGGCAAAGAAACAACAGATTTCGAAATGCCCAGGACGTGCGTCGCAACCAAAGGAACGAAATCTCAGTCGCTTAAACATTCTCGTCACAGTACGTTACATAAAAATTTGCAAGTCATCGTCGTTTTACTTTTTACAAATCTGGACAATATCAAGGTTCTGAAATTTCGGGCTCCGATACTTGAATATTAATTTCAATGGTGTTAAGTAAGCGTTAACCATTACCGCAAACAAACCGCCTACGAAATATTTATGGAATTGTGAAGATTTTAATAATTTTATGGAATGATTAGTACAGTTCTCTATGGTAATTTTACACAATACAAATACAATCGGGTTTAAAACGTCTTTCGACCTATTCTGACACTTAATCGCCGTTGACCCTTTTCCATTCCTTGAATTCCACATCTGTTGTTTCCAGCATTTTCATGCTCCTTTTTTTTTAGCTGCTCACAACTATATATAACTATGCTTTTTATGATAGTGTTATAAATTTGCTATTTATTTCGTATTGTAATTTTTTGGTCCCATAAGATGCTGTTTAACATTGCGATAGCGTTCCTTGGATATTCCCCTCGTTGGTGGCATCATCAGATTCATCCCCAGGTGGAAAAAGTTCTTGATGCACACATGTGCTCCGTTTTTGTACTCTTCGACGAGCTTTCAGGTCATATACTCTGTGTCGTCGAAATCTTGTGGTATTATCATCCGCAAAACTAAAGGTGCTTTCCTTTTTTTAGGGTGACAAACAGCATTCTTTTTTGAGGTCTTTGTTCGTTAATATATTGGTTTCTATTTAGTTCCTTCCATTATGGTGATGCTGTGTTAAGTTTTTCTTAACTCCGACTGATTGTGCTTGTTACCGCAATCCCTCGATAGTTGTCACAGCTTTCTTTGTTACCTTTCTTGGCAATGAGCGTAACGTATGATAATTTGGATGTCTCCGGTGTTTATTAAAGCTTGGAAGAGCTTGATTTGGTGTTTCGTTTGCGGGCATATTATTAGGTTCAGGGGTTTTCCTCCTCTTTAGATTTCTACAGGTATCCTTTACCTCCCTTACACTAGTTCTAACCGGTGATGCTTAAACATGTACTCTGTTTGGGTCGTCGCCTTCCAAAAGCTGTCCTCGATTCTCTTTCATGAGCTTAATGAAATGTAATACTAGTTCTCCCTTTTCGTTCAAGGGAAGTTTCCAACTTTCACTGCTTTTTGTTCGTCCCAGATATGCATTTATTTTACTGACGTTTTTTTCCCATAACTAGTTTTTATTATGCATTGTTTTCATTTTCACTCGAGCCAGTGCTTTTTTAAATATCATTCTATCCTGATTTGAATTGCTGAATAGAAAGCATTATTTTTTTTATGTTTGATATCTAGTTGAATTTCTTCATCCGACCAATATAGTTTACGGGTTTTTCCTCGCCGCTTGTTGCAGTTATTGCTTGATGTATTCATAGTGCTCTTTATTTTTGTTAAATTGTTGTATCTGGAGCTTGTAGCCAAGTCTCTTTTAGTATAGGGTATGCGGGAGTAGGAGGATCTTAGATAGATGCGATCTATCGGTAATCCGTTTAATCCGTTTAATAATGTCCATTTTGCTCACATAATATGAAACCATTATCATTGTTACGTTCTCGTCAAATCTTCCAACCACTTCGCTACCTAATTTATTTCCAGTTCTTCCATTTAGGTCGATTATGTATTACGATCCCTTAAGTCCTCGATTCTTGATAATTCTTGGTGCAGCTGTTCAAAAATCTGTGGAACATCATCATTAACCGCATAGACTCCGAATATCAGTCAGTCAGTGGTCAGCTTGCGACCATGTTCATTTTAATAATTTGTTCATTCACCTAATCGTCAATGTACTTTATTTGGAACACTGTCAACCAATTTTTAAGTTGAAAATTCTGCCACTGCCTTGTCTACATATTTACAACTAGAAAAAATATGCTACGTTATATTTAGAGACATATTCGAAATGATGTTTTAAATTTAGATGAAATCCTTATCACTATTTTAATAGTTTAGTAGTTATCTCTGCCATTGGAATTTCAGAAATACAGTGATATGGAGTTGCTCAAATTAGTTATATTGTAGCTGAGTCAGTATTTTAAAACTAAATGTGATCTACCGAAAAATTTTGGAACATCTTGTATTCATACAGATCAATAGATTTTAAATATGTTGACTTTTTTCTGCGATGTTATATGTGTATTGAACAATCAAGACAAGTTCATTTTTAAAATCAAACGCATTTTATACTACTTGAATATCCATAAGTTCATACAGCTTGTACAATCAACATAAACTAAGATGTCATCACGACAAATTTTTCTTGTAACTAATGGTATAAGTCCAAGTCTTTCAAAAAACCAATGAGACAATTCTACAACGAATGTAGACAATTGAGAAGCAATGGCCAATGGAGTATACATAATTTTGGGTGACGGTTCATCCCCGGTTTTTGGTGAATTCTTTAAACTTTTTAGTTTTTTCACCTACAGGTATGTTTGGTACGTTGAAATACGATCGATTTTTGTTGTTGTTTCAGTCACGGCGAAAATTGGCAAAAGTTCAGATCGAAAGTGAATCAAATAATGTTGCAGCCAAAGTCCGCGAAAATGTATGCGCCGGCGATATCAAAGGCGTCGCAGGAATTTGTCGAAAGGTAAGAAATATGTCCTGTTAAATAAATAATTACATTGAGAAACGCAACAAGGGCAAAATAATTTGGCACTTTGACCACAAAAATATCTAACCACTAGATACATTAACCGGATGTTGAGGTATAGGGTGGACCAAATTGGACACTTTTAAGTAGAGGCAGTTCTCGAAGATAGTTGACAAGTAATATCGGTGTCTGAAGCGATATTTTCATAAAACAATTCATGGTAAAAACCGCTAGAAACTTTTAACATTTATAGGGTGTTTTTGAAAAGCTTTTTTTGGGATGGAAAACTTTGTGTCTCTATGAAAACAAAGCAACTTCTTACGCAGCATTTAATGGTTACTTTTAAAAGTAACTGGTAGTTGAAATTGTGAATTTCGTAGTCGTTTTCGGGTTTTCAAACCCGACGTATTGATTTAGTCTTTCAAATAAATGCTCCTTTTTTTAGAAAATCCTCTAAACGACATTGCCAACAATTACATATTAAAAATCGATTTTTCGGTCGACAACTAATAAAATATTAGTGTTATTTTGCCCAGTAAAGGTTTTCAGAGAATCACAAAACTATAGAAAGACAAGTTTCACTTTAAAAGTGTCCAGTTTTCACCGCCCTGTACAATTCAGAGGAGAACAATTTGCACGCGAAGGCAAAAGTAATTATGTTTTGCAACATCATAACGCATTATTAATGATAACAAGAGAAATTTTTTAATTCGTTGAAATACCACGCAAGGTAAACGAGGGAACGGACTTTGCTGTTGCAGTTGCATTCTATTATTGCACATTGTTAATTACCAATTATCGCTGACTGCAATTGAGAAAGGTGGTCCCATATTACTTTTCTAACTACCGAATAAGGTTTAATTTTTATAATATAAAAATCTAACGATATGATTCTTATTTCGTGTTTTTGTCGTAATAAAAAATTCCTTATTTAATTTGGCTTGTTCTTTTTCAAACCATCAAACATTTTTTTATCTTTTACAGGCGTTTTGGTGAATCTGATTTGTATCTGAATATTCACTTTTGTTTTTTTGTTTACTTTTTATAAAACTTCTGGATTCTTACCGTGTCGGTGTTTGTTGTATGGCTTTTTGTTGGGAACGGTTTTTGTCGGAGACTGCAATTTTTTTAAAAAATTGTATTAATTATTATTTATAGTTAAATGGTGAGAGCTGAGGAAGACTTTATAATTTTTATTTATAGACCTCATTGACCTCTATCTTTAAAAAAAAAATCAATCTTTTCGAAGTAAGGCAGGTATTTAAAAAAAATAAAAATTTGAATTTTTGAGGAGTATCATGATATCTATGAAAATTATAATTTGAGATTATTAATTAATGATGGGGAGGGCTGGAGACAGACTTTATGGTATTTAAGAATAGACCTCATTGACCTCTAACTTTGATAAAAATTTCAACCTTCTGAGGGAAACGTAGATATTTTAAAAAATTAAAAATCTAAAATTTTTGAAGAAAAACATGATAAATACGAAAATAATAAAATGCAAATATTAACCGAAAATGGGGGGTTGGGGGGGACGTTATAGTATCTGCGAATAGGCTTCATTGGTGTGTATCTTTCGTAAAAATTTCAACTTTCTCGGATTCATTTGAAATTTATGTGGTAAATATTTTGGTCCTTCCTCTATAAAAGGATACTAAAATGATTCACACAAGTTATACCGTTTGTCGTCAGGAGCGGTTTTTGCATAGAGTTTTTGCATTGAAAAAATTAAAAAAAAAACATTATAAATGCAGGGTATATGGGAAAATGGGTTATATCGATAAATCATCGATAATTTATCGATATTTTCAAAAAATAATTACAAATTCGAATTTCTCATCCTCGAAAACTCCCCCATGCAGAATTTTATCCATTTTTGTGAAATCATCTCGAAATCGCATTTCGGGCTCAAAAATCGGCTCGAAAATCGATGGTCCAGCCAGTTTCAGTCAAGCTCTGAAGAAGCCAACAGGATGATTGGCGAAACGTTAGCAAGTTCGAGTCAAGAAAAACCGACGCAGGAGGTATCCAGAAGTTTTATAAAAAATATTACAGTAGCCTGTGGAAGTTTCTTTGAAAAATTGTTTTTTTTGTTTACAAACTAACCAAAATTAAGTTGGAAAGGTATCGGCGGAACAAGTAAATTTTTGGTGACATTTTCAATCTCATTTTAAAAATGTTTGCTCCATTTTGTTTTCAAAAACATTGTAGAATAATTTAGAGATTGATTTTTCGTTTCCTTTCCTCACACATTTTGTTTGTCATTTCACGTATTTAAAGCCATTGGTTTGATAATTATTGAAAGAACACTAAATTATAAAACTAAAAAAAATGTTTTTTAATTCATTTCCAATTTTACCAAATATTTAATTGTTCCTTTTTCATCTATATGAACATGGGAAATCTACACACTGGTATGCAAATAAAAACGGGTGTTTGCTTGTTATCATAGATCTAAGATCTTTATTTAATAGCGATCTATCTGATCAGGTTTAGATTAGGGCGGCACTATGGTGCTAGTGTCCAGTTTAGATCCATTATTGGCAAAATGGGATGACTAGAAGTAAAAACAATTTTTAAGTTATCAAAAATCAAATAAAAAAATCTTAATTTTTTAACGTTTATTTCAAAAATATTGTTTTTGTTTGAATACGCATAAACCCATCACCGCACTATTGAATAACATAGCAAATTAGAGCCTTCGAATTATTGAAAAACACAAAACTAAACAACCACTTTTCAAGCTATTATCTTCATTCGGGTTTAAAGGCCGTCGTCGATTGGAATTACTTCCTAACGTTTCGCTAGCACGAGTGGCGAGCTTCTTCAGAGGTCCTTCCATCTCCGATGTTGGACGTAGACTGGAAGAAGCTCGCCACTCGTGCTAGCGAAACGTTAGGAAGTAATTCCAATCGACGACGGCCTTTAAACCCGAATGAAGATAATAGCTTATCAACGGGCCGCGAAAGCCTTAACCAATTTACCACTTTTCAAATTTGCTATTATAAGTCGCAATTGTTTTAAAAAATTTCGACCTAGTTTTAGGAAAGCAATAGTAATAGTAGTAATAGTAATAGTAAAGTAAGTAATAGTAAAACGGAATATAAACTTGCTTGAGCTTCTAAAAAATAAATGGGAAAACTTCAATCCAGCAAAATCTTTTCTTTATATTCCATCTTTTAGGATAAGACATCTGCGGAATAAGGAATCTGAAATGCCGGACGATTTTTTAAACGAAATCCACAAATGGTCTTTAGAATGTAAGTACGTTTTACCTGATAATTTTACTTCTGGTAGGAACAGTGATATCAACTTTCACGCATTACAAAGTGCAGTAGTTAAGCGGCCTTTTTGCCTTTTCACCAGCCGAAACCAACCAAAAGAAAATATTACCTTTTCAACATCATGAGAACGCTAATTTTACCATTAAATTCGAATAAATCCAACTATTAAAATATTAAATTTAAACCCTGCACTTATCAAGGCTTGCTCAATCATTTTTTCCATCTTGTGCAAAATTTGCCATACAACTTTTTTTTTCTGAATCATCCTCTAAGGAACTCATGGCCAAAGACACTTTTGTATCAGCAGTGCCCTCAATACATTTTCTTGCAATTGCAATTGCAATTGCCCGTGCCTAGAGCCTACCCTGATAATATAAATTTATGCAACAATTTTGGAGTTGCATTTCATTTAATCAATTTCTATTGCCCAGCGTTAGCGAGAATAGCCCTAGACGTACGTTTGGGCTGCATGGATCGGCACCCTTCCCAAGATACTCAACAACTAATCGACGCTATAAACACGTTTTTCATAAACGTACCGATATTGGAACTCAAAATACCATTTTGGAGATTGTACAGTACGCCAACGTTTAAAGAATATATAGACGCGCTAGATACAATCAAAAAGTAAGAGAACAGAAAACTTCTAACCGGCTGAAGTCGTTGCAAAAGAAAATGTATTTTGCAGCATATGTCTGAAATATATAGAAAAGGCCATGCGAAATTTACAAACAGAAGACGGTGACAGTCAAAATTCGATTCTACGAAAAGTGCTGCATGTGGAAAAGGACCCCAAGGTGGCAACTGTATTGGCGTTGGACATGTTCTTAGTGGGTATTGACACGGTAAGTGACAACTCTTAGTATAGTGTCTCTGCAATTCTAATAAAAATCAAGTTAGTGTCGTCACAGATAAATTATTTTGACTACCTGCACTCGTAAATTTGCAGTACCAATGATATGGACCGGAATAAAGTGATTATTAAACAGGTAATAATGCGTCCTTAGTGTTTTTTTAATTTTTTAAAATATCGTCATGTTTCATCTGTTAGAAGATTACCAACCACTGACTAACTACTGCTTTGTAAAACCTTTTTATGATTCTTCAGTTAATAGAGGACTTAATGATTGTGCTACTGCAAATAAATTATGTGATTTTTCCAAGATAACCTTGACTTGACCTGACTGAAAAGAATAGTATTAAATCCCATTAAAACAGGAAGGATGCTTAAAGTGTATTCCAGCAAATATTACGACGAAGGTAACAAGGACTTAAGCGAAAAGTTTACGACGTGTTCAAAGAATGTGTGGTGCCCACAGCACGAAGTCTGAAAAAACGGTTTGTTAATAACGAAACTTAAATAAACTTTTGAAAAGTTTTGTCTAAAATGGGTTTCAAATATAATAAAATTGACAAAAGGAATTCTTGGTTTGGCAATCATGACATGAAGATTAGAACAACAGCTTTCTCTATTAAAGAAGAAATAGTAACAATTAACATTAAAAAACACTAAATACACATTCGTCGACTAACAACGGCAGAACTTTTTGAACAATAGTTACAGGATTGTCTTCTACCCAACATTTCTCAGAATGGCGTTATAGTAATGGATAGCGCGAGCTAACACAGTTCTCAACTACATGAAAGTTAAACGGACAAATAATACAAATTCGCAAATTCAAAACTGCATGGCAGCGAATGTTTTTTTGAAGGAGAAAATTGGTTAAAAAAGTTAACCTCGAGAGGTTTTGAAAGCATATCTGCCACTCGTTATACTATTAATTTTTCCTAGATTTGTTACTTTGCTTAGTTATTAGTTTGTGATCTAAGCCCATTATTTTTAATGAATGCGACATTCCGCAGAGTTTCTTAAGCCCTGACTAATTTTAGGAAAATGTTGCGATTTAAAAAAATAACGAATTTTCTGTAAAAACTCTAAACTTTCAACAACTCTAAGATACATTAACACTTCAGTCAATTTATAGTCCACACATGTACCGTTTGCCAGATCTCAACAAAATATTAATCTGATTATCAAAGCCTTAGTTTTAAAATAAAATTGATGCTTTTGTTTGTCATTTTTTTCATCAATATTACTAATTAAAATAGGATAATAATGGGCACACTGTCAATCTTAATCTAAAAAAATTCACTTTCGGAATGCTTCTTTTTAAATTCTGATGCAATCTCCTCGCTCAATAATTGCGTTTAATTTTAATTAATGTGATTGATATATACTCATTGAAAAAGAAGATAACTAAAAACAAACAGCAAGACTTGAAATTTAGGAATATAGATTTTGTGCACAAGAATATGCATGTGCTAACATGTTTCAGTTCAGAGATACAGGTTTATTCCTTTTTTCCGCTAAATCGGAACGTTTTCGGCGAAAAAAATAGGTTTCACGAACGCCCCTGCCCCTATAGCAAAAAACTGTTCTTAAGTGGCAATAATGCCTACCAAGTTTGAAAGCAAAATCTCGGACATTGTATATCTCCGAAATGAAGCATTTTAAAACGTTGAGTGCCAACTACGAGATAACTCGCAGATTGCGTTCCTTTATAGGACGCCAACTACGAGTTTTCTCGTCCTGTATTTACTTGTCATTTTAGTTCAGCTACAAAAGAACAAAAAATCAATGCTGGTTTTTCAACAGACAGTTTATTAAAAAGCGATTTAAAAAAACATCTGTAAGCCATTAAAACAACATTTTTTATGATTTTTGATGATACTTATGGACTAGAATTAGTTGTTTGAATAAGATTATATGCTAAAATCAAATTGTCGTTTTTGGCCAGATTTCTGAAAACTACAATGGCAGTCAACGAGTTAAGGTATAAGTTTATATGAACCTTTTTACTTTTTTTTAACTGCTGAATATGCTGTCAAAATTTCCCCATTATATTTCTGATCACCCTATATATTATATTTTACTTTCTTTTTCACAGGAACGGTGTCACATGTCGAAGGATCAAACTTGTTTAAATATGTTCTACGATTTTATTGAAAATAAACTAAAAGAACTTATTGACAGTTGCTATATTTTGATACCCACCTACAGATTTTATTAACAAGGATAGGTAAAAACTTTTTATGTAATATAATATTAATAAAAATAACATAAAATAAATAATAATAAACAATATGAAGAATTTTAATCTTAAGTAATAGAATACGGCCTGTTCCATTTAAAACGTTAACAGATGAATTAGACCAGAGAAATACTCGCGCGGTAGTTAAGGCAACTTTCGACATTTCGCAGTTATTAAAAATAAAAAGTGCACGCCGGATTGTGAAACAAACAATTACCGCAAACTGTTAAATCGCACTTATGGTGATGATAAACTGCGATGATGTACGTGCAGAATGGGTTTTAAGTAAAAGTTGCGATAATAACCAGTAAATGTGCATGCCGCCATTGACGACCATTAACCTGCAGATATTGTTTGATATGTTGCATTTATTATCAATGTCCTAAAGAAAGTAATTTAACAGAAAAAATGTTAAAACCGCATTCAAATCCATAAATTGTTTTTTGATAAGCTATTTGCTAATTGATTTTATTACCCACTGTCTCCACAGTACATCTACTGTGGAAACTGTGGCCATGTTTATATTTATGATTTTTGGTAGTTTTTCAGACTAAATGAAGTTATTAATGTCCAGATCCCGAAAGAAGAAATTTCAATCGATTAAATTAAAAGTGTTTATATAAAAATATATAATAAATCCCATCCCCAGTACATGCATTCTTGTTATAGTAGAGATATATATTCTGATGATGTACATAGTGACAAGAAGTCTAAATAGGCTGAAAACTCTTAAGCACATATTTTTATATAAAACAAAACTGCTTTCAGAGTTTTGATGTCAATAAAAATTTTTATGTTACTTTTATGTGTTGTTTAATGTCATATAATCTTGCTATTTTTTATTTAATATTATTATTTTTCACTTATCTACGAACTGTGGACGTTTGTTCTATGAAACGCTTCCGATCTTTAAAAAGATTTCCATTACTAATAGTGTTTCAAACATTTTTTCGAACAGATTAAGCAAAATTAGAATAGTTTTCAGAAATGCGTGAAGATAAGGGATACTATTGTATTTCATATTGTTATTGTTAGACATCGAACGCCGTAGCATCGATTCTGTATCAGCTGGCCATTCATCCGAAGAAACAGGAGAAATTGCACCAGGAAGTGGAGAGGGTTTTAGATTCTCAACAAACAATTGAAACCGACGCGTTGGAAGCAATGAGTTATTTAAAAGCCTGCATAAAAGAGACTATGAGGTAATTATCCTGCTGATGTGCTTTTGATAACTTTAACTTTTAACTCTCAGTGTTTTATTAAAAGTTGCGTAGAGATATTTTAGTGTTGTCAAATATTCCCGAACTGTTCTACAACTAATTCTACAAGTTCTCTTTGAACATAATATTGCTAAAGTAATAATTTTAACAGAAAACTTTTTATTGTGGCATCTCAGTCGCCAAAATTAAAAATTCAATAAATAAATTATATAAATAGTCATAAAACAAATTAATAGCAGTTACTGATAATCGCCAAGGCACACTATGACATGTTTGTGCTATAGTTGTAATTACAGTCGAAGTTGGATAAGTCGAACTGCGTTTTGCCACATGAAAATTTCGAGTTATCAAGACTTCGAGTTATCAATAAAAACTACAAATGCATATACTTTTTTGGGAATGATCATTTATTCATTCATTTTTAAAAATGATACGTTACATAAATGCCCTAATATCTATGATTTTTAACAAAAAACGAAAATTATGAAATAGTAGTACATATGTATGTATGAATTTACATAATATATGTACATACAAATGTATTGTATATGTACCCAGTATATACAAACATAGTATGTATGCACATACATACATACATATGTACATATTAAAGTTTACTCTTTCACTGGAAAAAAGTCAGTTATTTGTGACTGACTACCGGATTTCTTATTTTGGTTTTCAACAAAAACATCTTCGATGTACTGTACCGGTTCGGATCTGCAGGACTCGATAATATCTTCATCAGTAGGAAACTCTGAAGTAACAATGTCCTCATCCACATGTATAAAATCGTTGATGGTGCTACCTTCTGCTATACCTCTAATGTTTGTCCAAGCTTTAAACTCGATTTCTATTTGGATTTCGTCTTCACTCTTTTCTTTCAGGCGTTCACTTAGGAAAATCAAGGGAATCTCTTCTTCTTCTTCCCATTCAGAATACTGACTAAAACAGGCTTTTTTAAAACAATTGGAAATTATTTCAGGCTTAACGTCGATATTCCATGCGGTAGTTACGTTGTCAACACAATCGATTAGTGTATTGTTATTTTTGTTTTTGTTTTCTTCGAAACGTTCCATTGCGGTGATAACTGAATGTTTATTTTTCAAAATTGTAGACACTGTACTTGCCGAAATCCCAACTACACATCTATCTAGAGGCTATCTCCTTGTCTGATCCCTGTTGATACTGGTATTTTACTGGAGAGTTCATTGTTTACCCTTACATACGTGCTATTTCCGCTGTTCTTGTCCCGAATGAAGTCTATTGTCCTTTGGTTTACGTCTCGTTCTTTTAGCAGCTCAATGACGTCATGTAATCTCACTGTATCAAATGCTTTTGTTAAATCTATGAAGCACATATACGCGGTTTTATTGTGGCATTTTCGGCAATCTGTCTTAAAATGAATATAGCGTCAATGGTCGATCTATTTTGTCTGAATCCCTGCTGTTCTTCGCTCATACCACTACTTGAGACTTCTTCTGTAATAATTTTTGTTAATAATTTTGAAGTCGTGTTTAGTAGACTGATCCCTCTATAATTATTTGGTTCTTTCTTTTCCCCTTTTTTTAAAAAACAGGGATCGTTATGCTTACTTTCCATTCCTTTCTCTTTCCATATACTTTTCTCTGGTCGTATATCTTATTAAACAGCATTTGGTCTATTAATTCAATGCCACCATATTTAAGAAGCTTGTTATTTCCTGTTTTTCATCTTGCGTATTGTTGCTTCAATTTTGTCTTTTGATATTAATTGTTGTTGGGTGTCTTCTCTTTCCCCAGATATATTTTCCTGTTCCTGTTCTGGAGCTTGGCTTATAGAATATTTATTAAAATGTCAAAATATATATTCATTTGAAATAATATATTTAGGAGAATTGTAAATTTAAAAGCAGACGAAAATCGAAATAAATTGTTTTAAAAATAAGCGGGGTTAACAATAAAAAAAAAGAAGAATATGAGTCTTTACCTAGATTCTACGTAAAACGATCTAAAGATTTCATTTTCATTCTCTCATTTCGATACAGGGTGTTTAAAATACAAAAGCTAAAATGAATCTACTATATACTATTTACAAAACTTCTGGATTCCTCCTGCGTCGGTTTTTATTGAATCGAACTTGCTGAAGTTTTGCCAATCATCTTCTGGGCTTCTTCAGAGATTAACTAAAACTGGATCGCATTCTACTGTGTACCTATTTATACATTGTTTAAGAAAGAGCTTGACCGCGACTCAGGTCTTTACCTTTCACCAATATGGGAATCAGTCATCCGACACAATGTTCATGACCCTCCTTTGGCTCCGCCCCTCAGATAAGAAGAAGCCAACAGGCAAGTCAAGTCAGTCAGCAAGTTCAACACCAATCGACTCAGGAGGAATCCTGAAGTTGTGTAAATATCACATTCGCAATAACCTCTGGTTTCTTTGCAAAAAAAAGAATCTCTAATACTAACTGATATACCCTGCAATAACAATTTTTGAAGGCGGACACGGCTGTTTTGTAATTAGATTTACTTTAAGATTTTTCGTTGCTTTTGTTTGAGAGTGCTGCTTTATGCACCTGTTTTATGCAAGATTTTCTATAACGAAATCCGCTGCTTTCTTCAATCTCCTTCCTGATCTTCAATTCTGTTATATTTCGGTAGCAGAAAACATCTTTTATTTTATTGAATATTGAATCTTTAGCGAAGTGAACACTTTTCATTCGTTACGATATTCTTTTTCAGGCTATACCCAGTAGTGATAGGAAACGGTAGGCAAACGACTTCCGATTGCGTCATTCGCGGTTACCGCGTCCCTAAAGGGGTGAGATATTGGGTCGTTTCTCGATCGCATTTATTAATTTTTTTTTGATCAGGTTCAAATTATTTTCCAACATTACGTGATCAGCAACGAGGAAGAGTATTTTGCAAAGAGCTGCGAATTTCTGCCAGAGAGATGGCTCAAGGGTTTCTTTTCGAAGGAACATCACCCATTTGCCTCTCTTCCGTTCGGTTTCGGCAAGCGCATGTGTTTAGGGAAGCGATTTGCCGAATTAGAAATTCAGATGCTGATCGCTAAAGTAAGAAAAGTTGTGTGTTACCAATTATTGGAAATGTGTCCAAAGATTATTCCAGAATGGCATCTGTTGAATTTCAATTGAAATCTCGCGAAGGTTTCGCCAAGATCTCAGTTGGCATTTTCAATGTTTGTGCTTCTAAATTATTGCGTCTTTATTATCAAAAAAGCATTAAACTTTATAATTTAAAGGAGACATTAAAAAATAGGATAATGGGCGAAATATTATCCAAAGGGCGCTTATAAAGTGATAATAAAATCGATGGCAAAAAATTTTTTCCATTCAAATAATGAGAATACTACGACTAAGTGTTTCAACAATGCCGACATTTTTTTGAGAAAATTTTTGTCATCAGCTTGTGACATAAATTTATTTGTCCGACTTTTCCCACGGCATCCATTGGCCCTTACAAAAAGTGTTAATCCATAATGGTGAAATAATTCAGTTTCGTGCTGCCCGTAAACTATATGAAGAAGCAGAGGAGGTGAGAAATAAAGATATACACAGTTGTCATTGATGATGATAATATTATTGTGTAGCAGTTTGAAAAATGCTGTCGTGTAGGATATTTTTCATTAATAATTAATTGGAAATAAGTAACATTCAACAATCTGAGCAATGTCATTTTAATTAACTTACGCTTATGTTTTCAAAACAGGATGAATATTTCGAAATTCAAAAAACTTTACAGTTTCATAATGATAAAATGAATTTAGGAGCCTTATATGAAAAATATTTTTGAATTAATACCTTGGTATTAAGATAAAAGCAGCGACTGTTTGTTTTCTTGTGTTAGTTTGGGTTGAATGATACCAGTTTTTTAGACAAATAAGACTGCCCATTGGTTTTTCAGGTTTTGTAAGTAACATTAACATATTTAAAGAAACAGTCCCTCTAACTAAACAGCATAAAATAATCCATAAATTTGCCCAGTACAAATAAAATAGCCATTGACTCATTGGCTTTAAGCTTCAGATTATAATCTTCTCAATCTTGTAGCTGCATCAAATAAATGCAAAAAACTTTACAGTTTCATAATGGTAAAATGAAAAAAATGGGATAATAGGTGAAGTAGGCGCTTGTAAACTTAACCCATTTTTATATTAAAATCACCCGCCAAGAAAAAAATCGAGAAACATTCGCAGTATATATTATTATAATAAACGACCTCCCAAAAATCAGTGTTTTTTACCGGTAATTTGTCAATCAATTTAGGAGCCTTATATGACAGCGACTGTTTTTTTTTCTTGTATTAGTTTTGGTTGAAAGATACAAGTTTTTTAGACAAATAAGACTGCTCATTGGTTTTTCCGGTTTTGTAAGTAACATTAATATATTTAAAGAAACAGTCCCTCTAACTAAAAAGCATAAAATAATCCATAAATTTGCCTGTAATAAAAATATCAAAATCAAATCAGTTAAATAGTTAAATTAGTTAAGTAGTTACATAGTCTTCCTGTTTTGTGGTACAAATAAAATGGCCATTGACTCATTGGCATTAAGCTTCAGATTATAATCTCCTCAATCTTGTAGCTGCATCAAATAAATCATTTGCTTGAAAAGAGTGAAGTAATCTGTTTCAAGACAAGGAAAGTCAGAAGTATACACTGAGAATAACAAGGATAAGAAAATGTTGGCAATGACACTTCAAGATGACAATAATAATGTGAACTGGAATTCCGAGACGTGATTAATTTTGAAAAGTATATTATTATGCATATGAATTTCTGAATCTTGAAAATTGAAAATTTGATATTTTTCAATTAAGTCATCAGAAAACACCTTTATTTTAGACCATTAGTCCAACCTTTAGCGTAAAAGAGAATTTTTGAAATATTTTTGACAAGAAGAATTAAAAGCTTAAATGACGCAATAATGCACGGGGGTTTTGATTTTTTAATCTCGAGTACGTCACACACTATAGGTGAGACAATGAGGTAACTAAGCCACTATTTCAAAAATAGTATTAATAGAAGCAGTTCCCACTACAATGCCAAAAACTAAAAAAGACACTGTACCTATACATTTCAAAAGCACTTAGTATAAATCGCTTAATTTTATAATGTTAATGATTTCATTTTCAGATTATCCAAAATTACAGGATTGAATATCATCATCAGAGACTGAACTACTTTATACATCCTATGTACACTCCCAATGGACCTTTACGATTGAGATTTGTAAATAAAAATTAACATTTATATACACATATTTGTATCAAACTCTCTCACATTTATAAGAAGTAATACACAATCAGGTGTTCTAAGTCTTAGATTCAAGGATCTCACGAATCAGCTGGCACTTTTTATCACTGGAATTCCAAAAAAAACGGAATCTTAAGAACAAGCGTGGTTAATGATGTAAAGATTAGGGTTCGAATTTTATTAATTATTAAATAAAAGAAGAAACTCACTACGGATAACTGAGCAACGAGCAAAAAGCGTTCGAGCTCTATACGAAAGCTATTAAGAGTTAGATCTTTAATAGAAGATGGAAGATTATTACAATAGCATTATAAATAAAGCTACGGCGAAAAGTGGTTAATCGATAACGAATAGAATACGGACAAACACCACCAGATTATACTGATAAATATTTTCTGTTTGGAGCCAATCATACACTGCCATAATTTCGAAGCCTATAAATTAACCTACAACAAGCATTCCGAAAGCGATTCCTATACTATAATTGGCATAATTTAATAATTTTTTGTGAAATTTGAGAGTTAAAGTATTTACGTTTTTATATAGGGATTGTAGAGTCAAATATGCCTTTTGCAATAGCAGTGACACATGTGCTTTGAATGCGTAAGTCTTTTTGAAGAATTAAGTTAAGATTTTTTATTTTTCTTACAATCGGGAGTTATAGTCCATCTATAAGCAATTCTATTTTTTGGGGTGAATCCCATCACTGTCTGCAGATGTCCCAATACCTGAGAATCCAGTCAATTTAAAAGAAGATACCAACGGTTTTTCTGAACCTGAAATGGATGAAGATTTAGCTTTTTTTCATTTATTAATTCATGCTTTATTTAAAGCTTTAATGTTTATATGTGCAGGAATTATTATTCATAATTTTGGAGGATGCCAAGATATTCGTTATGTAGGAAGATTAATTAATCAAATACCAATTATTTCTAGAATTTTTATTTTTAGAAATTTTGCTTTATGTGGGATACCATTTTTATCAAGATTTTATTCTAAGGATTTAATTTTAGAGAGAATAAGAATAAGATATGTGAATATATTTATATTTTTTATTTTTTATATATCTATTGGTTTAACAGTAATAGTAATGTTGGTGATATATGGAGTCTTTCTCAGTAACCACAGTTCTTTTCACAATCTTTCCAAAATTTTAGCATCTAGATTTCGAAATAAAAATTTACTGGCGCAAGGCGTGAAAATCTTATAGTTCAGGAAGAGCAGAGGGTAAACAAAGCGGTCTTTATTGCACTGCTTCAGAAAATAAAATACAAGGACTTAAAAATTGTGTGCTTTCTACTGGATCAACAGTCGGGATACACGAAGTACCCCTGTTATTTTGTGTGAGGTGAGCAGTAGAAACAGCTAGAAACGTTGGGTGAAAAAAAACTGGTCAGAAAGGGTTAATTTAATGGCCGGATCAAAAAATATTTATTATACGAAAAATTTCCTTATCACCCTTGCCTGATGGAGATGTAAGGTTTAAATAAATATGGAACATGTTTTAAATACTAATGTGGAAATTTTTCCGCTCTCGCAGATGCAAAATCGAAGAAAGGAATTTTTGTAAGTCATCAAATAAGGCGATTAATGGAAAATCAAAACTCCAATATGAAAAGGTTGCATTAATTTACTGATGGCAGAAAAGGTTTTCTAGGAGACAACAAACACCGATGTCACAAAAACAATGTAGAAAACATATTAGGAAAACGGATACAATATGAGTATAAAATTACACTGTGTACACTCACATCTAGAATACTCTCCCAAAAATATTGGTACCGTGAGTGAGGAGCGTTGCAATGATGGTAGATTAAACATGCACTAAAAGAAGCTTTTTGGCCAAGAGGGAAAGATCTTCCAAAAATAAATGGAGTTAACTATTGTTTGAGACTTTGATATTTAATTTATTTTTTTTAATTAGGTTTTTGTTCCTGTACTAATCAAAAATATTTCTAAATCAACCGAGATTTTCATTTATTAATTAAATAAATTATACAGAATCAAATGTCAGATCGAAATCAACTTTCAAAAGTTTCAAAATTATTGACCTGTGTTATTAGCCCTAAATGAAAAACTGTTAATATGATGTGATGAAGCGGTAGAAATTTCGTATTTACTGCGTTACTGTAAATTTTAAATTAGATTCAGTGCTTATTTGAATAAAACTTTACATACAGGGAATTCTAATCGTTATGTGGATATTTCACAGTGATTCGCAAAAGCACGATCGAGAAAAATGGACTTTCCTATACAAAGAAATACGCAAAGCGACGCACAGAGGTTATTCTAGCAATATTAACAATTATTAAAACAATGCTTTGCTAATAATTTTGGAAAATGCTATTATTTCATAACAAAAACAACTTGGCGCAATTGATAACTATTTCAACTAGAATTAGCGTTATTCGGGCATTGCATGTTTTGACGTGCTCCTGTCAATATACGTTTTATTATACGTTAAGTTGTGCATATTTCAACTTGAGGTAAGTACGATAAGTTTTCTTATCATTATTTTAATTGTGCTTTACGGTTTTTTATTCTTCGCTCTTCGATTTTAGAAATAATAATTTTATTTAAGTATCTGAAATCACGGCATTTTTAAATATGATGAAATTGTGTGCAGATAGACTAAAAAAAAAATTTTTTTTGGCCAAACGTCGTATACGAGAAGATGTTGATGTTTGGCAGCTGTTTAAAGCACATCATCTGTTATAAGTCGATGACAATTCAAACTTGAACAAAATGGCAAAAGCAGGTATAGTAAAGTGCAATATATAGCAAAAACTTTCAACAGTTTCTTTGACTAGAATGTTAAAACCGTTTGAGAAGAAGTATCATCGGTGGCTTAACGAAAAACTTCAACATTAGTTTCTCGACAATCAAATTCAAAGAAACAAGATAATGACATTATTTCAAAATTATTCAAACGACCAGTAAAAGCTTTGAAATTGTTGGTGAAAGAAATGCTTCAATATTATTTAAAGATGTTTCGGAAGCATCACCCAACTGCGAAACCTAAATCAAAAAAACACTTCAAACATCAAATTAAACTAAAAAACCAATAAGGTATACTGAAGCAGGTATTGCATTTTTCGTAGACAGCCAGAAACAAAAGCTAGCAGTGCCAATGTTTGGCAACAATAATGTTGCCAACATTAACAAATAACTATTACACATGTAAGTGCCGAGGTTCTGTTAGAAGGACTTGTCGTAAGCTCCTTAGGAGACATCGGCCTTACAAAAGAGGTTGTGATGGCACTGCGAGACATTCTATCTACAAGCAAGAATTCAATCGTGAGTAGTAAGGATATTCAAAAAGTGACTCTAATCTGCTCTCAATTTGTCTCGTTCCTTTACAGATGAGCTCTAACAACTACGTAATATGGCAGAATCCTACGGCCGTGTTCTACAAGATTCTGCTGAACCATGAAACTTATATTTGCGAAGGAAACACCAGAATTGACAAGAAACGAGAAAATATTCACATTCAAATATAAAAAATTTAGCCCACGACTTGTCAGTTTAAAGATTTAGAAGTAATTATGAATCACAACAAAGTTAACAATGATCGACGGAAAAATCTCTGGCATAATAAACAATTCATCTACGCAAACCTGCGGAATTTGTAAAGCCACTGTATGTTCAATTCTGGTATATCAAGCCTCCATGCATGGATTAGATACATTGAATGTTTTCTGCATATATCATGCAGGCTTGATTTTAAAAAATGGCAGGTAAAAACCGAAAGCGACAAAACGCAAAAGAAGGAGAGAAAAGAATATATTGTTAGAAAATTAAAACTTGAGTTAAGTCTTGTTAGTTGACTTTCCCAAAGAAGGCTATGGAAGTTGTAATGACGGGAATACGGCTCGCAGTATTCTTCTACCGCTTCCATAACTGTCCTGAACGAAAACTTTCTTAATCACATATTCTCATTTTAACAACCTGATCATGTAGATATGAAATTAGCGTCGACGCATCTGCTAAGTATTGTGACATTACCGCCAAAATGTTCGTGAATCTGTACCCTTGGTATTATATACCTGAAAGTCTTCATCGTATAATAATTCACATGCCTGATATAGTTAAAAGTGCTTCACTTCCAATAGAAATATTTTCCGAGGAAGCGTTAGATCTCTATATAGCTTCATTATCAGAATGTGTGGGTAATCGTTCAAATAAACAACGCTTATGTCAGAATTTGCTACGGGAACGTGACATTATAGCCAAAAAAGTGATTCTGATGAGCAATAATATCAATAAATATGGCTTCACTTTGGGTTATAAAGTTATGAAGAATTATTAACTATTTGTCTACATGTTTTGAAATATATTTTAGTTTAAAAGAGGCACTGGAAAGAATAAACCATTGTGTGAAACGTTACCTTTAGTTTATTTTCACTTAGTGAATTTATAAAAAGTAATTACCTATTTTTTTATGATTGTGTCTAAGTTGTTTAAGTCTCACAAAGGAATGGACTAAAGTTGTTAATATTTCAGTTCAAAATATATTTCATAATATTGTTTGAAAATTCGAATTTGAGAGTTTTTTTTCTTACACCATGAAGTATCTTTATATTAAAATGATTAATTTTATGCTACAAACCTAATAATTCAACAAAATATCTTTAGCTTGGAATTTTTATTCCCTAAAATGGCCGCTGTACGACGTCTTCGAAAGATAAAGTAGAACAGCGGTCTTTTTTACTGCGTAGCGAGTAGCGCGGAGCAGTCGCATCGCGCAGCAATGAGATTGCGAAAGCAATCTTGTCGATCTTCGGGTTAAGAGCTTTATTATACGCAAAACACGTGCTTTCAAATGGGGCCGCAATTCTAAAAAGCTGCTTAAATGAGCAAGACTGTGCCAAAATTAATCCGCTAACGCGTTTGCCAAGTGCTTCAGGTTTAAGAATTTTCGTTTGTTTTCTTCTCATAACGCTTTTATAGCTCAGTGGAATACGTGATTCGTGAAAGTGTAGTGAAATTCGGTTTTGGTCGTTTACGTGTAAGTAAAGTATTTCGACAGCTTTGTTTTTTTTTTGTTTAATCAAATATATAATAATTAATGTGATTACGTTGAATTAATTAACGTCCGTTATAAGAAATTAATTTTATAAATTGCGTTATATATCCCATCGAATTTTAATTAATTAAACTTGAAATAATTTTTATCAAAAAATTCGAGTTACTTATGTATCACATGGATGTACCGTTTCATTTTCGATATTTTAAGAACGTATTAATTTGTTTTAAAAAATTCCACTTTATTACTCACTGAAATAATTGAAAGTTGGCAACGGTTTAGTTGTATTTTTGAACAGAGGGTACAATTACCTACAGCATTGTAAAACATCTGCTATTTTTAATTGCCTGTCAATCGCGCTTCGTCAACGTTTGAAATAAGAAAATGTTTTTCGCACACACGCATTTCGCGAAAATTTTTACACCATCGGAAAGGACACTTTTGCGAAAGTAAATACCATATTATTCAGGAATTTTCGTCAGGTTTTTTGTACCTGCAACTTTTATTCTTATTTTATGTATATATTATTGTGGTATACATTTATTTTGTGATAGTTTATTCACGTTTCTGTTTGTCTTCTTATCATCGTCATCACATGTTTGATTTTCCTACTCAGGAAATGTTGTGTGATTCAAATTTAATAAATAAATAAATAAGACGTTTTTTAACATTCTACAACAATTTCCAGCCCTCTATAGGTTCTTCATTGCCCTTCAAGCTTCTCTAAATTTGATATTTCAGCTTTGTCCATTTCAATTTCGCTACCTTAGGTCGATCATCTAAGGTCGTTCATACTTGGGCGCTTCGCTTTAACAGTTCCGTGAAATTATCGACCGACCGCACGATTTCCATGGAAATGGAAAGTTAGTTTGATCGCCTTTGTAAGCGACAAGGCAGATTGTCAACAGCGTCTCGGCGGAGACCAAAGTCTGGGCGATGATAAAAATGACTGTAGCGACATTCAGCTGATAAAGGGCAAATTGCGGAAATGGTCGGAGAGAGCGGAGCCGGAGAAAACGGAGGCTGCGGAGATGCAGGTACGATAATTAAATACGTTTGGTCGCTGACTCACTCCGAGAGAGAGAATGGGCAATCGCCTGTCTCGTTCGAAAAACTATTTTAGTCCTCCGACGAGACAGCGGGGCCACATGTTCCCGAATAAATCGCGCGATAAAATTAAAGTCTATTTCAGAAAAGTGTAGGGTAATAAAACCTCGTTACCAATACTTAGTCACTTTCATTATTTGGCATTGATATCATTGCAAAATTCTTTCTTTTTATCGAGTGCAAGTAGTACCTCCCCTATTTAGGTCTATTTATAGGTTTTGCCTATTGTTGTCCATTCACCAACATCGAAAATGGTACGCGTCTCCGTCAATAGGAAACAATTTCATTTTAACACAATAAATATTAGGAGTTACGTATGTAGTTTTAGATACTTACATATTATACAGAAATTAAATTATAAAAAACCACAATATTCTTCGACATCTTAGGAACTGTCATCTCATCTTGCCGTCCTAATTAACGAATCGACGGCCAGATCGATCAAGTAGTCAAGATTTCACATTTTCTGCTGTTCGTTAATGACATGCTGGGATGCTCTTCGCCAGTTTCCTGGTATCACTTCCTCAATGGCTTGAGCAAGCGGTAGCTTAAGGTCTTTCATTATGAACGTCGTGTTGTATCTTGCTAAAAATACTTTCACTTGCCCCATATCAGTTCTATCGGATTTAGCCCGCAACATGGGTGTGCGCATCACAGTTACACTGTGTTGTTCTGCTATATCTTCCACGCTGTAGTGAATGAAAGATGTCTACATAAATTTGTTTTATAAAAATATCTTCATATTCAACATATCTGGTGGTTTCTTTCGTGTTCTCTTTCTTGAATGATAGCTTACGTTTCTACTACTACTGAATCAGCTAGAAGACATTTTGTCATTTTAGCGAAATAGTCTTCGAAATCATCTAAATTCATGTCCTCGTGTAATCTCCCGTATAGCACAATTGAAAAGTTAGCAAACCTTATTTTAAAAATCTCTCTTGGCTTCCAATATAACAAATATTAATCTCCTCCGTGTTCCTGAAGGCACCTTGTTATCCTTTGCCAGGATTTCCATGAAAGCTTGAGCATGAAAACTGGTCATATTTTGCTCTTGCAACATTATTGGTATAGAGTACCTTCCTTAACATAGGGTTCTTTAAGATAAGATTTTCTTCTTTTCTCTTCCGTACTAGTTTAAACTCAAGTAGTTTCGTCGACAGTAAACATTTTAATCGTTTACCAGTAAAAGTGGTTTTCTGTTATGATTCCTCCAGACAAAATACACGTTTTTAAAGTGGTCCACAAGTCTTCTAGTTATCAACGAAATACTGTCATCCGGACCAATCTCCAATAAAATCTTATCTAGTGGGTTATTTCTTTTTTAAATTTCATCGAATTACACTTTAATTAATTAATTATTTTTTCTAAGAAATGCATTATCAGTCTTCGGATATTACTTTTGGTACTTGATGATTATCTCCGTACCTCTTTCGGTTTTTTGTGACAAAAATGTTCACCCACCGGAAAAATTATTGTGTTTGCAGTCAAGACTAAAGGAAAAGAATTTGCCTATACCCGGGTAAGTGTTGTTGTTGATATTGCCTTATGTACAAGTAAATTTAAATGATGCAAAAGTGGTTTATATAGGACTACTACTCACAAACTTGTATAATTTATGCTTTCAATACTTTTCTCTTTCGCAAAATTAGATCAAATGTGGCAAATATGGTGACCCAATATTATCTTATATTGTCTATTTTTGTTAGTTAACAAACTCGATTGAGATCTGGGCACATTTTGATATTTATTGCCGATGTCAGCTGCCATGTGGGTAGTTGAATGCTGCAAGGTAATTGGTTAAATACGAGATGTTTTTTGTTGAATGTTGAATATTGGTCGAAAGCCAGAATTTACTATTACAGGTGTCATTCGTTAAAACGAGATGCTAAATCTCGCATATGCGTATTCGAATGGGCCTTTTGAAAAATGTTTTCATAGCTGCTTCATATGTGCCAGTATTTTCAATATAGGCACTTGTGAGGTTCCATTTGACCATCTGTTTTCCCTCCTGCAATAATTTAAAATCGGTGCATTCAGTCTGGAACATCGGTGGATAGTTTCTTGTACAGAAACATTCGGATAGTCGTATTTTTGAAAATAAAGTATATTTAAAAAAAATATATTTTTTACTCACTGACCGCGAAGTATTATCTTTACAACATTCCGTGGGTGTGAATATGCCCTTTCTAATATTATTGGTAGTATTCAAATACTGATAAAAGTGTCATTCATTTCCCTTTACTCCTCATAAAAGATTAATGAGAGGCAATATATCAAGTGAGGTCAAATAGTATATTTTCTACTCTTTTCTAATAATACACCGACTAGCGTGTGGTGAGCCTCACTTTACCGCGTTTGTTTCTTGTCCCACGGATCCTAGCCCCTTGGGACATTTCCGGGATATTAACGCACGAGTATGGAAGCAATTTTATGGTTTCACAGATATTTTACCGCACGGCTTGAATGTTGACGTTTGTCAATCCTGACGGTCATGTCAGTGAATGCATGTTGTTTTGCAAAAATGTATAGTATGCAAAACGTTTGGTGCCAAATAAACTTGTGACTCAAAAGCCGTTTACCACACTGGTTGCATAATATACTATTATCGCTAATATGTCGAAGAAATCTACTTTTTTTTTTCAAGTAGGCAACCTTATACAAAGTGAACCATTTTTAAGTGGTAAAACGATAAAAATATAAAAATCGAGTATTTCTATTTTTAAAAATTCCAATTTACAATAGTATATTATGCAATATTGTGGTAAACACAACTTGAGTCACGAGTTTACGAAACGTGTTGCGTACTATACTTCTACGACCGTTAATTTTTGGGTACATTTTTGCAAAACAATACGAATAAATTCACTGACATGACCGTTCGGTAATATATTGGAGATGTCCGAAGTGACTCGGATTTGTGGGATAAGAAACTGACGTTGGAAAATGACCCTCCCGCACGCTGGATCGATATATAATAAGGTATTTTACAGAACGGAGTAGAAAAAGAAACTGAGCTGGTAAACCACATTTGTTGAATAAACGATAATTGTGAAACTGAGCGGAACTGGACAGAATTTCCCATTTTATTTCTCTATGCTTTCCTGAAATAGTGTATAGTTTTTCTACGTGCATAAATCTTGAAATAGAAAATTTTAAACTAAAAGGCGCTTTGATTTAAGAATCGGACTGCAACGTGAGGAGCCTTCAGGCTTGCCTGTTTCCCCCGCAGTTTACGCCGTGCACCAGTTACTTCTCCAATTTTTCCATCAAAGTGCAACCGGACGACCGTTTCAAGGCGATAGAATCGTTTTCGGCTAAGGAATCGTTCCCCGCACTCAAAGACGCGGCCTTCATCTTACAACCCCCGCGCTGGCCCACCGAATGTCAGGTAAGAGATTGGTCAGCTAAGAGTCGTGTTCATAGTGGTTCCTCAGGCCTTAAGGCTGTAGTAAAAATTTTAGTATGAGCGTTGTGAATTTGTCACAGGCCGAGAAAGTTTCAAGTATAGACTACTATCTATCCTGAAAGGCGGGGGGTTACACTGGATAAGAATTCGTTCGAAAATCAATTCGTACGGCTTCGTATGGATAAGTAATAGACTACCGTCACTTACGAATACAGTAAAAGTGATTATGGATTCTACCTCAAAGATGTATGTTCTTAAAGTGCTTATTCATTTCAAATCACGGCTATTCTGATCTTGTTAACTGCTTCTCGGAAGTGTCCAGTGGTGGTGAGAGAAAACCGTTTTCTTAATTTGTGGAACAGTGAGATTCGTCACCGTCCTAGGTCCCTTCTTTACACCACCTTTACCATGCAAGATGCCCTTTAGCAAGTTAAATCGATGTTCATTGCGCAGTATTCCAGTTTTCGTTTCTTTATGTCATTTGGAACTTCGCATTCTTTATCCTTTCTACGTAGGGACTGCGTAGGTGATTGTATCAACCCAGGAAATCCACAATATACGCCTATAAGATCACATTTTGAAAGCCTGGAGTCTCTTCGTTGATGCCTCTATATATAAAAATTGAAAAGCAATAATGGAATTTTTTTGAATACCCAAGAATAGAAGAAATATAATTTTTTTTCTCATGCTATAGATATTTTTATTGATTGATTATTTATTGATTGTGTACACTGCTTCCAAACATTTTTTGATGCGAAATGTTGTCTAATATTTTTTGTTAATATAACTTTGCAGAAATGATTTGAAAGTTTAAGTTCCTAATGTTTTTTTATCATAACCTTGATGATTTCGGTATAGATCAAAATGTTTTTTTATTTTTTTACTTGATAAAAGATATTTCTTTTTTTTTACTACTTAGGAGTATTTAGAAACATATAAAAATAACGTTTTCCAGCATTAAAATTGAAACTGAACAAAATTATTTTTTTTCTTGTATTCTATTTTTTTTTATTTTAGTAATTTCTATTTTCTAAAGAAATTTTCCAAAGAAAAAAATAATGTCTATTACACATATGTTTTTATTTGAGTCCATACATCGTTGACCTCAATAATACCTAAAATTCTTAAAAACATAGAAATAACAAAAAGCAATTTGAATGGAATTGATTTCGGCTATTCTAAAGTCACTTAAAAGGTCTACGTTTTTATGGTCAGAATTCAGAGCAAACATAAGTTTTAATGTAACTGATTTCGACTATTCTAAAGCCTGAAAAAAGGAAATGATACAATTTCAAAAACATTACATTGCATTCTACAAGACAAAAGTATAATCCTTATTCATTATTATTTATTATTAGCTGTGAATACCCTGTTGAGGTAGTAAAACTATAGGCCTGTTGAAATGCAACTAAACTAACGTAAAGTGGATGGTTGATGAGTTTCATAACCACTTCTACGTCTGCAATTATTGAATATATTGAAACGGACTTTGTAGAAAGTACGTGTCGTCATTCTGCTTATTCTCCAAATAATGAATAAGTTCTTTATTTGCGTAACTTTGTTTGAGTTTCCCTGAGTCCTTTGTTTTCTTGTCATTTGTGTTTCCTTTTAGTTTCAATTTTTGTTTCTAATGGTGGAGTCCAAATGTTTGATCCTCCTTTCACTAAAATAATTAATACTTCGCGATCCGTGTTTCTAGAACCTTCGAAATATTCAAACCCAACAAAATTGCAAGCTAGTAAGAAGTCGTAACAGAAAGTCGTACGAATTCGTACGAATCCTTAGCCAGTGTAACTCTGTCTGGAAGTCAACGAATGCGATTGTCGCAGGTTTTGGAGGAGCAAATTAGACACGTGAATTACATCCCACCCGGCGCTGAACCGTACTATCAAGTTACCGGGGACGAATGCCAGCCGAAACCTTCGGGAGAGGAATGCGGAGTGCTTGTCTATCAATACTGCCCGATCGGAGCGGTTAATTATGTAAGTTTAAGTGATAGAATTCTCTTTTGTCTAAAAATGATTGAAGAATCCACCAAAAATTTGTTGGAACTATAGAAATGACTTTTTTAGTCTACAAAGATGGCACTTTATGACGAAAAAAAGGCAGTTTATCATTATGATATATTTTTCTAATAAGAACAATAATAATCTTTTTTGTTAATAGGAAACCACAAACAAAGCAAGAGCTTATACAAAATTAACCAAAAAGTCAATTTTAGCTTCCTCGCCGAAATTAAATAACCACAACCACTTGTGGTCACGAGACTGCCTCAGTCCCGGTAAACTTTCCTACTGTAGAGAGAAACTGTCTCCCTAGTCATTTATTGAGCTCACACTTCAGTACACTGTTTGCTATACGGGCAGAAGGCTCGAGAAACCTCTTTGACGCTGTAGCCCGGGCTGTTCTTACAGATATCTCCTTGCCTTCAGTACCCACAAGAGATTTTGCGTTACTGTTGTGTTAAGAAAGTGTGCAATATTGTAGAGCAGCTTCAGTCAGTAATAAGATTTAAGCTTAAAGTTAATATCATGCTTATCAGACTTATCTTGTAGTATCACGTATAAACAAACCGCCATCTTTTTGGACAATTTTCATTAATAAATATATGAAAATTGTTCGATTTCATAAGATTATACTAAAGTAAAAATCAAAATTGTTGATAACAAATAACCATGAACGATTATTTCAGATTAACTAAATATATAAATATTGCATGCAAATTTACACAAATAAAATAATTTTTTAAATTACCTTTTGAACAGCGAGCTATAAAAACGTACCTAGGCAAAAATCGTAATTTAGACGGGAAATATAGCCCGCCTTAATGAAGCGCTTAACGCTAGGCATTAGTTATTATTTTAAAAATCTTGTCTCAACTTGATTTTAATGTCAGCTTTTGAATTTCCTTACACTTATGGAGAAAAACATCATCAGGAAAAAAGATTTTGAATTATTATCCTTATAAAGTGACGATTAATCATAATTTAAATAAATATTTAAATTTAAAATTTAATTTGGTGTGTGAAAAAGAAAGAAGAAATAACTATAAAAATAACATCCATCTGATTGAGGGATTTAATACTACGTCTAGGATTTTGAGTAAATCGCAGTCAATCGAATTATGTGATCCGATCGACTGTGTCGCGAACTCATAGAGTTCTCCAAGCGATATACTGTTTTTACAACCTTTTGTAGTTTTGATTTCCGCCTGTTGTAAAGCGAAATGGACCATTCTTTTCAGTGTGTGGACCACAAGCCAGGGCCGTATTTAAGATTTTAACCGACGTCAACTGTGCCGTGCTGACTGTTAATTCATTTTAGTGTGCTTTTTATGCATCTTCCTAAAACGGTCTCTACTTGAGGTAGTTCGGTTTCAAGATGAATTTGATAGTTAGAAAGGTTGATCTCCTATATTAAAATCACTAAACAGTGTTGTCGTGATGGACAACGCCAGGAACCATTCTGCACAAGCGGAAAAAATATAGAATTTATAATCGACTAAAGAACTCATTCAACATTTTTTTCTTCAAAATGATATGTATTTTGAAAATTCCTACACAAAGAAGCAGGTATTGGAAGTCCTTAAGACGGGAACTTTTGATAAGAAGTATAATGTGGACAAGTTGGGGGAGATTCAAAGTTGCCCGTCCTCCACCATATCACTGCTATACTATTTACTATAAACTATACTTCTTGCTGGAAAAAATGTGTTGAACATGTCACCGAATAAGAAAATGTTTACAGAAGTCGCTAGTGCCAGAATTAAATATTAATGTGGGGGAAATTTACTCCTTCATTTATATTTATAATAAATATTTTAAAGTTAGAATGGATTTTTCACAGCATGGACTAATAATAATAGAGGAATCCCACCGATGAAACTACACATAAAAATTTACCAAGGTTAAATAGCGGATTATGTCGTAAAATCGGTATATGGTTTGCAGAACTCTAATCAATGTTATTCGAACTAGTTCAGTAGATCGAGCGTCGGTGGCAGCCGCTACCTGTTGTCATCGAATTTATGTGCTGAGGACGACAGCCTGAGGTTCGAGTCGCGGTTCGAATCTGGGAATTTGGCGCGGGCGATCCGTATCACCGAAAATTACTACGAGCTGCACCTCAGGTCGGATCTTTACACCAACCGGCACATGCAGTGGTTTTATTTCCGCGTGTCGAATACGAAAAGGAACTTTTTGTATCGGTAAGTCGTGGCGCGATACCCAGCGTCATTTAAATTTCTACTTGTTCGTCGTCGCATTTCAGCATATCGATAACAAATTGTTCGAAAGAAGACAGCCTGTACAACGAAGGCATGAAACCCCTGATGTATTCGAAAAAAGACGCGCAGCTTCATTCGATCGGGTGGCGCCGGTGCGGCCAAAATATCACCTACTTTTGCAACGATAACGTGTGAGTTTTTGTTTCAGCTTTTAAAACTTTAACGTTAATTTACGTAAAAGGAGTGAACTCGATCAGGGTCATTATTCTTGAATTTTAGCTATAGAAATGTTCAAGGTAAATAACCATAATTTTCTCAGGGCGTGGGCTTGTTTTGCTCAAAATATTAAAACGCAGTGTTCTTAAAAAATTTCTATTAAAAAAACAGATATATTTTTTACTTGTCTGGGAGAAATATATTTTATAAGTCATGAGTGATAGAAATGGGAAAAAAAGTCAAAGTTGTGAACTACAAATCTGTTTTTTGTGCGTATCCAAGAGGAGATCGGAAGGGATGAGTTTATTCAAACAGGTTTGTAACAAAAAATGTATTTAACTATTTAGTCTAAGAAAATATCTTGTTCAACAAGTTGTGGCTCTTCTCTTATGTGCGAAATGATCAGATCTTTTTGTTCCGCGCTAACCTTTCTTGTATTAATTTCATCACAGTTCATATTCAACCTAGTATTTGGAATAACTACGATAATAAAATATAATAAGCGGCACTAGGCTTATTGAGGTACTATTCTCTATTGTAATTCTATTAAAAGGGTTAGCTTAAATTCATACGGGTTTTTTGGTCAGTTTGGTCAGATTTTTGGTTTCTAGAGAAATATTCCTTTTTTGGGTATACTAAGTTAAAATGGGGATTGTTGTCTTTCTCTCGTTCATTTATATTGACTTTTGTAGTTGTTTGATTGCTTTGTTCTTATTGAAATTATTTGCACATTATTATTTGATGATCAAACATTCTTTTCAAATACCTGTATAAAATAAAATATCCCATAATCCAGCTTCAAAAAAGCCTAGACAACTTATTATACTTAGAAAATCAAAGTAGTTAAGTCATATTCAAATATTTTAAAGAAAATTTAAAAAAAACTGTTAACTAGTAGTGCGGGCAAAATATAGTTATTAAGACCTCATTTTAATTTTGCGGGTATATATTTTCTAAAAATAGGCTAACCAAAACTAACCAAAACTTAAGTATTTTTAGAGCCGAAAAAAACTAAAAAAATTAAAATCTATAATCAAAATTCTCAAAATTTGTTTATTTTTTTCCTGCAGTATATACTGTTCATTGTTTATATGAAAACAGCCAACATTTTTCGGAAAAATCCGTTTTCCGTGCAACTCGGAAAAATCGATTTAGAGAGTATCTTCCTCGCACTAGCTTTTTTTTTGTTATTAGTTTCTTTTGGTTATTTTTTACAAAATGTATTTAAATTATCAAACCTTATTTAGAGGGCTCCGGGAGCGTTGAATTCTAAAGTGTCGGATTCATTTTTTGTGTCCTCGATCGCTACATTTGACGTTTATTATATTAGCATGTGGTTACCCAGGGATAACGTCTGATGGTGACAATTTCCATAATTAATTCTTGTTTTATTGTAAAGCAGTTAAAATGAATTCGATCTTAGAAAATATGTTGTGTGCTACACATGCAAAAAACATGATTCATTAACTGCCTCGTGCAACATACATTCTTTACACTAGTTACACAAATAACTATTTACTTACTCTCTATTTCCAATTTTATTTAGTTGTTTAAACGAAAAAAAATGCTTGATATTTTGATATTTGTTTATTAGGTATTATGTATGTTCTAAATAATAACAGTCAAGAATTTTCTGACATGCAATATGTCCCAGATTAGCTTCTCTATACAGGTATCTTTGTTACTATTATAAATACAGCAAAGGATAAATAGAGGAAGTTTTAGTTTGAGAAATATCGGCGAAAAAACGAATACCTAGAGCAAAGGTTAAATAGGGAAAGTTTTAGAGGAGACTTGACATTATTCAGACACATTCTAAGACGAATGAGACAGCGTGTATGTCATGTGTAAATCGCCTTTTTTATCCCACAAATCGTCTTAACTTTCGTTTTTCCTATGGCCGGCATACTGGATTTTAGATTTTTTCAAAGAGCGTAAAATATCCAGTTCAGTGATCTCTCACAAGTGCACAAAAGTGACGTTCATTTGCATCGCGACATTTTTGGCAATTGGTGACTCTTTGTCTTGAGTTTCTATATTCTCCTCCCGGGAGGATAAAAATCATAGACCTAATTTTTTGTGTGACCTCAGAGGAAGAAATGCAAGGGCAAGAACTCAGTGGATTTAGAAGGCCAAGACAATGGAAAAAAAAAATCTCTAGTCAAACTGGTCGCTTAAGAAGTTCCCGATTTGTATAGTGTTGTAAAAACAAGGTTTTTCTAAACTCATATTCGGTTAAAGTAGGCCGTAAAGCCGCTATTGAGGTAATATCGGAGGTTCTGTGTGTAAGTATAATGTATAACGCTAAAATGTCAATTTTTTCTTTATTTCAATAGTGAATGAACTGTAAATTTACACAAGGCGGGTTGCAGGATAGCAAAACACGATTGAGACATCTAACACGTCTTAAGAAATTGTCTGAATAATGTCACATTTTAACAGATGCCAATTTAACCGTTTCGGATTTACTGGCGAAAAACGAATTCCGTCGTCCATTTCACCTGTAGGTATAATGGGAGCGGATATCCCTGTATAGAGAAGCGAAGGGGACACACTGTATATTATTTACTTAAATTAATGCAAATAATCATCGGTTTTCACCAGGATATTTAGATAATTTAAATGAAGGATGTTATTCTAAATTAAATGTAATAAGAAAACGTACTAAGAAAATTATCTACTTACCGTAGTGTCTTTAGGGAAAAGAAATAGACTTATACTTATGCCAGTCTGAAAATGCGACCAGCGATAACACGTAGTTGCCGGCATAATTGCAATAATAACAACAAATAACTAATAAACAAACGAGTGGGTACGAGCTTTTCGACATTGGTATTACCTGGGACCTCTGATCATGAGTTTAGAAGACTGTATTGACCACTGTCGCCTTTCGTTAGATTTTAGCTTTCTCTCTTATTTGCCCAATAAAATAAACACTAAACGCTTCACCGTAACGTCAAAACGTCGTCATATCATTTCTAAACCTTGTATTTATTGATTCAAACGTGTTTAATCAGAACCTTCATCATTTCTTCGAAAGCAGGACAACAACGTCCTTAGAAGCGAATTGGCAGTGGTCGTTCTTACAAATTTCGTATCTACCGCGCCGGACGCGTCGATGTCTGCAGATTCCGCGGCGACGCCTCGTTTACCCTCGTGCAAATAGAGGACTCTCAGATCGGAGGGCATGACTAGATTCACATTTATTTCGTGTCCGGATTCATTTACCGCCGTTTCCGCGTTTTCTTGTGCGCGGGAGTCGAACTTTGACGTTTTGTAATAACCTCTGCGAAATTGCGGATACGTTTTCTTCGTTTCCAATATGAGGGCGTTCGAGTTGTGCGACGCATCGGTGTGTGATTTCGACAAATTCATCGGGAATGGACGAAGTGATGACCGCGATACCGTAATTTTGACAAATGAGCCCGTTGACGGACGGTCCGTTGACGCGGATTCGAATTTTTACGGGGCGCGTCGTTTTCTGGGATGGCAGGTCGCCAAAAACCTGCGTAATCCCGAGATCCGATTGATTGATGGTCGAAGAATAATAGTAAACGTAACAGAAGAAGCAATTTCGAGAAGTGCGGCGTAAACCGGCACAGGGTCGTAGCGTCACCAAAATATGAAATTTTAGTGGAAAATTTTTATTAACGGTTATTATTACGGGTTCGAAATAAACAGCGACCCCTACCTACTTCTGGCAAAAATGGGAACTCAGAGAGATGCAAATCGTTATCAAGCAAGTAAGGCAAAAACGCCGAAATAATAGCACAAAAATATAGGGAAAGGATAAACGATAAATTAGAAAATCTCAAAGAGACTCTAGTTAATAAGGAGGAAATATGGTAACTTTACAAAAGAACGATACTTAATTCAGCCAGAGACGCTTGTGAGATAAACAAATAAAACAGTTATAAAAAACAGGCAGTATGGTGGACAGAAGCAATAAAAACCCAGGTAAAAATAAAGAACAACGGAAAGCATATTTAGGGGAAAAAACGCAGCGAAGTTATGAAACTTTGCAAAGAACGAAAGTGAAAAATATGGTAATACAGTCCAAACAAGAGAAATGGAAGGAATTTGGAGACAGCAAAACCAATCAAAACCTTTTCTACAAAAAAGTAGAGAGTGCGGCAACTAAAAACGAAGCAGATGAAATACTAATAACGGAAGTAAATATAATGGAGCGCTGGAGGGAATATTTTGAAAGACTGGTCAATTCCGAAAATAAAACAAACGGCAAAAAGACAGAATACGAAGGTAAAAAAATGGTAGAGCAAGAAGGAACAGAACCAAATGAACAATGAAAAAAATAGCAAGTCACCAGGTGAGGATAAGATTGCAGCTGAGATGGTGAAAAAGGATGGGAGAAAAGGCGACCACAATATTGTTAAAAAGTTTCAATATGGTATGGGTAGAAGAAAAAATACCGGCAGATTGGAAAACGGGTTTAATGCTACCACTGCACAAAGAAGGAGATAACAAGAACTGCAACAATTATAGAGGAATATCATTGCTATGTACACCATTGATACTGTTTGAGAAAATTGTTGAAAAGAGACTACGATCAAAAGTAGAACCAACCCTAACAGAAACGCAAAGTGGGTTACGGAAAGGCAGAAGTACCCAGGATCACGTGTTCACTTTAAAAGAAGTAATTTGGAGAAAATTGGCAAGATCTAGAGCAGTATACGTTGCATTCTTAGATATGGAAAAAGCGTTTGATATAGTACCGCGAATAAAAATCTGGAAAAGCCTACAAGCCAGAAACGTTGACAATAAACTATTAAGAGTTATCAAATGGTTATACAACGAAACAAGTAATTGCGTAATAAGTAAGAACATGAGGTCAAGAGCGTTTATAACACAAGAAGGAATGCGACAGGGGGGTAGTTTGAGCCCTTTACTATTCATAACTTATATGGACGATCTATTTAGAAGGGGAAAACAGCGATCAAAAGACCTTTACGTTGGATACCGATAACTAGAGCGTATCAACATATCGGAATGTGCCTTCGCCGTTGATATAACGATCATAGCAGCAACCTCGAAGGATCTGGAGAAAAATCTAAATAATTGAGATCAGATACTAACAAAAAACGGAATGAAAATGAACAGAAATAAAACCAAAGTTATGGCAATGTCAAACGAAAAAGAGAAATCAGAGGTGAGAATACGTGGGACACTAATAGAAAAAGTTAGTTACTTTCAGTACTTGGGAATTTAGAAACAGGAGGTCAGGACACAGAATTAAATAATAGAACAGAAAAGGCCAATAAAGTGTGTTATGCATTGAGTAAGGGGCTCATAAATAAAAAGGAAATTTCTAAGGAAACTAAAATGAAAGTTTACAAAACATTTTACAGACCAATCCTTACGTATGGCTCCGAATCTTGGATATTGTCAGATAGGGACAAGAGCAAAATTGGAGCAACAGAGATGAAATACTTGAGGAGAGTGAAAGGAATAACCAGAAGGGACAGAATTAGTTTAACGTTTAGGAAAAAAACATCAAACAAAAGCTGTTCAAAAAATAGAAGGCTGTTTGGAATATATGTTTTATATATACAGGATGTCGCAGAAATCACCCACCGATAAAAGTTATATTTTTAATAGAGCACCCTGTATAGTATACGATTAATAAAATTCCACAAAAATTATGCACATTTCTTGCATAATATGTCCTATACTCAATCCACTAGTTTTTTAGATATATGCGCTTTTAAGGTAAAAGCAATATTCGAAAATAAAATAATATTCTAGAATTTATAATTTACATCTTAGGTGCTCATCAAAAACAAAATGTTTATTAAAAACTTATTATAAAATGCCTTATTCTGAAAGAGAATAGTATAGTGCGCAACAAGCAACGGTATTTGAGTCACGAATTTATTTGACACGAGCGGAGCGAGTGTTTAATAAACAAGTGAAGTTTACCAAAGTATATTTTTTCTACGACCGTTAGTTTTTAAGTACATTTTTGCAAAACAGCACGAATATAGTCGTTGACATAACCATCAGATTTGACAAACGTCCAATTTCAAGCCGTGCGGTAAAATATCCGAAAACATCCGATTGCTCCCAAACCCGTGCGGTACAACTAACAAAGAACTCAAGTTCTAAGGCTAAGGTGACGCTTCTTGAATGCCACAGAAGGGAGTTGAAAAAAAACAGTTAATATTGGAAACGTTTGATTAAGCAAATAAGAAGACTCAAAGTGTATTGCACGTTCCAGGCAAAAAAATTTTCATCGAATATAAGAACATGAAAATGAAAAGAACATTGGAAAGAGATCAAGATAGTAGTGATTTAGGCGCTTTACAAAAAGAATATAAAGAAAAAAAGAAAGAATAAAAAGAATACAATAAGAAAAATATCGGAAAAATACATCGTACGGAAAGATTCAAACCACTCTCAAAAAAAGCAGGATACAAGGCATTCAAAATTAGGCTTACAACAAAATTAACGCCCAAACATCGAGAAAAAGAGTTGAGAAACAATTAACGGAAATGATGCTTATTTAAAAAATATTTTTTGGATAAACGCGTCATCATTATATGGATGAGCATTGAGCGACTGTATTTTTGTGGTATTTGTTAAAGACTATTTAAATCAAATTATAATGAATGGACTGGCAAAGATGGAACAATTTTAATGGATGCATTTTCATGAAAAACTCTATAAGATCGTGTAAACGTAAATTCGATCGAAAACGGAGAAGAGCATTTAAAAACTTGATTAGAACATAAGTTCTAAATGAAGAATATTCCCCTGTAGAAATATTACGGAGAACATTCATCGAATGTATATAATTCCATTTGTAAAACTAATTACCTACGTATTATATTATATCTACCCAAAAAAAGTTCTGGAATATTTTTTAATGTTGAATTTAAGTTAAATATTTCGAAAATTTGAATTTGAATTTACATATAGTAGTACATATAGGAATAAAATATTGTACAAAATGTTCTCTTCTTTCTGGCTTGGCTGGATGTTTGTTGAAAATTTTTCGTGGATTCCATGAAACGTGCAATTAATAACACATAGTTCCCTTTCAGCCAATTTAACCCTCTCATTTGGGTTAATAAACGTTTCCAAAGTTAATTGTTTGTCTGTTTGCAAATAAAACATATTATATATGATAAAAGGAGCATAGTTTTGCTAAATATGTCACTGAGAATAGGACATATTATACACGAATTGTGCATAATTTTTAGGGGATATTATTGAGCGTATAATATACAGGATGTTTCATTCAAAAATATATAACTTATTTTTTTAACGTTAAAAAAAATATAAAGCGGGAACATTATAAATAATCACCCGGTACATCATATAAATCCGTTTTTTAAGTAACTGAATAAATAATATACATATTTATTTATTATTTTTATGTGTTGTATGTTTTTATATGAGCGTTTTTATTAGCTAAATAGTTCAAGCACAAAACTCACAATAATCCGCAAACCACAAAACAAAGTAAAAGAGAAGAATCTAAAGTTTCACACAATTAAAATTGACTGAGCGCAACGTCATTTTCATTCACACAAATAATTTTACGGAAATCGAAATTAGGCAAATTGTTAAAAACGCTTGAAATGCCACCTCTCGGTTGGTGTCCCAACAAAATCTAGTCTGATAATCTGGTTGCTTAAAAATTGTACATTGGCAAAAATTTAAGTTTTTCATATATGTTTGGTGGTACTTCTCAAAATGTCAATTAACAGTTCAACCAAAAGTATTTAGTGGTTATATTCCACTATTTTTCTTGCCCGAATAGCATTCACTACAGAAAAACAAAAATTATACAAGAATTAGAAAAGGAAATCGTATTGATTGAATTGTCTCAGGGCGAGGGCGCGAACTAATGGTTCGTGTTTACTTTGTCCAAACACTTGACGAGCACTATTCAAAACACATCTCCTTTGTAGTGGTTTAAACAGTTTATGGAAATATCCAAAGAAAGTTTTTATGAAACACTGAGATATGTGAAACCCCAGTTAGAAATAATTTACACATATTTTTGGTATGCGATAAGTACAGAAGATAAGCTTTTGGTAACTCTAGGATTTCCAGCTAATAATGAATTTATAGGAGCCTAATATATATTCCTTTCGAATATCTTACTATAAGCTAACCAAAACTTTGTGGAATAATGTTTGTTGTTTGCTCTCTAGTCCTCTCTAGAATAAATTAGTTTAGTTAGTTTTGGTTAGTTTTATACAATCACCAAGTGGAGAATCCAAGGATGATTATAAATTGCGTGATCTTAATAAGCAGTTCCACAGTTCTTTAACTTCTTTAACTTAAATAACCTTTGTCAATGCAGGAAAAGGCAAAGCTTATGCATCACGCCATGGAATAATATACAGTATGTCGCGTTTCAAAAAGTTTTGCATTTCTTCTTGTGTTTCCGTCAAAAACGGTTAAAAGAAGCAGAGCAGGTATTCAACAGTAGAGAGTTTTATCTTTTCACGTGGCCAAAAACGGTGCAACGTTTGTTATAGTAGGACACTTTCCAAAGAACGCGGAGGGTGGCCGAATAAAGGTTGCCGATAGAATGAAATATGGACCGCTAAAATAAGTGAAAAACGGTTTATGCAAAACGCAGAAATGAAAAAAGAACTAGCTATTTTGAAAGAACCTGAGAACTCGAATTCTTTAGAGGGGAATTATTAACAAATGCAGTCTTTGTTACGAGTTATGGGGAATAAATTTACCACTGTTGTTGAACAACAGCCTTGAACAATAGCCCGGGTCGAGGGAAAGAGGTGTTTATTTTTAATGAATTCGACAGATTGGTGGTCATACTGTACTTTTTGTATAGTACCACGACCTATCTAACAAACCCATTATTATTCATTGCCCAGCAGGTGAACGAGTGAAGGTAGGAGCAGACTCGTTGCTGATAGCTTGAAGTGTTACGCGGCTAGATATTTATTTACCTGTATTTTCAAAGTTAATTTTTTCACACTAGCCATGAAGGTACCTGAGAACGCGAATTTCCTACAGTATTATATTATTGTACAGAATAATAATAATAGATTGTATTTTTAATGATTTCGATAGATCGGTGTTATACTATTTTTATACGCTTCGTAGCGTAAAAGATACGATTCTGTTGGTAGAGTTCTCCAAACTATATACCGTTTTTACGACATAATCCGGTATTTAACTTTTGTAATTTTTTTTGTAACTTCCGTACTTCGTGCATACAAATGCTGAAAGCTGACGAATTTGTGTAGAGTGTCATCGGTGAGATTCCTTGATTATTATTAGTCCCTGCAGTGAAAAATCCATCCTCACTTTTAAATCCTACTCTTAAAATAGAACAGTTCGCATGGCACAGTTCTTGTTTGTTAACATCTTAAATACGGCTCTGGCTTGGGGTACCGCTAAGGTTGTAAAAGCGGTATATATTTTGGAGAACTCTACAAACCTCATAATGTGCATTTGTCGCGTTAGTTCACCGGAAGACCAGGATCAGCTGCAAACGTATACGCTCACCTTCACGGTGACGTTTCCGCACGACGACGATGAGGTTTACCTGGCCCATTGCTACCCATATACGTATTCCGACCTGCAGGATCATCTGGCGGAAATCAGGGCGCACCCGATTAAGCAAAACTTTAGTACCGTTAGATTGTTGTGCAGGTCTTTGGCGGGGAACGATGTCTATTTCGTTACCGTCACATCTCCGCCCATACCTGGCGATAACAAGGTGCGGCCATTAAAAATATAGACCTTTTAATAATGAGTGTATTCTATGTCAGATACAAAGCAAGCGGCGGTGACATGACAGTTTGATCATGCCGACAGGGACAGTTATTTTTCGTTTGTAATTTTAAGAACTGGCGAGATAAAAGGGTTATTGGGCACTTTTGAAATTTCAAATAATTTTTAATTAAATTTGTTTATTTGACAGCACTAAGTACCAATTATTGTTTACAAATTAGATATAATTACATCATATGAAGGTTAACTTCATAAGATATAGGTATACGCCATATTTTTTGGTATTAACTATATTCAATATATCATCTTCGTATTCTCCAAAATGGATTGAACTTCTGATATGAGGCCTTAAAAGAAAATTTTGAATTTGTAAAATATAAATATCCAGTATAAATAACTTGCCAGCACAAGATTATGAATCGATCACTATTAAATTACATGCATCTCAATAATAATTAAAATGTCTGCCTTGAACAACTGGATATTTACTCGCCACTGTCTAATAAATTTACATTTTGAGACTCAATATGAACAGTAATATGTTTTAAAAGTTTTTTAAACACAAACACATAAAACATAAAACACAAGAAAATCAAAAGAAATTTCGTTAATGTAGTTTTGAACCATGTCTACTATACCTCATACCAAATATACTGTTAGTCAAGTCAAACTCGGCCAGCATAGCGTTGCAGTCAATTACATATTTTTCTTTAATCAAAATATATAAACATTAGTTAGTTACATTGCATAATTATAAATATCTATGTAACTATGCCCTGTTTCTTAGTGCGAGAGAGTTATAAATCATTATTTTGGTTGTTACTAATCATTAATGATCTTAGGTGTATTTCAAAAGCGTAGTATTGTACCTATGATGATTGTCAAGGGTCTCGAGGGTAGTAGACGGCCAGGTAGTTGACCTACCCGGGTTCAAAAGGAGCTACTGCTTTTGCAAGAAAGAAGGCAGTGCGTCGAACATGTAATTAAAATAGAAAAAAGAATGTGGAAAGATGTTAACGTGCAAGAAAACACATTTCTCTGGCCTGAAACAACTATAGTTCATCTGACTACTCAAAACATGATCACTTAAATTTACAAATGAAATTTCATTGTAAATACTAGATTTTTTTAAATTATAATATTTATTACAATTTACCTATTTTCATATTATTTTTATAAACTTAATAATTAATATTTCGGACATCTACTTTCTCATTATAATTATTATTATATTTTTCATTCTAATAAAGTACCTATAGGAACGCCAATGTCACATTGCATTGCAGATCTCAAAAACTGAAATACTGAATTTATCGGAAATTTTTGCAATTTGTCTGAAATTTACTATATAACTTTGAAGTTTTCACCTTTTTTATCGTACATACTACTACGTATCGAGCCTTAAAATAGAATAGACTCTTTTCGAAGTGCATTGTTTCATAGAAGATGATTTAAAAAAATAATGGGTTATTCTTGACTGCCTTTAAAATACCATAAACATTGGAAAGACCTAATTTTAAAGCCTCTGCAATGCGCTGAAAATAAGCTAAAATAAAGTTTAAAATAAAAATTGCAATTTGGTCACACATCAACCACTTGTAAACTTCCTTACAGCAAGGGACATAAAGGAACTTCGCATGATCGATAACGTGACTAAAAGTTTACTATTATTTAACCATATTTATTTTTATTTATGTGTGTCTGAAGATGTTTTGGTAAATCAAAAATATGGGCTGGGCCATCTGACCATATTTATCCAGCCAAAGCCGAATGCTGCAAATGTTTCCTCAAATCATTCCCAAATACCAGCCGGGAACCTTAAAATTGTTATTTATGAATTCTTCAAGGAAAAAACACGAATAAAACCCACATATAGGCAATGTAATAAACCACGATTTTGCCCATAATCCGCGGATTTTGGCTATCTCCCTTGTGTCACCGCCAAATCTCTGTACATCTCTACAATTCAGCGCTCGTGTTCATAGAAAAAGAGAGCGGTGGTGATTACGGGTCGAGTCCATCCGGGAGAAACGCCGTCGTCCTGGATTATGAAGGGCATTTTAGACTTCCTGACTGGCGACACGGACGCAGCGAAAATGCTTCGAGATAAGTTCATTTTCAAAATTATTCCGATGCTGAATCCAGATGGAGTGATAGTGGGGAACAACCGGTGCTCGCTAGCCGCCAAAGACCTCAATCGGCAATACAGGACGGTGATGAGAGACGCTTATCCGTCGGTATGGTATACCAAACTGATGGTTCGCAGGTAAGTGGGCATGGCACAATGTGCGGGCACAATTTTGCCGCAGTAGCAACGAAAAATGAGAGCGTGGGTATACGAAACTCAAGGATAAAAAGATTTGAAACGTTTAATTGCAACAAACAAGAGTGAGTTTCGCTCACTTCACAGCTTAAAAAATATTTAGTAACCAGATTGAATCAATCAATTTATTCAGGTCTGGTATATAAAAGAACTTTGGTGAATAAAAATAAATTAGTAATCAATCACAGTTTGCATTACATTAGAATAAGTACATATATAATTATAATAAAATCCATACCTAAGATTTTTACAGACGTATTAAAACCAAACATTGAAAATCAGACTTGAAAAATTCATCAATACTATAACATTTTTTCTCAAGAGTGTTTTAAGAGTTTGTTTAAATTGTTTAATTTCCATAGTCTGAATGTTTTTTGGAAGAACGTTAAAAAGTTTCTTTGACCAGTACTCTGGACTACTGAGATTGTAAATGTAAGGAACCTCCGTTATTAGCAAAGATGCAAAGATGCGATTTTCACAATAGCCCGCAACTTTTTCGTTTTAATAAGCCGTCATTCCTAAAATCTGTTGTGATGACACTGTAGGCCTTTAGGCAACAGACGTGTGGATTGAGGAGTGTTGCCTTAAAATGAGTTATTGCTATGGTAACCACGTAAGGTGGCAGAAAATTCCCGAGAGGGGCAATAAATTATTGTGGTGTGAGATTATAATGTAACAATATCAAAATTTCCATAAAAAAAAAACTAAACAAATTTGTCGCACCTTAAAGATAATGCAATAGAAATCTACAATAAATAATACTAAGGACAAATACGGTATTTTCGCTGTCAGCCTTGGTAATAGCAATGACCAAAAACGCATTTTTACTTTTAAAAACTCACCTCCCTCACAAAAAGTAAGCTTGTAACGTTGCCACTATAAAAAAGACATTTCTTACAAACCATTGCTATTGTTTAGATTTAGGTTTAGGTTTATTTATTTAACCACAGTATACAAAATGTATTTGTAGCAAGTCCAAAGAAAATAAACAAAAACATTTAACACAATAAAACATTATATAAATAAAAATATAAAACACTTAAATTCACGAAACAAATTTGTAAAAGTAGGACGGGTTAGATAGGTTTAAAAATTGAAATATAGGTATTTATCAGTACCGTAAAAACAGTTTTTTCTACTGACGTCTATAAAATACCTAATTACCCATCGACCAAGCGTGCGGGAAGCGTCACTTTACGACGTCAGTTTCGTTTCCCATGATTCCGAGCCACTTCGGACATTTCCAAGATTTTACCGCACAGATGTTTTCGGATATATTTCCCACGCTTTGAATTTTGACGTTTGTCAATTCTGACGGTCATGTCAGTGAATGCATTCATGTTTTGCGAAAATGTACCCAAAAACTAACGTTCGTAGAAAAAGTATAGTATGCAACACGTGCGGTAAACTTTTTAACTTACTAGTTTAATAAAAACTCGCTCCGCTGCGCTTCGCTCGTGTCAAATAAACTCGCGAGTCAAATGCCGTTTACCGCACTTATTGCATAATTTACTATATTGTTAATAGATAGATACAGCTCTCTTAAAAGAATCGTTACCAAAGCGTTTTATATTACAGAAAAACTTGATTTATTAGAGTGAATTTGGAGAGATTTTTTTTGAAGACGAAACACTCTGACTCTGACGATATTGCATTTTAGAGTGAAATAAAGCGAAATACACACTTCTCATAACTTGAGTATTAAGAGATTGCTTAAGTTTTCTTAGCATAAGCAGTGGGGATTTCGCGTTTTATTTCCGTTAAAAGCAAGTCATTTGTCACAAACCAGGTTCGCTTCTCAGTAACATTACTTGTATTGTCCAGTTCGTCTAGAGAAAAACTTCCGCAGATCATTGTGGCCTTAATAAAATGTGCAAAATCATTTATATAAATAAGAAAAAGGAGTGGCCCGAAAACTGTGCGGGATACCCTGACGCTGGGGTAAAAAAGAAAAGGTACTAAACTAATAAAATACAATTCGATGTCCAGCACTGGCAACACTGTCTCATCAAGATATTTACATCACGTTAAAATGAATATTACCTAATAAGTACAAATATGTGTCCCATTTAAAATAATAAAGTGTACTTCCATAACTGCTGCACGAATTTTTAAAGTTTTATGAGGAACAGTTTTTTTCTTTTCAATTAGTTGAAAGATAATTGAGGTATAATTTCTTTCAATTTTCAACGTGGTGGCTTCTGCCCGCAATTATGGAAGTTACCTGCCGGCGGCAATGAAACTCGGACAGAACATTATTGACGGACTCTCAAAATTTTTGGTAATAATATAATTTTTTTTTGTTTATTTATAATCTTATAAAATTACACTAAGAATAAAAAATGGCATTAAATATATATGTCGGAGATCGTAAGAAATAATAATAAAAATAATAAAATAGAAATAGGAACCCAGAATGGCGGGTTCTGTTGGCGAGCGAGGCGACATAGGGTTAGATTTCTCGGACATATTAAAAGAATGCACAACACAGTGCTTAAAACAAATGAATAATCTAATCACTTAATTGTTTATTAAAGGGAATCCAACGATCCGCGGCCCGCTAGGGAAACCAGGGAAAATCGTCAACCGCTCATCGGCTATCGGAGCTACATTCGACTCGACTCATCCCGGGTTTCGATAATTCAAGATTGTATTCCCCCGGGCCGCGTTCCGTTCACCTCGGAAAGTGATCTATGTCGTTTTCTATAGAAATGTGCTCTGAGCTTTGATTTCACTTAGTTCCACAAATGCTCTATGGGGTTAAACATGGAATGATACGGAGGAACAGGTAAAACAGTTTGCCCAGCCGCTTCAGCCAAATTATCGCATACTTGTTGTTCTTCAATGGCTCATAAATTTAGGAATTCCAAAAGTTGCGTTTTTTTTTGTAACTGAATTCAGAATAAATATCATTTTCTAACAAATATTCTTGGCTTTTAGTTTTTGAACTTGAAGAGGCTGGTGCTTTGCATAGCAGACGACCGTCGTAGCTTGCGTTATCCATGGCAATAACATTGCTATTGAGAATATTTTTTAAAAAATTGTTTTGATACCAATTTTCTAAAAGTTCGGCATTGGTATCCTCATGATAATCCAAGCTAGAATCCTGAATATTCTTTGCAGACAACAGTAAGCAATTTGGGACAAATCCGTCTTCTGCCCCAGCGTGTATTATGGTGATACGTTTTCCCTTATTTGGAGGAATTTTGGGTGGAATCAACCCATCCTTTGTTTACAGTGTCTAGTGTATCGGACCATCACTACGTTTATTCCTTTTCTTCAATTCTCCACTATTAATAATATCCTCATCGACGATATTGACGTTTTTGCAAGTAGACAGGGTTCTTTTAAGGCTTCTTGTTAAATAAGTCCTCTACAATCTGTTTTGCATTAAGCGACACTTGACTTCTATGCGACATTGTTATATTCTGGTAAAATAACTTTTTTCTACTCCCGTCTGTAAAATACCTAATTACTCACCGATATAGCGCGCGGGAAACGTCACTTTACCAGGTTAGTTTGGTTTCCCACGAATCCGAGCCTTTTCGGACATTTCCGGGATTTTACCGCACGGGTTTGGGAGCAATCGGATGTTTTCGGAGATATTTCCCATTTTTTGAATTTTGACGTTTTTCAATTCTGACGGTCATGTCAGTGAATGAATTCGTGTTGTTTTGCGAAAATGTAAAAGTATAGTATGCAACACGTTCGGTAAACTTTTTAAGTCACTCGTTTATTAAACACTCGCTCCGCTCGTGTCAAATAAACTCGTGAGTCAAATGTGGTTTACCCCGCTTGTCGCATAATATACTATTTCGAAACGCACAGTAAAAACGATTATTAAACACTGTCACAAATGGTCAACACTTAAGAAACAGATTAGAAAGAAATAAATATTGCTGGCCCACCCCTGCCGTGTCACTCAAGTAAGAATAATTTTTTTGATAATGGCTTTACCCAATTGGAAGGGGGGGGGGGTGTCCGTCGGTCCGTCGAAAGCGCCAACACGATGAAGATTGAGACAGGCTATACGATGAGGTCTCTCTATCGCAGAAACGAAACGAGATAAGAAAATTTTGTTTCACGAAAAAGTATCGCATCGCATAGCTCTACTTTGCTAATAGCGGAGATTCCTTGAACATACAAACAAAATTTTGCACATGCTGTACGTTCGATCGTATAATCGCAGACTGTTGGAGGAATGCGGCGTAGCCATGTTTTGCGACTTGCACGCGCACTCCCGCAAGCACAACGTGTTCATTTATGGCTGCGAAAACAGAAGAGGCGGCGACCGGAGACTTCAAGAGCAAGTGTTTCCGCTCATGTTGCACAAAAACACCGCGGACAAGGTATATGCGCATCGAGGAGGCGGATTTCGCAAAAATAATAACCCCAAATCTCATTTTATAAATATAATATCGGATACAAAGTACAATTTTATATTGCTAATATGCCTAGCAATTTTTTAATTTAAATATTACCATATTAAATTGCATCCTTTTTAAAATAAATGCTAATAAAAAGATGGAGTTTGGAAATATTTGAGATTTAGTTTTGGTTAGTTGCTATTTTTTTTTAATCCGAACATTTCTCTGTTTAATAATGTATATCTTTATAACGTCTAAGTATGCTATAGTTATTGGAAAAAATTAGAAGTTTGCCCATATTTCAATTCAAATCAAGTTACGAAAATGTGTCTATGCTAAATTATTAATCGCCAAGAAATTTTTTGATGTGATGTTCTCACCTCGTGACCAATTTCAAATTTCTAATTGATTATAATAATTTCCTAGTAAAATAGTATTAAAGAGGGTAAATAAAAAATTAATCTTCTGGAAGTACATACATTAACCCTTTTAAATTCAATTCCCATACTATAAACAATGATAAACAATTTTAAATTTATTTCGAAATGTAAGCATTAAAAATGACAGATAAATTGTTTTGCTTACTGAACGCAATAAAACTACCGGTGCCGGTTTTGTTGTATAGAGACAAGCGTGGCAATAAGCATGCTGAAAATGAACAGTGTAAAATGATGTAGTGGGTAGTGGGTTGGACTGCTGAAAGAAAAGAATTATACTGACATAAAAGATTTAACAAAATTTTGCTAAAGTCTGTTCATAGATATAAGATAGTGACTAATTGATACGAATTAAGGAAAGACCCGGACAAGCTGTAAGAATGAAATATGGCCGAACAGGTCCGTACTTTGCTTAGAATTTAATTATTTGGGGTTTTGTTAGGAAAGATACTAAACAATATTTATTTATTTAGGTATGTATTTATGTTTAAATCTAAAATAAAACTACAAATTATTTTTATTACCTACTTAAATTACTTAAAATTATTCACATAATATATCAGTATCACTTTCGCTATCATCGCCTGTTCTAATTATTATTTGTTCTTTATTATTTGCAATATGAATATACGATTGTTCTGCTTTTTCTATATGTTTAACAGAATTTGCCCAACTTTGTGGAGGGGTGTTAAAAACTTCGGTTTCTATAAGTTTGAGGACATTGGAGTTAACACGGGGAAAAACATTGTAACGACGAATGGCAGATTTCAGTTGGTGCCAAACTTCTTCAATGGGATTAAACATACAGTGGTAAGGTGGAAGCCTTAAAACTGTATGCCCTAGATTTTTTGCATAATTATCACACACGTATTCCTTTTGTAGGTTCAAGCTTTGTAGAACCTCAATTAATTGCTTTTTGGTATAATCTTCGTGAAAATAAATGTCGTTATTATACATGTAGTTTTGCATTGTTGCTTTTGTTTCACATGAAGAAGGAGTTTTAGACAACTGTCTACTGTGATAACTTGCATTGTTCATTAGAATGACGCTATTGGGAGGAATGTTTGGAAATAGTTTGTTTTTAAACCAACTTTCAAATAAATCAGCGGTGGTGTCTTTATGGTAATCCAGAGAAGAATCTTTAATAGTTTTGGCAGACAGACAAAGTCCATTTGGAATCCAACCATCTTTAGAGCCAGCATGCAAAATATTTATTCTTTTACCTCTTTTTGATGGCGCGTTTGTTTTACACTTATCAGTTAAGTTAACCCAACCTTTTTACTGGGTATCATAAGTGTCGAACGAGGTTTCATCCAAGTAATTAATTGGCCCTTGTTGTTCTCTATAAATCCTAATTTTTTCTAGATATTCCCTGCGCCATTTCCAAATTCTAAAAGATTCCATTAAAACTTGCCTTTTGGCAATTTTTTAAAATCTAAAACCCATGTGTTGAATACACTTCCCTAAGGTAGTTCTGCCACATTTAACACCGGTTTCATCTTTTTCAAGCCTAGTAATTAAGATATCTAATGTAGGCACGCTTTGTTCCTCGTGTAACTGGTAAAGTTTACGCCTTATTATATCTTGATCACTTTCATCTACACTCAAGAAAATGTCAGCATCGCTTCTTTTTTTCCTCCTTAGTCTCAATAGAATAGTGTTTTATACATTTGGGCGGGAGCACCTCCTGAGATACACTAGACTCGCATATATTTTGCATAATTCGCACACGATTCAACATACGCTTATTACACACGAAATAAGAATGATTACTAATAAACTTAAACTAAGTAGCATACCAAACCAAAGAATATTAAACACACATACCTGAATTTAAATTCCGAAACTTTAGGTAATAATCTTGTTGCATTGTATGTTAATGACCACCCTTGGATAATCCTATTCAAAAGCAATTGGTCGCTTTCTTATATCTATGAACAGACCATACCTGTCTACGCTTGTATATTATAATATTTTTATTTATATTATTCTATGTGCAGTTCTGTGTTGCTGTTGCTATCTTGACCTAAATTAAATATAATGGGTTTAACCATATGATTAAAAGTGTTATGATAATTTTCTATATTAACATGGTTAACAACCTTTTCCAAATATCCGGGGCATACCCTTAACACTTTTATTGAAACTACAACAGTGATACAGTGAGAGAAGAATTTTGTGGCCTAATGGTTATTTTTAGTTAGAGCCACTCTATATATTGAAGACACAATAATATGGTGGGAGCTGTAACTCTGCATGTCGAGTCACAACAGCAACGTATTTTTTTGTGCTTACTGCTTTTAACACTTCTAAAATCCCACTTTTTTTTCTTTAACAATGTTGGTTGCTTTATTTAGTTTCAAATTTCTAACTTTGATTTTTAGAACCATATTTTCTTGTCGCTGTTATATATTCCCCGCCATTTTGATACTAAATAAATAAATAGATCTTTATTTAAATAAATCGGTCTTTATTTTTAAGCGCAATTCAACAAAATGCAAAAAAATACTAACTAAAAAATAGTATAGACTACTAGAAAAACGACGAAGACCAGTTGACTATTTTACGAGTAAAACAGGTCATGTTTTTCATCTTAAGCGGAGAACGTATTAACTCTTTATTAAAATTCTAAAATCTTAAATAACTTATAAAATATATAAATAAAAAAATGTAATAATTTTATTATTATATTGCTTTTATTGATTTGTGGACAGAACTTTACAAAAGACAGTCTTTGTCGCCTTCGTCAAAATATTTACTGAATCCCAAATATCTACGTTTGTTTTTATAAAAGAAACTCTTTTATTGGACCTTCTATGTGTGCTTTGAAAAAATGCAAAGCAAGTGTATTACTTGCTTTGCATTTTTTCAAAACTTAATCTAAGGCAATGATATTGTCATCTGAAATGCGAACGTTTTTTAATCTGTTGTCTGTAACATCCATTATATTCTTATCTTTCAGTATGCGATCCTCCATGACTAGGAAGTCACACTTCTTGTCACACGAATCGTGTTTTGGCCCTCGTTTAAAAGGTTAACGTTTTCGTAGCTCTGTTTGTTTCTAGTGCGAAATGATCTTCAAAATCCTTTTTCAAACGCTCTGTTATTTGATTTGATATTGTACATTTCAAAGTACCCGGGTTCGATTGTCATCATAAATTTAACTGTTTTATGGCAATCCGTAATTGTTATGCACTGTTGTGTTCTAGTAATATATATTTGATGCTGGGTAAGTTGTGTTCGCAAATGTTGTATGGTAGCTTTCAGTTCTTTTACTGTAAGCATATTTGTCATATATTATGAGCCACTTTTGACACCACGTAACGTTGATTTTATAAAAGAAACTTTTTTATTGGAGCTCCCTTCTCGTTTAAGTTGGATTTGACACTATTCTTTTCACAGAAGTCGAGACTATCTTAGCTAAATCACATAGTTCAGTAAAATCTTTGACTAAGTAAAAAATTGTAAACATTTTTCGCAATTTGCATGGCATGGCTTCTTTATACTGCACTCTTTAACAAAACAACAACTCCCTGATGCTGTTCTCTTTCCGTAGAAAATTAAGACTAAATTTAAAAAAATAAAATATCTCCATTATAAGGACGCATTTCTACCCTCTTATTATATGCGCCATTGCAGATACTGCATCATTTGATTAAAACCATTTATCTGTAAAAGCACTATAAGTTCTGGTGGGCAATGATTCATTAGAAATGCAAGAAATTGTCGAACAACCCGCTGTTCACAACCCTCGCTTCGGAGCATTTGATGTGGTGTTGTTTGGTCCATACATGTTACGCGATTCCTAGGCATTTCACCTCTCAGTGTGTGTTTCCCATGTTCTTTAACTCTAAAGTTTAGAAGTCTTTTTGTTTCGCCAATATGTGACAATCCAGATTCACAGAGTGTTTGATGGATACACTTTTTCTCTTGAGTCGGTGTTTCTGGCTTTGTTCTTGTAAGTATGGTCCTTCATGTCGTCCCGGACCTGAATGCAGTCTTAACTTTTTAATGTTATGCTATTCGACTGACATTTTCTGAATTTCAAGCAAATTATTTTTTTATACTGCATAATTCTACATCGAGTGTTTGCAGAGTGTTTGGATGATTCCAAGGTCGGTTGCTTCAAAATGGTTCTACCCAAATTTTAAATACTATCCGGTATGTGTAGATTTCCTATATATAGAGGTGCTGATAGAACCATTATTTCTACTTACTAGGACATCTAGAAACGATAAACAACAGTTCTTCTCTTTCTCAACAGTAAATTGAATGGACGATCACAAAGAAATAAGATGATCGAGAAAAGAATCTAGCTGTGTATCAGATCCATTCCAGGTATTGTCAACGTGCCAGATCCTAGGTTTAACAATTGCTGTATCTATAGCGTGCATTTCAAACCATGTATATATTTTTTTCAAAATTTAATTAAAAAAATAAAGACAATGAAATTTCGATAATCTCTTAGTATTTCTATCTAGTCTAATGGCCCTGTGTAATAGTTAGGCATTTATTTTTGTATTGATACCTGGTGTTAATATTAATAATTAATAACATAGATACACATAATCGTGGAAAATTAATACTTTCTATTCTATTCTATGTGAGGCTCCATATTTTCATTGACTTGACCTTATTTTAAATTGCAAAAGCGTTGTCATTTTTTCGCGAAATACGACCACAGTGATGGTTGAGCGGAACGGTGTTTCAGTTCAGCTTCGAGAGTTGCAAGTTTCGAATACAAAAGGCGAAGGAGGGCACCGGCCGGGTCGTCATGTGGATGATGGGCATCGCCAACAGTTACACCATGGAGGCCTCGTTTGCTGGCTCGGAGCTGGGGACGCGGGCCGGCACCCATTTCAACACGCAAGATTACGAGCAGATCGGAAAATCCTTTTGCCAGACTTTGTTGGACTTCTACGACGAGGATCCGAAGAAGGTGCGATAGCTACGACGCATGCGCTGTTAATATATGCACCTTAATGCAAAAGGAGTAGGTGCAACTTGGGTTTTTAGAATAGAGAAGACTAATAAAAAAGAGCTATAGGACGGACTGACATTCTAACGCTAGGTGGCGGGAAATCTGAACTATTACAGTTATCTTAAAATTTTAGAAAAAATAAATAAAACTGCAATATTACCTAATTTAAATCGCTTCATCGAAAATAAAAAATATAAAACTCAACAATAAAATAAAAACAAACTTCCACAAACAAAGTTCTAGTAGTGGTTGGTCAATCTTGGTCATTTATAAGTAGTCATAGGACGGAATAATAGAATAACGGTGCAGCTAACAGCAAAGTTTTCTATTTTTTCTTTTCCAATATAAACGAAACAAATGTCAATGATAAATGACCATTATATGCACTTGTGCGTATAAGTACACTGTCGACAACAAAATCAGGTCCTTTAATAGGAAAATCTTATGTTGGTTTTTATGATTTTGTCGGAAACTAGAAAATCTCTATTATAAACAAAGCGTAATTAATTTTTGTTTGTAACTAAAAAAACAAATAACAATTAACAATATTGAGAAAGGCTTAAAATTAATAACGTGTATTCCCTTCTCTTGCCTTTATGACAGATTGTAAACGACGAGGCATGATTTGAATTAAATTATGGATTATGTTCTGGTCAACGTTGGTCCATTCATGCATTATCAACTCTCTCAGCTGTTGGTCGCTTTTTGGAACTGGTGTATATCTTCGAATACGTCGTCCCATCTCATCCCACACATGTTCGATGGGATACATGTTTGGAGTGCTGGCCAAGCAAACCGCCTAATTCCCACTTCATCCAGATATTGACTGACAATTCTGGCGATGTGGGGTCTGGCATGATCATCTAGGATTTCTGTATTGTACTTCTGTGCTGTCAGAGCATAACACCACCATGTGAAAGTATTTTATTAATAAAACCTGGGACACATCTTTTTCCAGGTCTCCTGCATACTCTCCGACGTCCATCTGACCCAGTGAGGCAATAACGGGATTCATCGAAAAACAGTACCTTGCACCATACATAATCATTCCAGTCTAGTGATTTCGGGCAAAATGGTTTTCGATGCTATGGCGGCGCTATAGCCAGCCTTCGAAAAGGCAGTCCATTAACACAAAGCCCTCTTCTAACGGTCCATTCGCAAACATTAACATTTCTAACCTCTTGAAGTTGATTGCGGATACCAAAAATAGATCATCCCTTTTGGTGGTCATTCTTCTTTGACCGGATCCAGGTCGTCGTGGCGTTGGTATACATTTTGTACAGCACATAGACTCCTACCAACAATTCTTGCAGTTTCCAGTTTTCCTCTACCATCTTGTATAAATGCTGCAATTCTAGCAGCAACAATACGCACGATTTGTAATTAGGCCAAACTTACGTTATTTCATAAGAAGTCGAAATTACGCAGACAATAACATATATAATCCATCCGCATTTGTCGGACAGCAAATAATTCACTATCTACTAGGCCGACGTTCGCTGATTTTTTTTTCAAATTGTTTGAAATTTCTTGAGTGACCTACATTTTTTGCTCGCCAGTGTAGCCCACATAATGATGTTAAAAAGTGATTTGACACAAACGAAACAGGTACGCATATAAACGCACATAGTACAAAACAAAACAATAATAAGTAAAATGAGTATTTCGTTTCAAAATTTCCTTGCCTAGTTTTCTGTGCCAATCACGAACATAGAAAATGGGTTAAGTAGGATAGAACGGCACCCCTCCAATAACGGGTAAATAAAAGCTGCGCCTCTAATATCTAGATGGAATCTTCGTGCATTTTGGCCCAAAATTTATAATTTATCACGAAAACTTTGAGGATAAGTGTGAAAAGTAGAATATATTAAACAAAAATTACAAAATACACATTTAAGAAACACCACAGCAAAGCTTAGCAAAGGCAACACAAATTACTTATGGCGCCATCTGCCGCCATGACGCACATTAATATGGTACTTGGTAAAGAGTGCCCAGTAAATACACACAAGTAAGTCGTAACTCAATTGTGTTGTACTACAGACCAAAGAATAGTACGCTCATCACCCTCGTTTAATCCGTCACTCTCTTTTTATTAGTTTTCTCTACGGTTTTAAGCTTATTCGCTTACTTATGTTATTTGATTAGCTTGTCAAAGCCTGGCGCTTGTCCGCTTCGAGACGATCGTTTTGTCGCACCGCAAAAACCAAAAATACGATGAATACACAAGACGTTACACTCACAAGTCACGGCACAGGTAATCATTCCACACTTGGATGAAAAATATAGACACAGTTTCGGACGCCAGGGGCGAAAGGGGTTCGCGCAAAATCTCGCCACGTTTTCCTATTTCCAGGAGAAACTTCGCACGAAGATTGTTGACCGTTTGGCGAAGGAGGGGTCGAACGCGGACGAACCTACCAACATACCCCTCAGCGATTATTCGAGGTACAACAAAAAAAAACAAGTTCACGTCCTCGAGACGTTATTGTTTATGCGTTTACTTCCAGCGAGTAATTTATTAATATACCTATTTATTATTATTAACGGTTACATCAGTTTACAAAGGAATTCAATTTGAAAATAATTATTGTCACTTACAAGAACTAACCAAAACTAACTACACAACCAGTAACTTCTAAATCGATAGTCTTTGCAGATGAACCAAGCCATTGTTAGTATCACTAACTGGAACATAAAATAAATCCTTTAGTGGATTTAAACAATAAATTAACATCATCGTAATCTTTATGATTATTACTTTGGGTACTTTTAATATACATGCCTGGCTAGGTTGGTTAAAAGAAGAGTTTTTTTTAATCTGACACACAAAGCTTGTTGCTAGTTACCTCTAGAAAATACTTACTACGTATGAGATCTTAATATTAATAGAAAGATTATCATTACAGTTTTGTATTTTCGATTTAGTCTCGTATATAAATATTCATATCTTATCACCAGTCTCGAATTTTATTAATAATTTTTATAGGAAATCGACTATTTTCATTTACTGCTCTACAAAAAAGGTCTCTTGTGGTTTATCGATTACTTGAACCATTTTGAAGATATTTGCATTGGAATTCCAAATATTTTCAATTTATTCATTGAATTAGTAAATTTTTTGAAAAAAAGTTATTTATTCAAGAAATATCAACACATGCATTAAAAGAATTATGTTGCACCATATGCAATTTTAAGGCTTAACACAGTATTGACAGAAAAATATACATATACAAATCGACTTTTATTACAGTCAGGAAATAGTCGTCGATGTCCTTTAACAACTTGCAGCAAGTATTGAAACTGTTCTTCGTTTTTCGTCTAACACTGATTATATTCAGAGACCAACGTTACTCCACGCTTTGCTGCGTCATTTACAACGTTCATTTGTTTGAAATACTCTTCATTTCCCTCACAACTCTCATCTGAAGAACACACTGCAATGTCAGCATCAAGGAAATCATGTGGTAGGTCAAAGATGTTGAACAAATTCAATGATTTCCTTTTAAATAATCGAATTGATGTTCTTTTGATCGATCTAAAAAATTTTTACCCTAGAATTTATAATATCTCTCTCTTTACAGCTTCTTTTTTATATCTAGTGAACAGTATCATCAAACAGTGTTAAAACGGCGAGTTCACGATTTAAATACCACAAATGTTCCGAAGTTACCTTCTCACAAGTTGCTGAAGAAATAGATGCCTCAATTTTTTTGTAATGAATCCGTTTTTAAAAAATTCGATATCGTGATTTGGAGCCGCAATCGCAGAAGTTGTTGAAAACTAAGCCTTCAAATATATCAGTATTCTAAAGATGCAAATCTGTTGCAGACTATTCAATTGTTGGACAGTAAGACCAAACTCATCTCTAAAAATAAATATTTTACGAGAATAATAGATTCAAAACAAACTTCAAAAAAAAGTAAGACATCATTTTTGAAGAGTGTCCAAATTTCTAAGAAAATTATTAATAAAATTGGCTTAATGATCTATTGTGATAAGATATTCCCATTAATATTAAGAGCTCATACGTGGTAAGCACTTGCTAGAGGTAACTAGCAACTAGTTTTTGTGTTCAGATGTAAAAAAAATCATTTTGTTCGACCCACCCTAATGCTGGAAACACGTAATAGTGTATTACGCAACAAGTGTGGTAAACAGCAGCGAATAAAAGAGTGACTTAAAAAGTTTACCAAACGTGTTGCATACTATACTTTTTCTAGAACCGTTAGTTTTTGCAAAACAACACTGACATGACCGTCGGAATTGACAAATGTCAAAATTTCAAGCCGTGCGGCAAAATCTCCGAAAACATTGGATTGTTCTCAAACCCGCGCGGTAATATCCCGGAAATGCTTGAATCCGTGGGACAAAAAACTGACTGCTAAAATGACGCTTCCCGCACGCTACATCGGTGTATAATTAGGTTTTTACAGAAGGGACTAGAAAATAGTATATTATGCAACAAGTGCGGTAAACGGCATTTGACTCACGAGTTTATTTGACACCAGCGGAGCGCAGCGGAGTGAGTTTTTAATAAACGAGCGAGTTAAAAAGTTTACCGAACGTGTTGCATACTATACTTTTTCTACGACCGTTAGTTTTTGGGTCCATTTTCGCAAAACAACACGAATACGTTCACTAACATGGCCGTCAGAATTGAGAAACGTCAAAATTCAAAGCGTGGGAAATATCTCCGAAAACATCCGATTGCTCCCAAATCCGTGCGATAAAATCCCGGAAATGCCCGAAGTGGCTCCGATTCATGGGAAACGAAACTGACGTGGTAAAGTGGCGGTTCCCGCATGCTAAATCGGTGGGTAATTAGGTATTTTACAGACGGGAGTAGAATAACATTTTTGTTAAATATTTTCTAACTTATCAATACTTAACGGACAAAGGTGTAATGCAAAATGTTGCGTGACAAAATACAAACTAAACCCATTTATAGAAGAACCTACGCTCCAACAGCCCTTAGCTGTTATATCATTTAAATGATTTGATAAGAGAGAAACTAATGCAGAAGCATTGCTTCATATTTACATTCAAAGCATTTAACGTAAAAAGCGTTGCAAACATAACAAATTTGTCAAATCTTATAAATAAATACGGTAAAAATTAATGGGTCTTAGGTGGCTATGATGTTTTTGTAGAGATGGGAATGATCTTTCGCGCATGCCTCTAAATTTCACCCACTAACATGCACTTTGCCCCCTTTTCAATATTCTCCCTCTTAACTCCTTTTTGTTTGATGATTTAATGGGATTTGGATATATTTTGAGAAAATAAGATCGTAAAAATGCCGTATCCAAATTTATTGATAATCTGTCAGCGGCCATATTGGTTATTGAGGCCATTCGTCAAAAACGAGATTTTAAATCTCGCGCAGGCACATGTTGAATATACCTTTTTTTTTACAGTTGCTTAAGTGCTAATGTTACAAGCAACGTATGCCACGAGTTTATTTGGCACGAGCGGAGCGAGTGTTTAATAAACGAGTGGCTTAAAAAAAATTACCACAAATGTTGTAACACGTTTCGTAAATGTGTAAATGCAAATGAAAAATGTATGCATACGAGGTGTGTTCAAAAAGTAAGGGGACTTTTGTAATTGGGCGGGCTACGTACATTCGATCTTCAATATTTTTTGTTATGTTGGTACACATGTCCCTAACATGTGTTCACAGTTTCAAACAGTTTGCACGTTTTTTTTTCTGCTGTCAAAAAAAATGGAACAAAGGATTTGCATAAAATTTTGTGTAAAAAAATGGAAAATAGTCCTGCCAAAAAAATTTTTATAAGTGGTACAAGCTGTTCCAAGATGGCCGAAAAGATACCGATGACGAACCTCGCTCTGGACACCTCAGCATGAACGCGTTGAAGAAGTGAACCAAATACTGTTGAAAAATCGCCTAATCACCATTAGATCACCAAAGAAAAGAAAAGAACATGGTAATATAGTTATGAAGTCGAAACCAAAGCCCAAGGGAAAACCCAGAATCGCCAAGAGCGAAAAAGTACGTCAAGATCGATCAAATTTTTTCGTTAGTTTACTGTTTTCTTTGATTATCGTGGCGTAGTACATCAAGAGTTCTTACCACAAGGTCGTACGGTAAATAAAAAGTATTATGCGGCGTTTGCGAGAAGCAATACGAAGAAAACGTCCGAAATTGTGAGAAAAAATTCATGGATTTTGTGTCTAACTTTTTGGCCAACAACAAAACCACAATTATGCCTCAACATATATGCACCATATCTCCATATATCCTGTTCCCGAAACTCAAGAAACCCATGAAAGGGGGGAGGTTTGGAACGATTGGGGAGATAAAGAAAAAATCGCTGCAAGAACTCAAGGCTATACCAGAAAGTGCTTACCAGAAGTTGGCTTAAGTGTATTATATCTGGGTTGGGGGGGGGGGATAATTTAAATTATTTTAGATAAAACTTAAAAGTCACCTTACTTGTTTAACACACCTCACACTATAATTTTTCTACCACCATTAATTCTTGGTACATCTTTACAAAACAATGCGAAAAGTGGAAAAATGTAATTGAACACAGCAATGCTAAAAAAGCAAATTAATTTGCTCCAAATATGTTATCGATAAAAACCAACTTTGTTGGATGACAAAGAATATTGACCAAAATTGCGCCAGAGATTCACATTGCCTTAAAAAATAAAATGGAACGTCGGCCCAGAAACATTTTTAAAAAACTGCTATGAAACCCTAAAATAAAAGCACATGTAGATACGAACCAAAAAAGAGGTCGATCATTTGTTGTCATTTGATTCGGCCGTTAATTGCCATTGCTATTGACTATCCTGTGAACAAGTGAATGCGGTCCGTTAGCGCAACTCGGACCCTCCAAATTTCAATGAAGAAAAAGATAGCAAGGTATTTATTGATCAGAATTAATTAATTAATTTACAAGACAAATTATTCATTTTATATATTATTCTTATTTAGTATCTTACTGTGGTGTTTTTATTCGTACGTTGCTACATGCTAAACCAAAATAAAGGTAAATTGAAGTCCGGATTATTGTTTAGCTAAATAGAATACTTAAGGTGTTATTGTATCGGCAATTCTCTTCTCTCAATTAGGATTTCTAAACCGAAAATTAAAATTCCATCACTTTTTAACTTTATTGTGGGTGAAAAGTGCATAAATATACAGGATGATTCATGAATAATGGAAGGTTGCACGTACCGAAACTTTGGTGGTTTAAATTACCGAAAAAGTAGCTTCGACTTTCGCTCCTATATATTATTCGATTTTCCCTTCCTCTGTCAATTTCATTTCATCATTTGCCATATTTGACTGAATATCTAGAAAATTTGACAGTTAATGGGCTCTATTGTGAAAGTGCCCAAATGCTCATGGACGGAAATGTTTACTTGAATAAAGGCTAAATTTCTTTACTTTTCAAGGCTAATGTAGTCAAATTATAGCAACAACATGTTCGATGAAATGTACGCTTTAGATTTAGATCCAATGAACGAAAACATGTTTAATCTATTAGAAAATAGTTTCCGAAACCTGTAACGTCAATTTTTCACGTGTAGGCGAATATTGACAATTTAGACCATAACCCTACAAATGTATGAAACCATATTTATATTAATTTAAAATAAAGCGAGATTAGAGTAGGAATTACTGCATTTTTACTACTTACTACTGCATTTTAATCTAATAACTGCCCTCATCCAATGTTCCCGCCACCTGACGTCGGATAAAGTTAGGCCTGTTGTAGCTCACGGTGGCGCTAGAATTTACAACTCATTTTCTTATTATATATTATTATTATCTCTTATAATCGCATTTATCCTCAGCGACGGAGGTGAATCTTGTAGTAGCAGCGACGAAGTGGGTCACGAGGAGGCGGTGCCGCCCCAACCTCCGCCGCCGTCGCCCGCAGCGACCAAACGACAGTACAAGCCCAAGTCATCGTCGTCCGTGCCCAAACCTAAAATGGCGGCCAAGAGTCCGGGTGCGCCGAGGAAACCGTTGCCCGTAAATAGAAAATACGATTTAGAAATTAGAAATTACACCACGCACGAAATAGATCATCCCGAACTCGATAAAGACGAGATTAGAGAGCACAGCGTAATTTGGAAAGTGGCGAACCCTCCCGAAAGGGTGGTTATTCGGAAACTCGAGGGGGTGCAGACAGCACGAGCGGCCGATAACATTTGTTGAAAAGTTTGATTGATAAGTTGTGATAAAGTTCATTAAATTTTAACAGCATATCCGTTTCTTAGTTTTTGTCGTTAAACGCGATTCGTCCTCGATACGGGACAAGGTAAGGCTTTAGGTTTGCGAAACCAGCAGCTTCATTAAGAAAGTAATAAATGAGTGTCCGATTCTGTATTAAAAATAAGAAAAGCATTTGGCATTTAATCGAAGCTATCCACTTGGGGTAATGTGAAGCACAATCGGATCATTAATGGATAAAAAAGAGGCACTAATGTCTTCTACAGAAAAATAAAGTGCATTATTTAAATTGCATTACAAAATAAAAAATAAATTTATTACGAAATAAAACAAATTAGAAAAAAAAACGAAATAAAACGGTGATTCTCGTTACACATTTTGGACCTACTTTCCTGGGACCATATCTTTACTAGATGATGTTGTTGGACCGCGGATAATATAGTGGCCCTACTGCAAATTTATGCGCCACAGGCGCCATCGATATTTTCATAGAACAGAGAATGACTTTCCTCGCATGCCTCAACATTTCGCCCACTGACCTGCACTTTGCGCCATTTTCTTTCTAAACAGCGATTTCCACACCCTTAACTCATCTTTCCAGAATATTTAACATATTTTAAGAAAATACTGCCCTAAAAATGCTGCAAGTTCCTGTATTATGGTCCTATCTCTGGTATCTGTATGCACAGCACCAAAATATTTTATGTGTGCATTTTTCATTTGTTTTCATTTGAAATTCACTTAGGTCTCAAGATTGAAAATATCCTTTTTGAGGATCTTAAGTCAGTCCTTGATTTAATCAGACGCATACTTTTTGAAAGATAACATTGTTGGGTTTTTACAATGGTGTAGCAACACCGGAATATACATTCACTATAATCATATCAACAAATAAATACTATTTGCAAAACTTCTGGATTCCTCCTGAATCGGTTGTTGTTAAATCGAAATTGCTGACGTCTCGCCAGTCCTCCTGTTGGCTTCTTCAGAGTTTAAATGATACTGGCTCGCATTATACTCTGTACCTGCTAATAGGCAAATTTTTTGATATGCGAAAAAATTTTTTCCTTTTTTCCATTAGTTTAGCAATTGTGATTTTCTTAAATCTCAAAACATTATTGAACTATAAAATAATGTTTTCAGATCGCGTCTTTTAGTGCAAATGCCTATGCCTAATCGTTTAAATACCGTGTTAGACCTGTGGGAGACATTTCGAGCAATAAATAATGTGAAACTTAATTAAATAGTTCTTTTTTGTTTTGCAATTTTATTCTTAATTTTTAAGTATTTTTTTTTCTGGAACTATTAACAATATTCATATCTCGCTTTTCTAATATTATCCCTAGCATAAAATGCTGTTTAAATTGTTTTTCCAAAGTTGTGCAGTTCATATTTTTATTTTTGTTTAATTCTTGGATTTAATAAATTATTTCCGAATTACATATTGTATTAACATGTAGCGAATGCTATTATCTGAAAAAATTATGCTTAATTTGTCTCGGTCAACTTTTCACGTTCAGGCAGTGTTGTGATATTTTCGCACGGTTTGAAAATTTTCGGTATTTTTATCCTCAAAATGTGCATACCTCAAAAAATACTAAATTAAGGTATAGGGGGAATGCTTAATCAAATTGATATTTAGTGCCGTAATTAATGGAAGAATAATATTCAGCATGTTCTATAATATAATAATAATAATAATAATATTAATAAACGAGATATATTTCATTGAAACACTATTTGAACACCCTGTATGTACTGGACTCTCCAATCATTGATAAAAAAGGTCAATTTAGTTTTTCTTCAAACTCACCCAGCAATTTGAGTCTGGACCCTCTTCTTTTATTACTTTCTCTATGAATAGCCTTGTACTGGAATTTTTTTACTAACATTTCAATTTAGCGCGCACAAATCGTTGCCTACATAACATAACCTTGCTTTTCGTAGGACGCATGAACTGGGTTGAGTTGATTGAAACATTAATTTCGGTCAATTGATCCGTCCACATTGATACCCGCAATTTGTTATGTGTGTGTAACTGTGTTATGCTACGATATTTTTATCTCGAATCTATTGCCCATGCGCATAACTTTCTCACCAATGTTGGTTGTAAAAGCATGAGTATTATCAGCATAGGTGAGGCCATTTATCAAGTGGCCATATGAAACAAGCGATTAACGGATTTGCGCATTTTGCTCACTTTTCGGTCCGTTCATAATTCGAACACGATTTCCAGATCTGTAAGGCGGTTCTGAAATTATCCCTGTCTGAGAATGAAGACTATGGCACCAGTTCCGACGAAGAAGCAGCGGAGAAGAATAGATCCAACCAAGATAAAGTTAAAATGTTCCGACGAAGAAGAAGGAAAAGAAAACCGATAAAGAAGCGCTGGCAGGTATATTTTTCGTAGGTCGGCACCGACGCTGATAAACCAAGAAAAATCATTTGCAGAGTCAAAACGATAGGGATCATTCAGACAGCGAAATTCAGTGCAGCAAATCGATAGCCACTAGATTGGCCGTTTTCGATCTCATCGTTCCTGATGACAAAATGCCAGGCGAGGGGGTTATCCCTCAACCCCGTAAGGCCACACCCCGTAAGTAAGTATAAAAACATCCGATTTAATTTAAAACCATACAAAAAATGTGACAATCCATTCATTTAGGCTTTTGGCGGAAAAAAAAAGCGAAATAACCAAACAATTGTCGGAAGTCCAAGCCAAATTATATACTCTAAAAAACAAACTCTGGTTTGGTACCGGAAACACAGCCGGTCCTATTTCGTGGGGTTGCAGTCAGTTCTGTTTCAGTACGATCCGATCATCTTCGGAACAAAAGTGAGTGCAAACGTTCGCTTGAAGCTGGTCTTTCTCATTGCTTTTATTTGCCCGTAGGACCAACGTTAAAAAAGTATTAAGAAAGATCGCGAATAAAGCCAACAAACCGAATCAGGAGGCGAAATCGAAAAGCGACCATAAAGAAAAAGACGGAAAGAATCAAAATGGGTATAATATTGTGACTTTAGTTTTAGGTACTCGCTCAAAAATAGCCTCGTAATAGCCATTCGCGACCTTTAACAAAATTTGTCAAGCTTACCGCGATTGGTGATGGATCAAAAAAATCTATTTTTAGATTAAAACGTCAAATTGTTTCCGAATGGCCAAAGATTCGCAAATCGAAAAGCCTTCCTGATAATTCAACCTACTTCGCGGACAAGCCGACAAGCGCTGTAGACAGGGACAGCAAATATGCGGACAAGTCGAAAAAGAAGAAAAGGAAAGGAAAATTCGCCAAGAAAGCTAAAGCAGTAGGAAACGCGAAAGTATTCCTTACTTAACCTATGAAATAGACAATTGTCGACATTCGATTAGACTGACTTGAAATTTTTATTTGTTTTTCGCAATTTATCAGACCCTTTTCCCAAATTGTTATGTCATCGAAATATGCAGTGCGGGAACCTAAACAATGGACAAATTATTGGGTTCTAAAAATATTAGCTTCTCTTTAGTGTTAAAGTCTATTTTAGAAAGGTGAAGAGTAATAAACCTGAATCAGTATGCAAAGAGATTACAGAGTAACCCAACGAATATTAAGTAACTTTCATTTGCTGGCATTGCAAAATTCTTTTTTTTTCGAGTTTGGGGTCAATTTATAGAGTTTGCCTATTGTTATCCATTCACCAACATTGATAGTGTATGCTTGTAAAAAGGAAGAATTTTATTTTAACAGGTATCAGTTACAGTTATTAAACGTTATACAAAATACGTTGTCCAGAAATTAAATTATAACAAAGCCTGATGACGGTCCGATCCACCAAGTGATCAAAATCTAACATTTTCGGCTCTTATTCACTGACATTCCGGCTAAAAATCGCCAGTTACAGAGCTCGCTTCCGAGGGTACCGCTTTCTCATTGACTTGATCAAACAGTTTGAATGTTATGTTGTGTCTTTTAACACTCTATTTTTCTGCTATATCTGCCCTGGCATATTTAAATTGCTACTTGTTCCTTTTTATCAATTTATCTTCAAATCCTTGTTTTCTCTATGTTGAAGTTGAGTCGCCTCTATGCATCCTGAAGTTATTTCTGTTTTCCCATGGCAGGTAAACGCTCCGCACTTTGTGAATGATTCTTTTTTTTATACATATGCGGTGACGATAGGAGTGAAGTTTGTCGGCGAAGATTATACGGGGTGAATCAACGATAGAGTAAAGTACCTTATAATATTGGTGTCAATAGATTGTTACGATGCACAATTTAAAATTATTTGAAAGTATACTGAAAAAAAGGGTTGCTAATAAAACAAACATTTTTTTAAAATGGACCACCCTAAATTTAAATTTGTTTTGAATTCCTTTTAAAATTATTCAACTTTTTTATTAATGCATACCTAACCCTAAAAGTTTTTCCAGTATTCCAATTTTTAAAAAAATGCTAGTTTTCACCCTAATTTTCATCATATTTATTATTAGCGTTATTCGCAGATAAAAGATATATGCAACCGAATTTAATTTAGATGCTACAAGGAGTTCAAAATAAAAGAATATACAGTCGAAACTCTATAGAGCGAAATTGAAGGGACTGTTTTTTTTCGTTATAAATAGTTATAGGAACTTGAAACATAACAATACGCATATATAATAATAATAATATTTTATATAAATATTTAAGAACTACCTAATGTTAATGTTTGAAATAATCGGTTATTTTCTTTTGAATTTTTTTATCATGCCAATACACATCTCGTATCCCGAAAGAAAACCTACACACACAGACCGATACCTTAATTCATGGTCACATCACCCTCTGGCCCAAAAATCATCGGTTATCAAATATCTTGTTTACAGAGCCTTAAAACTATCTCAGCCCCCGTCACTGAAAACAGAATTAAAACACCTTGCATCTGCTCTTCTCTTTAATAATTTCCACATTAAAGATATTAAACGTTCCATCAAAAAATATACTTCACCACAACCTTCCAATAGCAATGAGGCCGAAAGCAATCCTACACTTGCCACTGTGGTCCTGCCTTACATTCAAAACATGACTGACCACATATCAAAAGTTCTAAAGAAGTATAACGTCAAAACCAGATTTACCACTTCTCCAAAAATCTCTCAACATCTGCGGTCCGTCAAAGACAAAATTACATTTGAGACGCCAGGAATTTACAGCAATCCATGCATATGCGGCAAAGAATACATTGGAGATACCGGACGAAAAATATCAACTAGGCTCAAAGAACACGAAAGAGCCTTACGACTAAGACAAATAAACTCATCCGCTGTTGCCGAACACAAACAGGAAACCGGACATAAAATTGTATTTGATAAATTTTTGCATGTAATCAGTTCTTCTACCAAAGAAAAATCCGAGAGTCTATAGAAATCTATAAACAACCAACAATCTTAACCGCGACTCAGGTCTCTACCTGCCACCAATTTGGGAATCAGTCATCCGAAACGGTGTTTAGTCCTCTCATTAGCCTCCTTCCCTCCCACCTCTCAAACAATATATAAGCAGGTACAGAGTAAAATACGAGCCAGTTTCAGTCAAGTTCTGAAGAAGTCAACAGGATGATTGGCGAAACGTCAGCAACTACCACTAAGCAAAAACCGACGCAGGAGAAATCCAGAAGTTTTGTAAAAAGCAAGAAAACAGATTGTCATTTTTCGTCTGGTTACATTAATATATCATTAGTTAAATCTCCGCGTTATTTCTAGCTTAAGTTTTATCAAAATCTAGAGTCTCCTCTCTACTACTCTCGTCCACCTAAGTTTAATACTTTGCGACTGTTTGTTTCTTCAGTGTTTGATGCTGATGGTAGTATTGCTACCAATGAGGAAAAAGAATTGAAAATTTCAATTCAAATTCAAAATAACCCCCCGGCCAGTAGCAGCCATCCTTTCCATATGAAACTACGCTACAAACTTCTTATATAATGATTACAAAATTGGATCCGTAGAGGCGGATTCATTGGATGGTCCCCTAGATCATGTGACTTGACATCACTATATGTGGGGATATTGTAAAGATCGTGTTTATCTAAATCCCCTACAATACCAGGATTTGGAAAACATACAGGAGAACAATCCAAGTAGAAGACCATATTTTTGAACTTTTATTGCGCTACTTCAATAGAAAATTAGACTTAGCATATGGAAAGAAAACAGAAAAACTACGCACACAGACCAATACCTTAATGCATTGTCACATCGCAATCTGACCCAAAAATTATCAGCTTTCAACTCTCACACTACCTCAACTCGAGTTACTAAAACCAGAATTGAAACACTTTATATCTGCTCTGCTCTCTAATAATTTCCACATTAGGGATATTAAGCGTTTTATCACAAAATACACTTCAAGACAATCAATTCGAAAGCAACTCGACACTTGCCACTGTTGGTCTTTCTTACGTCCAAAACATACCAGCACATATCAAAAGTTCTTAAGAAATGCAACGTTATAAAACTCTTGCACGTAATCAATTCTTCAACCAAAAAAAAAGATCCCAGAATCTATAGAAATCTATAAGCAATCAGGGTATAACTATTAAATGAAATCAATTCAAATAAATTAATGTTTTGTAAAGCATAGGATTATTCCAATTGAAAAATGTTAAATTTCGTTAATGTTAATTATTTCGGAAACTATAAATTTCCGGAAAAGGCAACTTTATAACAAAGTGAAATTAATTTTTAATACCAAACCGGAAAAAAATTATAAAAATAGGGAGTTTACATTTGAAAAAAAAAATACTTTTAACATTTCTTATAATTTAATTTTTGTACTTAATTTTTACTGACCCCGTATGAATTCAAAATATCCACTCACTATAATAATAATACGACAATAGGCCCCCGTCCAAAATTAAATATTTAATACCCCCTTATAGGAAAAATTGTTAAAAATTCAAGATTTGTCGAAAACGGTTACATTTAGGTATAAGAACCAGATTTTCCCGGGGAATCCTAAAATAGAATGATATATTTATCAGACTTAAAATAAGGAAGCTTGTATTTACCCCCATGAATGGAACACAAAAAACAAACACAACATATATTAAGAAAATGAAAAACCAAAAAATATAACTTTTTCTATCGAAACGACAGGGAACCTTATTTAAGACACCCTGTACAAGGTGATGAGGAGGAATCAAATGGTTTCACAAATTTATTTTATTTTCAAGTTCATTTTGTTTTGATTAAACCTAAATGAAGCGATAAT